TAGTACGCCATACCGTACGGAGTATCTCCGTATGGATGACTGGGTCCTGCCTTGATCTGGCGGCCCTGTTGCCACGTTTTTTTCTTCCTTGTTCAGGTGGGCAGGACCCAATCGGCTCGTGCATTGCCGTCCGCGTCTTTCCGCGTTACCGCACTCCACTCTTTCTGGCGTGGCCTGTTCAAACTTGTCGTTAGCGTACCAGCCTCCAGACGAGTCTAAGGGATTATACTCCACACCCGAACCAGAGCCGCTGGCCACTCGATGCAGTCTGTCCTGGGGACGCGCTAATCGATTTGGTCCCAAAGGAGGGACTGAGCGCAGACTTGGAGACCCAACCGCCGCCCGACCGGTCGCAAAAGTCGCAGCCTGCGACCATGATGATGTTTCTTCTTTGTGCTCCCTTCAACCCATTTCTCTCCACTTGTCGGAGATTGGTTCTCGTTTGGAGGATGTTATTTTTTGGTGGACAATAATTATGAACAGAAAAAAAACTTCCTTTTTTTTCCGTTTCGGCCCCTCCGGTCGCCCCTCTTTTTTCCTTACCCACACGGGAGCGCGTCTATCAACAGGGATGGAGCCCGTCGGGCACTAATAGACGCTGCCATGCACTACCCGCATGGCTGAACGGTCACGGGAACACGATCAAGCCTATGAGAATGCAGAACGAGAGTGTTTGTCCCCGGAGGATCTGACGTGGCCGAAAAGCGAGGCGAATAGAAGCCTGGATGGAGGTAGACAGGGTTGTGTGTTCAAAAAAAAAAAAAATGGCGTGGTAGGTTTGTCCCGCCTGCGCGAGGGCAGTGCTGAGTATGTCGTGTGATGAAGAGCCTTGTCCTCGAGGCCTCCAGTGCTCTTGCAGGGTACAGTAGACTGGCGGTGACACACCGTCGCGATTCCAACTTTGTTCGGAGTGAAAGACTGGTGTGTGTCCCACAGAGCGGAAAGATCACGTTGCTTTTTTTTTTTCTTTCTTGCGGCTGGCTGCCGGCGCACGAGCGATCTTTGACGGGGGGTTGCGACTCGTGCTTTGCCCGGGGATCCATGCTCGTCGCGATGCCTCGTTCAGTGGCGTGCAGCGTGAAGTTTGACGGGAGGCGACATCAGAGCGGGACTGGGATCTAAACTCGAAGGAATGGAACCAATGTGATTGAAGTGCATCATGCAGTTGACTCGCAGAAGCTCCGAGTCAGGAGATATGTGATGGTCATGGAGGATGCGCTGTCATCGTTGCCCGTCGTAAGGTTGTTGACGCCCGTCCCAGCACGTGGTCCTCTCAATCCTAAACAGGCAGGGACGACCAACAACCAAACTGCCCCAAGATTCGATTTGCAAGCCTTGGGCCGCAAATCAAGTAGACTCGACTCATAAACCGTTCTCTCTGTTATCCGGCAATATCATCTGACGGTCGACCAGATCCAATGTATCGACGACACCATCCAAGGTCACACCTTCGTGCGACCAAGTCATATGTAGGACTACTGAGAATGGAATATCACGACTAGGTCATTGCTCTGTGTATCGTTGACTTTGATATAGGCAAGTATATCCACCAATGGAGTGTGGCTTTGCCATCAGACGATAATCCAGAGGTACAAGACTATGCCACTTGAAGACTGGTCGAATGTGTTATATTCTCTTGCTGATTACTGACGCCTCAAATACTCTATCTATTAGTCTAAAGCTAACATGCCCTGATAGGGATTGTTCCGGCTCTCGTTGCTTTGTCTTGCGACCACTTGAGGACAGGATATTCTATCCAACCCGTTGCTCTGTTGTGCTTACAAGCAACGATCAATACCGTTAGAGTGTATCTGCCACAGCAACCCTATATCATATAGGTAAGGTACTTCCATTAGAAAGCTGCCTGATACCCAGCTAACGCAGAGATGGTCCCTATTCGATTGAGAATTGATCAGCTACCGAACCATGAAATCGCCCAAGGTCCATCTGAGGCGGTCATTTCCTTCAGAGACAAACTCTACACTTGCGCTAAATCTAACCGAAGCGAGGATCTGCCCACTATCACTACAGTAACCGATTACCTAGGGCGGGATGTAGCAATAACCTAAACGGTCTGCAGAGTCCCGGTCCACATTTTCACCACGTTTTTCGAAAAAGAAATGCACTAATTGTGAACCCTGGACTATTAACCGAAGCTTAATATATCTGGTAAAATGAATGTCAATCCACAACTCCTTGGACTCTTTACTCTTTTCTCGACATTCCTTTTAGCCGTTAGAAAATATACACCTCGTCTCTTCTCCCACTGCTAATAACAAGCCCGAGTACGAGAAGAAAGTATCCTCTCGGGACACGAATCACCACAATAACCGCCACCGTACCAACTTTCCTCTCTCGTCCACAAATTGCCTTGCCTCGTCCACTAACCAGGCCCCCAGCCACACGCTCAATCCTCAATCGGGTCTCGGACGACTTCCATAAACAACCACACAAACAATGGAAACGACACCACACCAGGGGCCCTAGGGCAAGATCTATCTTCGTGCTAGTCTGTTAATCTCCTAGTTTCCGCCCTGCCATGCGTCCTCACCCAAACAATCGGGGTTTATCCTCGACCCGTCCGGACCACAGAGAAGCGCTGAACCAAACGCGCCCTCCGTTTAGGACGCTGGATTCCCCCACCCCAGAACCGCTCCTTTCCAGAGCAGGAAGGTGCTTGGGCCGGGGTTTTTGTCTTGGAAATTCCTTCTAGCGTACCACAAAAGAAAGATGGAGATGGACGGATGCATGTACTCAAAGGGGGTTTGCCTGGGTCTCCCGCAGGATCACGCCGGAACTGCGAACCAAGGTCTTGAGTGAGCCACCAGAAATTCGAATTTCGCATGGAATTGAGAATACACTGGTAAACTTGGGAGAGGTGGCGGAGTCCTGCCCCGACCCAATCCAATATCCTCATTCAATCCACTTTTGTTGTCCGGACGGAGTCGCCCAAGGTTTTGCCTAGCGGGCGAGCCCGACAACGGGCCGAACGCGGCCGCTGCGGGCGCTTGCGGTGGCGATTCATACTGAAGGCATGGGAGTATGGAGGACTGAACTTGAGTATCACGTTTGATAATAGGGTGTGAGCGGTATATTGACAATGTAGAGTATATGATCTCGTGGTTTCCTGATCGTATAGCGATTGCAATTGCATGCTATTTGTATATGGGGCTTATGGTTGCATCTGCGGGTTTAACTCTATGGAGTACAGTCTGCATGCATGGAGGATGGCTGAGCTCGATGGATGCCTTGATAATTTTTTTACTTTCTTTCTCTTCTTTTTTTCCCTTGCTTTTCCTACTTCTTCCTGGGTGGGCTGCAGAATTGTGGTCCTGGCAAGGAGTCTGCTTCTGGGTCTGGATTTCTCATTCTTGCAATGGACCCCCCGGACAGACGGAGCGGAGCATCCGGCATTCTAGTTGAATACTATACCATTTCGTCGACACACCGTTTTGTTCTTTACACAGTTATCCTCGGCCAATTACGAAAATACACTTCCTTTGTATAAGATGTTCGAGTATATAGTGTCATCGGTCGTAGAGACAGTTCCGAGCCCTGCGCCACCACGCCGTGGTATAACTATAGGCCCGATCCGAAAGGGTATGGCTGCGGATGCGGAGGACGTGGAGAGTGCATGAATGTAGAGTTAAAGCGAGTTGGTGCGGGCAAGGGTCGGACTCGGACCAACATTCATGAAATGATCGGGAGGTTTATCCGACTGACGGGCCTTGATCTGGTTCCATTCGACCTCGCTGACCATGCAGCTAGGATGCAATGGACATGCAGCGCAGTGACACTTCATTGTTGCCCTGTGGGAGGTTGTCAGAAAATATTCCAAGAGTGGCCGAGTGCAGGGTTGGGGCTGCGAGACGCCGTGAGACGTTTTGTAACCGCAACTGGGTGGGACGTCTGGCCGGGACTTTACGAGGGTGTGGAGGCCTTGGTGACAGAAAAATGGAGATGATGATTACGACGGCGAGTCCAACAAAATGATGACAATCAAAGTGTGTTCGAATCAATATCAAACACTATAATGTGCAGAGAAAATCAGATAGCATACATCAGTCCAAAGACCCCACCCATCGATCTTCCCGTGCCAAATGCTGAAAAAAAAGGTCCGACGATTTGGTTTTGATCACCAAGGGAAACCCGATCAAAAGCACGCTACTGATCAGGCATCACCACGCTGTTGAGATACGTCACCTATGTCGAGCGAGAAGCGGTCAGCAAGGAAACACAAGACACTCAGAGAGCTGCAGTGACGCCTCCTCCCTTCGGTCCCGCGCAGTAAAAAAAAAATGTGACGGCTGTATTGCCCGTCGCCCATCTTGCAGCGCTGATTCGAGGATGGGCGAACAGGGACGGCCAACCGGGTCGAAGTGGCTAGCTCAGAAGGGAAACGGGCTAGTCAAATGGGGGGCAAAACCGGCCGGGAAGCGTGGACAAGGAATGGCTAGGCGCCAGGGCAAGACACAGGCCAGACGAGCCGGCAGGAGACCAAACCACTCTAGTCCTCTTTGTCCAGATCCCCCGGTCGTACCAGACGACAAAGTTCAAGAGAGGGGAAAGAGAGAAGAGGGGGTTCGGTGTGATTGTGATAAGAATTGAGTTGGATTCTCGGGGGGTGTAGACTTACGAAAGGCTCCATGACTTCGATGAGCGCGACGATCCGGTCTTGCGCATCCGCAGCCAGCATTTCTGCGTCCGAGACGGGCCGTCCGAGAGTGAAACTGCGTAGTCGGAGCAATTGAATGTTCTCGTTGTCGGCATCGTAGCCCTAGACGTCGTATCATGCTCGTGTTAGTCCAATGTATATTCAATAATAACGAATTTCTCCATCCTCCTCCTCGTTCTCGTGGTTTCAGGGGCCAAAGTCGAATCCAACGTGGTTTGAGGCCCGTGGAGCCCGGCGCCGTAGTGAACCATGGAACCAGACCAGACGGCGCGAAATTGAACGAAAAGAGCACTGAGCCATCCAATGGTGAATAATGGTGGATGCCGAACGCCTATAGCTCGAAGCCTAAACCCCGAGGCTGCTTTCCCTGCCGACTGGGCTGGTTGGGCATAGCTCTCGGAGCAATAGGTGACCATTCTTCGTCCCTAGTCTCATAGCTCATCGCCAGATTGACCAAAACACGGGTTGCGTACCCGTGCGCTTGGTCTCGTGTTTCCTGCCACTGCGCAAAACAGTCAGGAGGGCGACCATAATGAGCAAGAGATTCTCAATTTGCTAAGCTCATCCACCATGGTTGCTGGTTCCTGGTTGCTGGGCTGACCGGGAGGTCGTGATTCGTCCAGCCCCGTATGGTACTGTATGTGCGCCAATCTAGCCTCGGACGCGTCGAGCGCAAACTGGCCAGACGCCTCTTCAACGGGCCTGCAGCGGTTCCCTCGACCTCCAGCTGATGCAATTGAAGCATCATAGCTTCGTCTGGGAACTGCTCGTTCCAGTCTGGGATGAATTGCCGAAAAAATTGCAATCCCTGATGCCGGTCGGGTGGTGGACGAAGCCCTCGATCGCACTGCGACCACCCAAGCACCCTCCCGAGCCTCCTCCCTCGGCATCGTCCATCGAATAGAAACCGAGATCATCGAAGTCCAATACGAATACAGGTGCCAGTGGCAACATCAAGCACTTTCGTGATGATGATTGCACGCTTGGGAGAAGGAAGGACTAAAACAAGAAAGAGCAAGAACATGAATACATACCTTAGGCTTGGTCTTGAGGGCTGATTCCCTATTGGCATGAGCAAATGCTTTTACGACCGCATCGTCGTCATCGGACGCTCCTTTCAGAAACTCGCGGCGCAAGGCCGGCGCCCGAAGAACTGCCTTCCAGCGATCTGCATTTTCGTCGATGTCCTCTCGAAGTGTCCTCAATGGGTCAGCCTCTGGGTGCCAGAGGCCGCAGCCTATACGTTACGATTTCGAATGAGTCAGGACGAATTTCCACAATGGTTAGAAAAGGAGCAATGGCAGGGACAGAGCCGCAAAATTGTCCTGGAAGGAGAGGGCGGAGCAAAAGGCCCTGCGAAGATGGAAGCGACGTGCGGGATAATTAAGAACTCACCAACAAAACAAGCGCCAGGCTGGAAATGGACATAGTACGCTGCATAAGGACCTTTCTTGCCAGTCCGGGACCTTTGCCTTGATCAGTGTTTCATTCCCATTGGCCTTAGTCGAGGGCACTTACCACGCAGCCGAAAAATGAATCTATTCGTCCGTCAGCAGGGGCACACGCACGCCGCTAATGAGCATCACGGTAACACAAGCATCTCGCCCGTCACGTCACTCGTGTCACCTGCCTTACCAGGAGTGATTTTGCGGGAAGGAGATCCGGCCATGCAGGAGAAAACATACCTTGTACGGAAGTGGATTTTTGCTGAAGCGGATGTCGCGATGAATGCGGAATACCTGCGCGGTATTGGTCAGAGGCAAGAAGGTGAAGTGAAGCAGATCTGTTTTGATTCGCTGGACGTACCAGATCTTTTACCGGCAGCTCAGGAATGGTGCCGTCCTTCACCGTGATCTTCTGGGTCAAGGTCTCTACGAAGGTCTCAAAATCCTTCTTTGCCGCGCGATAATCAGGGTCATGCGCTATGAGTGGAATTGTCAGCGTACTTTGCCTGGCGGTCGCTCTCCAACAAGCTCGCAATGTGCAATGCAACGAAAATGACTAGAGTAGCTTACCTTTGAGCCATTCGCGATCGTTGTTCTTCGCCAGATCCTGCAGGAACAGCTTGGTGTTGGGATGCAGCACCTCATCCTGGTATGGCACGTTGCCTGGGTCTCGCGCCTTGGGCTTTGGGATGAACACCTCCTTTCCGGGTCCCAGTCCGGTTCGCACGCCTTCACGCCAGAGCTCTTTGCCCTTGAGAAGCTCCTCGTCTGTCGCGGTGCTACGTTGGCCCTTCCCTTTCGGACGAGACTTCTTCGACTCCTCCTCATCATCGCTGGGCTCTTCTAACACCGAGTCATGCTCGGACGACACATCGGAGGCCTTGTCTTCTTCATAAGCAGAGTCCGACTCGTCTCCATTGGATTCGCTAGACGGCGACTCTTCTTCCTCGGAGTTCTCAGGCTCAAAGTACTTGCTTTTCTTCGTCGTGGACTTGACGGGCTTCCCCGGCAAGGATGCGTTAGACTTGACCCTCTTGATCTCGGTGTGCGAAGCAGACAGCCTGGTTGAGGCGCGTCGCTTTGGCGCCGCCCCAGGCGCTTGCGGCGAGGCCGGAGCGGCCCGCGACGATCGGCGTGGCATGGCTGGGATCCAATAGAATATGATCAATGGGATTGATTAGATCGAACCCAATACAAACTAATGTTCTGTCGTAACGTGCTTTCTTCGTTGTTGATATGTTGTCTAAAGACGTCTTTGTAGAATGGTGGCTCCCAGGTAGGTATTTGTTGCTTTGTGGCTCCCGCCGTATCTTCGAATGGTTCTTTGCAAACCGACTCCAGCTGCGAAAACCAAGAACTTGCGCCTAAGCGGAGTTCAGATTTCAAATGAACTGTGGGGAGACTGCAAGATCGGAAGTTCAAGTCTTAGCGCCCGTGCAGAATCTCCGGCTTACGAAAAAGAAAAGCGCAGAGTTCTCGGCGAGCAAAGGGGCCGCATGCCTATTAAAACCGGCTTTCGTTGTTTCTTACTGCGTAATACGAGCCGCGAGGATGCCTGCCTGGTAAACTAATGGATTTTAGTATGTATTTAGCCTCTTTTAGTCTCGTAAATTTGCTCCGCTTTCGCAGTTCCAAACCCTCTTTTTTACTTCTTTTTTGCCTGCCTTTTTTTTTCGCTGACGGTCGAATATCGGCGATCGTCGATATCGATATCGATATCGATCGGACCCTGTCTGACGCCATCCCATCAGCCATTTCCCATCGATCCCCCCCCCCCCCCCCCCCCCCCCCCCCTTTCCGCGTCTGCACGTTGCTGGGGGCATTCCAAGATACTCGACTTTAATGTCTTTCCAAACGATAAGCTGCAAAAAACTCTTATGTTTCAGAGATGCCCAAATATCCCCATTCATCTGACATTCAGCCACCGAGTACAACATCGTCGCAGGACAACCGTGGTCTGTCGCGAACGTCGAGTGTATAGTATTGCGAGTGGAGAGGAGTCGGTGTGCCTCGAGCTTCTTGGGATATCCTCACGTATCCTCTGGTATCTGTGCGCCGGCACATCTTGTAATCCCGGAAAGTCAGTTAGAACGCAGGTTGCAAAGACACAGTATGACATTCATACCGCAACAGCCACGAGAATTGTAGGCACACGTCGTGCCGTACGGGAGACCAAACCCATGAGATGACCGATTCAGCGATCGCTCTTCAAAGTCCGTCATGGTGGGCTTAAACCTGGTAATGCGAAGGCTAGTCAGTCGATCGTGGAAGTCTCGCTCGGGATCGCTGTGTATTCAACGGAATAGTTACTCTCGTGCGGATACCGTTGGCGATATCAACTTGACGGCCCAATTATCTCGACACCATGCCATAGCTCAAGTGGTTGGGGTGGGAAATGTCAAACTCCTTATGTGATATACAACAGAAGATGGAGCTGGTTTCATATCGGAAGAAATGATGCAAGATGTCTGTCTGAGATTGCTTGGTAAATAACGTCGGACAAGAGGATCAACGTGGGAAGAAGCTTGCAAACAGCTAAAGCGTGATTCATGCAGTCGCGTTTGATGCATGTCTGGCTACTGACTTAAGCATAGACTACAGCATTTGCATTCAGGTCAAAGACAACCTACATCATGTAAACACCCTACGCTTTTACAGAACAACCCTAGTAGCAATGGTGATGATTTATTGGCGGTAATGGACTGGCTAGCTGACGGGTTCCAACCTCTGCACCTAAAGTGAGGGAAGCTTCCACCTGCCCGCCTATCCTAACCACTAAACACCAAAGAAAGAGCTCGCAACATGAGATCGAAAAAAACAAGACAAAGCAAAGCCGGAGACCACCATAAGAATATTGGAAAAGCACCGAGTGGAAACCGCAGAGAACGCCATATCAGATCAACGCCTGTAGATCGAGTCGTTAAGGTCGTGAAAAATTCGTCACATCGTCGCCATATCGGCCGCTAGATCAGCTTCCACGAGATCCCAAAGGACAGGATCTTTGTCGTTGGTCATGAGAACTCAGGTTATGCCGAAGCATTCCTGGTCTCCTTCTCCCCGTTGGAGGCCTTACTGGAAGCGGCGGCGGCCTCCTCCAGTGGAAGGGCCACCACGCCAGCTGCCTGAGCCATACGGACCATGGGAGGGATGAGTACCGGAAGGATCCGGGGGACGGCTAGGGCCAGCGCCAAACACGGGCGGAGGACCGCGAGGCGGGGCAGGACCAGCGGGGGGAGGACCAGCGGGGGCCGGGGCAGGCGCAGGAGCGCGAGGCATAGGGACAGGTGCGCGGCAAGGAGCGCGGGCGGGACCAGGAGGCGGGGGAGGGGGGTTGGGAGGCCCCGAGGCTGCGGCACGCAGGGCAGCAAAACCAGAGATGAGCAGGCTTCGCAGGAGCTGCTTCTCCTCATCGGCGGCCACAGAGAACAGCTTGTTAGACGCCGGTTCGCTGAACCACTCGAACCACCAATCGCCGTAGGGCTTTTGGTATTCCTCCCCGAAGTAGAGGCGCTTCATGCCCTCTGGGATTATGTCGGGGTGGCCCCTTGCAATGAGCCCGGCGTAAAACTGATTATAACACATTAGTGATTCCTCATAGAAATGAAAGAAGTTTGTGAAAGCAGCAAGACTTACCTCCAACTTGATGGGATCGTTGGGCGGCACCCAAGTCAGAGTATCGAAGGGGAAAAATGGCAGCATCTCCGGGTGCATGCGGCGAATGATCCCCTGATCTTCGCTGGACTCTGCCAGGACATACTTCATGCGGGGGTTGAATGCAGGGCATTCAAGACCGGCGCGAAGCAGCTCGGTCACCAGGCGACTGTCCAGTCCCATGGTCTGCTCGGCCCCCAGACGCTCCACCAGGGCCTCGATCATGCCCTTCAAGGTGTAGAAGAGCTTGTTGCGCGCGTGGACGGTGTACATGTCCGTCACGTACCACGGGAACTAAAAGACCAATTTTAGCAAACTGGAACAACCTGCAAGGTCTACAAGACCAAACAATAAAGAGGCAGATATGGCTTTTACCTTCCGTATTGTGCTGATGATCGACTCATAGGTTCGCTGGGGGACCTTGCTGGCATAGGCACTCTAGATTTGAGGTCAGTCTTGTGAACGACGACGGGGAGGGGAAAGTACATACTCGGTTTGGCTCGCGAGCGTGGCGGGCCACACAGAAAAGCTCTTCGTCGTTCAAGAATCCAACAAAGCCAGTCGACCATTCTTCGTCTTCACGCTTGGGAACTTGCACGGGACGACCGCTCACCCACTCAATGCACTTGGCCCGGGGGAACAGAGCCTTCAGGAGGTCTTCCTGGGTGCTGACGCTCACATCAACATAGCGATTCCCCATACGGGGACCCTGGTTAGCGTCGTGCATTCTCTTGACGCGGTTCACGGCCTTTTGGGCATCGACAGGGTGGGGGAATTCGACATAGCAATTCATGGTCTTGCCAGTGGACCGCTCCATGATGATGTGGACAGGCCAGCCCTGAGCAAGGTTGGCATCACGCCCGAAGAACTGGACTACCTCTTGACGGGTGACCGTGTAGGGAATCTGTATTAGAGAAGGGAGTTAGAGGGAGAACGCGTCAGGTGTGGGGTAAGATGTCAGGTAAACTTACGTCCTCAATGAGAACAACGGCGTTATGAGTGCCAGCGCGAAGTTCAGCCTCGTTGCCAATCGGGCACTCACTTGGATCCAACAGACGATGAAGCGGACGAGAGTGGTACTCAGCCATCCATTGGGGGTACTGGGCTGAGAGTACAGGGTCCACAGGGTAGTGATACATGTTGAAAGGTGTATCGAAGGGAATGGTCTCTGGTCCTGCGGAGGGGGTGTCGTGGTGATGGGGGAAGGTGAAGGGGGAGGAGAAGTGGAGGTGGGTGATGACAAGATCAGAAGGAGAAGCAGGGTCAATCTGACGGTTGTTTTGTTCAAGGCGGTTGCGGAATTTCCAACAGTTGAATCGATGAAGACTGTCGGGAGAAAGAGCACGAGGGTGAGAACCGAGAGGAAAGCAGGAAGCTGAGCGACGGAGATTGCCGGTTGGGTGAGAAGCCCAGAAATCCAGTTCACTTTCCTCGTCCTCCTCGTCGTCGTGGAGATAGAACGATTTCAGGGAGATCTCTTCATCCGCAGCATCGGCAGCATCGACACTGTCCTGAGATTCAGTCGCGATTTCCTCTTCGGGAGTAGGATCGGATGGACGATCTGTTTGTTTTTGGGTACCGTCAATATCATCTGATGAGGGGGTTCGGGTTAATGAAAAAGATATTCAGCGGTCTTCTTACCAGCAACGTCTTTTCCACAAGGGAAGGTCGCAGGCTTCCGAGGTCCCCTAGGACCAGCAGTATCAACTTTTGCATGACCCTGATCCATAGTGGTGATCGGGGCACGGGCAGTGCTAGTTGTCGCCACGGACTTGGCACCAGTATGGACCATCATGGGGCTTGGAGGAGCTTGAAAAGTCCGTGGAGAAAGGAGATAAGTGCGTGCGAAGAAGAAGGTTGAGAGTAAGAGAGTCCGTGGAAAAAGGAGATGGGTGCGTGCGAAGGAGAAGGTTGGAAAGGTGAGAGTTCGTGGAAACAGGAAACAGCTCGTGCGAATATGGAGTCGGGGAAAGGACAAGAGAAGTTCGTGGAAGGGGCAGATCAGGGCGTGTGAGAAAAGGGAGAAGTGTGTCTCGGATGTATGTAAAAACGTGGAAATAACGGGAGGCGGTCGTTCGACGGAGGTAGTGGATGAAGATGTCTGGGGGGGTTGATATTCGTGGTAGAAGGATATTAGGACGTACGAAGAAGGAGTTTGAAAAACGTCTCGTTCGAATCGTCGTTGTTGCGACCAAACGCGTGCGAGTAGGAGACACAAGGTTGCCGTGGCTATGACAGCCACAACAGGCCTTACGCGTACTTTCCCCAATTCCAACGACACGAACGCAATGGATGTCATGAATGGTATTCGCCCGAGAAAAACTAGCACAATGCAGGACCACTACTAAGCCCTTTGCAACCTTTCGAAGCCACCTCAAAGGCGAGCATAGAAGTTTTGAGGTTGGAAGAAATCGCGGCAATGAGCATAGATACAGATATTTTGAGCCAATCTATACTGTCGAGCTCTCGGCTGTGGCGAATACTGTTCGTCGAGTCTATGTGCATATATTCGGGACGCCATCCTTGTCGAGTCAATGAGTACCAGGCTAGATGGAAAGACATTATAGAGGAGTTGCTAGAAAAGGAGGACGAAATTGGACTCTTTGCATTGCGAGACAGTGCGGCCTGAATAATACAGGAATGGTGGAAGCACCGGGTCATATATCATGGAGTTGCTCTGCAACTAGGGGATCGGGGAAAACGCTAGCAATTTAATCAAACTGCACAAATGTAAGCACGGATAGACAAGAGAGATTTTCAACGGGGTTCATACCGGAGTCAAAAATGATTCGGCGACGAAACGAGCACGTGCATTCAGCTGAAAACAGATTAGAGAACAATGATAGGGATGGCAATGGTATAAAATTGGATGACTTACGAATAGTTTCATCTCCGAAACTTTGCGTTAAATTGCATGTTAGGTCTTTCTCGAGAAATCTAGAAGGCGCACATGAGTACTTACTTTCCTTATCAACCTCCTCCATACTATTTCCTCTGTTAGCAGGCAAGTCTTCCCTTCGCGATAGACCAGTGAATATGATATGGACTCACAATTGAATAACAAAGTCGACGAGTTTATGCTTCAACATCGCTTCGGTGTGTGCGTTGGTGATCAGGAACGAGATGTCATAGCCCTAGCAGATGTCAGAATCATGGTGTGAATGATAAAATAACGAGGGTCCTGTCGAGGACCATCAAGGGTCGAGGAATGTGTATGCATAAGTAGATAAGGGCAATGAGTTATGGAGGGTACTCACCGGCATGGCCTTCCTTCGAAGGATAAAGAATGACTCCGCACGCTAATCGATTATGGTAAGCAAAGATCGAGCAAAACGGGGACGTATTGAACTCGAACCTGCGTGAGGAAGCGTGTGAACTTGTGGACAAGGATGTGTTCGATTTCATCAGCCTGCTTGATTCGGATCGAGAAGCGGACAGAGTTGACACCTAACTTTGGGTTAGCATAAGAGGCGGAGGGTGTATGGGGGACCATGGATAGTGATCACTGACTGGGTTCAATAAGGACCTTCTCATGCTCGTTGCGGCTGATTGTGACCGGGTTCAAGATGAGCTCTGGAGAGCTTCCCGCTTCCACTTCTGGGACGTTGCTAAAAGGCCAATTAGTTCCTGTGTGTACTCTCGGCCTCGGGCTCGATGTAATCATACTGGCGCTCGCTGGTTTGGGAAGCGAAGTTCGAGACTAATTGCATTAGCTGGGTTCGTGATGTGTCTGCATATAGAGGAAATCTTACCTGCCAGAGCAGCCGTGAGACTTACACGGACGCACTGCAAGTAGGGGCGGAGGCTTTGCGACTTGTCGAGGTTCAGTACTTGGAAACGGGGTGTTGCGGGGCTCAACGTACCATGCTGGGCAAGCAGGGGTTGATTTTTTCTATGCAATCGGAGATGCGAGAGAAATTGACAAGTTCAGAATTCCCTCCAGGGTTTGCAAAGGCCAGTCGTTCAAGGCAAACGTTAAACAGGCGACAAACGTCAAGCTAGGCGACAGGAGATGGAGGGGGCCGTGGGCGGAGCTTCCGCGCAACGGGGCGCAAGGCGGGAAGGCGGTGACGTAGCGTTTGTTTTCTGCCCCACGGCCTTCGAGCACCTTCCCCGGAGCTGCAAGCTGTCCAACCCTTACCAACCATCTCATCACTCATTGCAGCTTCAGTATCTCACCTCATTCGGGTGAATCAAATAATATGTCGTCTATACCAAGTGAGTGTCGAAAGATGATGTCTCAGTGGAGTCATCCATTGCCATGACTAATCACTCTTCCAGTCATCGTGAAGCATGCAGGCAAACGCCACGAAGTCGAGCTCGATCCCGAAGCCAACGGCGAAACGTTGAAATATCAGCTATACTCGTTGACTGGTGTTGAACCTGACCGGCAAAAGGTGTTGGTGAAAGGCGGCCAGCTCAAGGATGATACTCCCTTGTCCTCCCTCAAGGCCAAGCCTGGGCAGACATTCATGATGATGGGCACTCCATCCGGAGCTCAAGGTGCTGCTGACCTCGGTCGACCTAAGGACGTTGTGAAGTTTTTGGAGGACATGACGGAGGCCGAGGTTGCACAGCAAGAAGGAGCCACTCCTGCTGGTCTACAAAACCTGGGAAACACTTGCTATCTAAACTCTACTCTACAAACCCTTCGAAGTGTCCCGGAGCTGCAGGAAGAACTTCTGCGGTATCAATCAAGTGGCAGTTCTGGCCAGTCCAGTCTTGCGGACCTCAGCAGCTTCGGTCTGAGTGGCTTGGGTGGCTCCAATGATCTGACTGCTTCTCTTCGGGATCTGTTCAAGCAGATGTCCGAAACCCAAGAGGGCATCCCCCCTCTCATGTTCCTCAATGCCCTCCGAACCGTATTTCCCCAGTTTGCACAACGGGATCGCAATGGACATGGCTACGCACAGCAGGATGCCGAGGAAGCATGGTCACAGATTGTGAATCAACTGCGCAACAAGCTGACGATCACTGATGGAAACGGAGATTCTGCATCACGTGTCTCTTTTGTCGACAAGTATATGGCCGGCAGATTCGACTCTGTTACCGAATGCGATGACCCCGCTGCTAAAGAAGCCGGCGAGGAACCCACCAAGTCCTCCGATGTTTTCTTCAAGTTGGATTGCCACATTGGAAAGGAAACCAATCATCTTCAAGATGGTATCCTGGCAGGCTTGGAAGAGCAGATCGAGAAGCAGTCCCCGACGCTCGGCCGCAATGCTCTCTATACGAAGCGATCGCGCATTTCTCGCCTGCCGAGGTACCTTGCTGTGCATTTTGTGCGTTTCTTCTGGAAGCGCGAGACTCAGAAGAAGGCCAAGATCATGCGTAAGGTGACATTCCCAGCCGAGCTTGATATTGTGGAATTTTGTACCGAGGAGCTTAGGAAGCAGCTCGTGCCTGTCCGCGACAAGGTTCGGGAGATCCGCAAGGACGAGTTGGACATCGAGCGGTCCCGTAAGCGCCAGAAGCTGAACAATAAGCGGGAGGGGGACCAACAGGAGGAAGAGGCGGAACCCCAAGCAAGTAAAGAGCCTGTGCAGAAGAAAAAAGAGGCTGCGGAGACCAAGAGCAAGGCGAACGACAAGGATGGTGATACCGCCATGGAAGAGACCTTCAAGACCGACGCAGAGTACGAGGCCGAAAAAATGGAAGAAATCAAGGCTGCCAAGAAAGAGCTCCTTGATTTGATCAATCAGCACTCTGCTGCAGACAGCGGGAACAACCAGTCTGGTCTGTATGAGCTTCGTGGTGTCATTACCCACCAGGGTGCCAGTGCCGATAGCGGTCACTACACCGCGTATGTGAAAAAACAACCACGCAAATCGAATGGCTCCCAAACCGGTGACAAGCGCCGTGAGGATGAGGATGCCGACGGCAAGTGGTGGTGGTTCAACGATGACAAGGTGACCGAGGTAGAGGCTGAGAAGATCGAGACTCTTTCCGGTGGTGGTAAGTTTGAATTCTATAAACAAGTGACTTCTCGGTTCTTGGTTCATCAGCATCGCTAATACATTATTCTAGGCGAGTCCCACTCGGCTCTCATTCTTCTCTACCGGGCCATCGAGCTTCCCTCGTTGGAGGAGCAGTGATCAACAATACCATTGATCTAGACGCTAAGCTACAGATTTTTCGAATCTCCAAGTCTGCAACGAAGAGAGAGAGAGAGAGCCCTGATTTAGATGCATAGAAACGATGGCCATGATATTTATTCTGAACTTATGGATTGGATATTCATGAAACCTCTTAGCTAGTAGCTTTCTACTCCCGTTTTGCATTCCCCTCGAGTAGTCCGTACTCCGTCACTTGCTCTCAATTGCTTTGCGTTGTTACGAAATATCTAGTCACGTGACGTGTGCCTCGGCCATCACCCGCTCCTATCCACTTTAGCGCTTTAGCTTCATCTCCTTGGTGCACTGGCAATGTGAGCGCAATGCATTCTCGCAGGATTCTCCGGCTACCACTTCGGGCGCATGCACCGCGAGTGCACGTTACCCCCCGATTCCGGCTCGCGCCAAAAGTCTGTCTCCGAGATATCAGCAACGCTGCCGCATCCCAGAACACCTCGGCCCAACCGTCGCGCTGGACGCGCCGATTAATCTACGCTACAATCTTCGGAGCCCTTGGGGTCAGTGTTGGGAAATGGATGGACAACAAAGTCGCTGCGCCGCCACTCCCTGGGACACCGGAGGATAAAATGCAGTTACAGGATATTCAGCACGTCTTCGATACGGGTCTCCCGATAGTCCAAAGGCTGCGTGGGAACCCTGACTTTGTGGAAATGGGCGTCTACGAGAACTATTCGGAAGAGAGCAAGACACATCGACTTACTTCGGGTGCTCTGGGTGGGAGCAAGGGCTTTGGATTACAGGTGAGTGGCTGCAACATCTCTTGGCTCATATTTTGAACCAGCAAGTGCCGTGTTATGCAATTGCCGAACCTCGGGATCCCGCTCAGTGTCTGACCGAGATTCGTATTCGAATAGAGGGCGTTTTGGAACGAAAAGGAGCACCGCCTGATTAGCGTGGTGTTCATGGGATCTGGCATCGAAGGATGGCCAACCATGGTGCATGGCGGCGCTCTTGGCACTATAATCGACGAGAATCTCGGCCGTGCTGCCGTTCGACATTTCCCTGCACGGACGGGTATGACTGCGAACCTCAATATCAACTATCGTGCCCCGGTCTACTCGGACAACTTCTACTCCATCCACTCGACCTTGGATCCGGAGCAAAGCACAGACCGCAAGGCGTATGTCAGGTGTGAGGTACGCGATATGACAGGACGAGTCTGTGTCGAGGCAAATGGTCTCTTTGTTGTTCCCAAAAAGCTAAAGCTCGTGAGGCTGGGCGACACGTTCTGAAGCCCAACGTTTGGAACCACGAACCCATGGGCATGAGAGGGCGTGGCATTTGAACACACCGCGCGGAAGTCTGGTCGCGTGACGAGTCAAGTCGTCTAATCTGGCCAGTCTGTCTAGTCCATCGAGGTGGAATAGCTCCAAAGTATGGCGATGATCATCAATTCGTCAGCCACTTGGACCTGCTTACTTTTAAGGGCCCCCTGCGCTTACCCACCTACTAGAGACGGAGGAGCTATCTAGTCTTGGCCTTGAGAAATCCAATGTACTATAGAGTTACAACTTTCTTTGTCTGCTCCCCGCCAAGGCGAGCCACAGGATTCAACTATCGAGCTGCCAAGGGAATCAGCTCTATTTTTCTTTTTCCCAAGTACCAAAGTTCTTTCCAAAATTAATCTGGCACTCCTTGCTCGTTTCGCAGCATTCAGGCTAGTCCTGCAGTCTCCAGCTAGCAGCGGTGGGCAACCAACCAGCACAGACGGAGAGCGACTGACCATCAGGCTAGTTCCAATTCGGGGGAAAAGTCCTAGTCGTGACAAGTTGACCGGTTCAGTGATATCAGTTACAGTTTCGGGGCTGGACCCCGTTGCGGCACTACGCCCGTAGTGGCGGGGATCGAGACCCGCAAGTCAATCACGTCGATGATGGCAAGTCCACCTTCTCCACGTTTTCCCCCGCATTTCCCTCCCGTCCACGGCCCAAGTCGCCCCCTCAAAGATGCCTAGGAAACTCCAAACTCTCCCAAGCCCTCCAAGAAAAGCCTAAGCAATGCTAAGCGTGCCTCGGTATTTTCTGGTTTTCGAGTTCGCGACCCCGGCTATCGCTTATACGCTCTCTAACTCAATTGTGTCCGCCTTTGGATACATCCACACCCCCTCGACTGATTGGCTAGTTGGCTTACGGACTGTTCCGACCAAGATAACAGTGAAACCCCCCCCCTTATGTTCTGGCGCGACGCGCTGCAATCTCACCGTTTCATGACTGGACTCGTCGTCGTCGTCAAGATATATCTATCTGCTCGTCTTCCCCACTCGAGTGGAGTGAGTCTTCAGACCGCGCTGTGTTGGGAATTAGCATCTCCCTTGCTAAGGTCCTTTTTTCTTTTTCTTTGTCTTCTTGCCCCCGCGGCATTTTTTTTTTCTTAATCCAAGCATCGTACCGCTGCTGTACATTACTTGCCCACTATGACTGGGTCTATTGACGTCCAGACTTCGGCGCAGACCGACGAGAAGGGCGTTATGCAGCACCAGGAGCATATTCGAAAGGGAGGCTCTGATGGTAGCTCCAACGAGGCCGGGCTTCATGAGTCTGAGAAGGACATTCCCGTACGAGCTTCGATGTCCATGGTGTCAAGCTTCAAATCATACTCACTGTGATATCTAGATGACCTTCCGTCGTTTCATGGGATTCACGGCCATGGCCTTCCTGTGGACAGGCAGTCAGATTCCCGTTTATTTGTTCGGTACAGCTCACCCCCTGGCTACTTGTTTCAGATCATTTCATTGACGTTTCGAATCAGGCGGTATTCCCCCTATTATCTACGGTTCGATTGGTGGAGCAGACCGTTGGATCTGGTTTGTGAGTGAAATCGACCAGCTAGACTGCCATTGCATACACTAATATTGTGGTACAACAGGTTCTTGCAAATCTGCTCGCTCTTGCTGGTGTTTGTCCATTCGTTGGATCTCTGTCGGACTTGATCGGTCGTCGCTATGTCGCCATCCTTGGTGCCTCCCTCATCTGCCTCGGTATGATCGTGAGCAGCACAGCGAATACTATGAATACCTTTATAGGTTAGTGTTCTTTGATTAAATGCTGACTGTCCATATATTGACTGCATTTTTCCAGCTGGTATGGCCATTGCCGGTGCTGGCGCTGGTGTCAATGAGCTGACTGCGCTGGCCGCAACCTCGGAGATGGCCCCGACCCGCAAGCGCGGTGTTTACGTTGCGGTCCTCATCTTCACCATCGTTCCTTTCTGCCCGTCCGTTCTGTGGGCTCAGCTTATCGCTGCCCACAGCAGCTGGCGTTACGTTGGTGCATTCTGTGGTGCCTGGAACGGCTTCGGTCTTTTGATCACCGTCCTCTTCTACAAGCCTCCTCCTCGAGTCAACTCTCTCGGCCTGAGTCGGAAAGAAATCATTAGCCGTATCGACTTCGTCGGTGGATTCTTGAGTATCGTCGGTCTAATTCTGTTTATGGCTGGTATGCAATGGGGTGGTTACATGGTATGTTTGATCAGCATGTCCCCTAGTATGTATTGTGGCTTCTCTAACGCATTGTCTCTCTATAGTACCCCTGGAGCTCTGCTCATGTCCTCGCTCCACTTATCCTCGGCTTCGTTATGCTGGTTGCTTTTGCTTTCTGGGAAATCTACGGCGCTAAATACCCTATCTTCCCCACACGTCTGAAGCAAGAGCCTCGCACCCTGGGTCTCACCCTGGTTATCACCTTCATCTCTGGCGCCAACTTCTTCTCCGTGCTCATGTTCTGGCCAACCGAGGCTTTCAACGTGTACGGACATGATCCCGTTGGTGTCGGCATTCGCAGTCTTCCCGTTGGCTTTGGCATTCTGGCTGGTGCCTGTATCGTGCTGGTCCTCCTTAGTGTGTTCCGCGGACATAACAAGGAGCTCCTGATTGTGAGCAGCGTTCTCATGACAGCTGGTAAGTTATTCGCTGCACATCGGCAAGGAAAACTAAAAGTGCTAATCATTTCTCACAGGCTGTGGTGCTCTCGCGATCGGTCGTGTTGACAACATGTATCAGCTGTGGGGACTCCTCGTCCTTGCCGGTCTTGGAATCGGCGGAATCGTCGTTCCCGCATCGATCATCACCACCATTATTTGTCCCGATGATCTGATCGCCACCATCTCCGCCCTCACACTGTCCATCCGTGTGGTGGGTGGCAGTATCGGCTACACCATCTACTACAACGTCTTCATCTCCAAGTTTGTTCCGGCGGCAAAACATTATATCGGCGGTGTGATGATGACCAAGCTGAACATCACCAGCATCGAGGCTATCACTGAAGCCATCGAGCTCACTGGTGCTTCTCTTTTGACCGAAATGAAGCAGATTCCCGGCATTGCTGGTAACGAGACCGCTTACGAGATGGTAGTCGCAGCAGGCCAGATCGCATACGCCGAGTCTTATAAGTGGGTGTACTATGTCAGTATCGCGTTCGGTGCCGTTTCGATCATAGCTGCTTGCTTCTTAGGCGATATCACCAAGTACATGGATGACCACGTTGCGGTCGTCATGTAAGTGGTCGAGATCTATATATTATTTTCGAAATTGTGTATAACGTAATTCGATGACGGTACTGGGAAGCTTTGATGATAACTCGATAATTCTGATATGATGAATGAATTACTTATGCCAATCTCTTGATTCTCGTGAAGTATGCCACTGGATTAGATTAAAAATTTCGAAGCTAGATATGTATTTACGACTACCAATCCGAAGTAAATAAAGTGGAATTGCCGTGGGGCTGCCGATCACCTGTAATGACGCGCCAAGCCCCGGCAACTTTTTTATCCCTCTACATTGCCCACTTCAACAATCTCGACAACTGCCACCATGGCCTCAAATCCCGCCAAAAGGAAGCCATTCGGTACATCCGGACCTCATGGTGCGACCGGAGCCGCTAGGAAGCGTGCAAAAACCTTCGACGCACGTACACTAGCTGTGCAGTCCACCGAGGCTGCCCTCTCCGCAACAGGCGAGCTCGATGTCGCCGCATATGCCGCCGCCCGGGCATTTGAAATTCAGGCCTTGGAGGAGGGTATGCAGCGCTCGAAAAACGCGCTGACAACACGCGCATTTCAAAAAGTTCCCCGCTCGCTGCGACGTCGGACGGCGAGTCACAATGTGAAACGAGTCCCACGAAGGTTGCGTGCGCGGGCACAACGAGAGGTATGTTCCAGTCTAGCGTTGGAGCTACGACTGAAGACTTGGATAGCTAACGAGCAAAATTCATAGATGGTCGAAGACAATACCCCCACGGTCACCGCACGGCGTCGCAAGCCAAGCCAGCTGATGCGCATCCGCCTCGAAGCCGCTCGACGTCTACAAAACCTCAATACGAAATCCAAGAATCGACGATTAGCAGCAAGGATCAAACGAGACAACGAGAACAAAGCTACTGCCAAGGAAGAAGGGGGCCACACTTTCAACATTGCGCCTCGAGTTCCGAAAATCAAAAAGGGAAAGCTGTCACGCCCGCTGCCTGCAGACGCGAAGTACCAAAAGCGCCAGCGGTGCAAGACTTGGCTCCCGACGCACATGTTTCATGCGAAGCGCGCTCATATGGCTACCACCAAGGATCCGATCTGGCGGTTTGCTATTCCAATCTCGCCTACCGAGAAGAGTTATCGGCCTACGCATCGGGCTCGCGGTGCCCGTGGCGCTGTGGCATGGGATGTGAGCTATATGTCTACCGTGCAGCTAGAAGGCACAGAAGCTTGCATTGAATCTGTCTTACGAGCAGTTGGTGTTAATAGTGACGAAGCGTGGGGCACGAAAGGTAAAAAGTGGAGGGCTGGAACAAGGTCTTTGCAAGCTTGGGCATTTGAGAAGGAACAGCCTACCAGACCAATTGCACCGATTACGCTGATTTGGTGCGTGCAACCCAAGGTCGAGGATGTTGAAATGATCGATGCGGACAAAGCTTCTACAACCGTGAAGAAACCACCACGAAAGCTCTTTATCCGCGTCCACCCATCTGCATTCTTGCAGCTCTGGGCAGATTTGGTTGAGATTTCGAAGCGACAGAACCCGCCCGTCATGGTCGAGGACCTAAGATTTGAGATTGGTAGCATTGAGATCACCGGTCCAGGATCTGCCGAGGCACTGTTGGCTACATTGCAGCCTGTTTTAGGCGCAGAAGGTCCAAAGGCACAGAGTCCAGAAGCGACCTGGCTATCTTTACTCGGCGTATCCAATCCGTCATCACTGCCACAGAATGCCATTCTGTCTTTTCCCGTTTCTGATCCTCGCCTCCAATTCCCACCACGCAGTCTCAAACTCCCGGACAACGAATCTCACATGAATGACCTTGCTGTCCTGCTCTCTACTTGGTCCCCCGACTCAACGCAGGGTCCTTCCCCTCTTTTCGACCGCCCGAGTCGCCTTGCAGCTATTCGACAGCTCCCAAGCCAAAAGGCGATCAATCGTCGCCGTGCCCTCGCTGGCCCTGGCAAATACCCTGCTGCACAGTCCACCGACCCACAAATTCCTGTCATGATACTAGCCAATCGTCCACAGGCTCGGTCAAAACGCAATGCTGCTCCAGGATCCTGGACCGTGCTTTTGCCGTGGAAGTGCGTGGCTCCCGTATGGTACTCACTCATATTCTATCCACTATCAAGCGGCGGAAATCCGCGTTTCGGTGGCTTGAAGGAGCAGCAGCAGCTTGCTTTCGAGGCGGGCGAGGGATGGTTCCCGGGCGATTTCCCTGGTACCCGAGCTGGCTGGGAGTGGAGCCAAAGTGAAGCTGAGAAATCACGACGTCAATGGGAGCGACGACCTAAGGGACGCCGGGTTGAGTTTGACAGTCTCGTCCTGGGCGATGGCTACCCCAAGGGAGAGATTGGCCACGGTTGGACCTGTGACTGGCAAAGGCTCGTTGAAGGTCCGTCGAAGGACGAAGTCAGTCGGGATGCTGCTCAAAAGAGCAATGACACGATTGATCATAGCATTCCACCTTCCACCATCCACAACGTCCGCTTTCCACCCAGCGAGACAAATCTTCTCCTCACAAAACTCAGCAAATCACCCATTGACCCTTCTGCTCTCGCTACAATCCACCTTACCCTCTCGAGCCGCGGCACTCCCACTCCCTGTGCTCGTATCTATCGCCTGCCAACAAACCCAGTCCTGCGGCAGAAATGGCTTGATATTGCTTCTCCATCAAACAAAAAGACCAATGAGCGGAAACAGCTCTACAAAACAAAACCCACTCCCTCCAGCGAGGAAGCACAGCGCCAACTCGCTGAGGCATTGGTCACCACTGCGCTTCCTGAAGACCCCGGATCTGAACATTTGCAAGTCCCTACCGAAGAAGACCTTATCGGCTTTGTGACCGCAGGAAACTTCAATCTTTCCGAGGGGAAGGGAACGGGAGTTGGGTCGATTCTACTGTCGAAGGTTTTGCTACCCAATATGAAACCATCTGAGAGGAAGATGTGCATTGTGAGGACTGCAGGAGAGAAGATAGGACGGTTGGGGTGGTGGGAGCTCGTGTAGTGGCATTAATGGTGTTTTGATACCCTCCAACGTGGTTTTACTTGCTACTTGATGAAATATTGATGCACATAGACGAGCCACGCTTATATAGCATGCTTAGTAAATCGTTCATGTAGGATCAATTCCATCCCATGCAGAATCATGGCAACTCAAAAATGAAGAGGAGACAAAAAAAATAACACATCTATACATACAGTACAGCATCCCACGTTGAAGACAGGAGAAACAAGGGACTTCATATCAAGCCGCGGTATCATCTGCCGCTAATCTAACCAACAATGCGATCCACAAAGGCAGCCTCCATCTTCGCAACCTCCATCTTAAACGCATCAACCTCCTTCCAGCAATCCAATGGCCGTCGGTCATTCAAGCGCAGACATCCAACAACGTCCGCCTTGGCCTTTTCAACACTCTCATCCAGTTCAACCAACTTCCTGCGCCCATCCAGACGGTTACGCAGCACGTCAATCTCGCTCATGACCGAGTCCCGCGAGATCTCGCGATTGGCCACGGGCTGCTGCTGTGCGACGGGTTCCTGGGGCGCGGCGAAGACGGGCGCGGGATCGTACTCACGGCCGGCGAAAGGGACCCGCGGGGCGTCCAGGTTCAAAGATCCGACGGGGTAGCCGGAGGAAGAGGCCACGACGGGTGCGGTGGTGGTGCTCACGGGGATGGAGCCGGTGTCCTTGGCTTCGGCGATGCGCTTCTCGATCTCGGCGAGGGTTTGCTGCTCGCGCTCGCGGAGGCGCTGGAGTTCTTGGGCGACACGGTTTTGGATCTCGAGCTCGAGAGCCTTGGCGCGGGAAGAATCCGTCTGTAGTTCGGTGTGAGTATGATTTGCGTGTCTTTTTGAGGGCTGTATAATGTGCCGCGAGGGATTCAACTGACCTCCGAGGTGGACTGGAGGGCCTCAACTAGATTGGAGGAGAATTGGACGGGAGAGTTGCTGCGCGAGAGTACATGTTAGCAAATTTCCGTCATACGTTCATATCCAATTAGGCCAAGTTCAGCAATGCCAATTGCTGAGTATCGTGATGATTGCGCTTGATCGATCGGGTCTCGTGGTTCCGGTTCCCGCCATGGAACATCGGGTTTGTCGAATAAGTGAGTCGACATCGGGGAGTCAATTTACCTTGAAAAGACATGTTGGGAGTTACCCCCAGCCTCAGGCTTGGAACTGCCAGCACCCATTGTTCCGATTGGAAGGTGTATATGCCGTCAAGTCAGTCAACAGCAAGGCGGTTGTGAGAGACGCCCCAGTCCACCCGAAGCTCCGATACTTCGGTCACGTGGGGTGTGTTAGTCAGCTCACCAGTTGTGTGGGTCAAGGTTTAAGTTACTTGAGCTTCGTCTTTTACAAATGAAATAATTGATTCCCGCTGTAGACCCTCATGACTCTAGCCCTTTGAAATTGCACTTTTCTGATCACCATACCTACAGCATACTATCTAATATCATAAACAGCCGTTGTCAGAAGACAAGTCCCATGTTTTATCTTGATCATTATCTTAGACCCTTGACAACTGCATGGTAATCAACTCCCTCATTAAGCTTCAGAAATAGCCAGAGAGGTAATTCTAAACCCATCTAGGACGACGGTCCAGAAAATCGTTAAAAACATCTTTAGAAAGAGCGGCAGTTGTAGCGTATTTAGTTAGAACTCTTCCTCCTGATCGCTAGGTTCAGGCTTTCTAGACGGCGATGAAGACCAACCGAGTTTGATACAGTTTGTGGTATCATTTGACATTTTGGCATGCCATTTACCAGACCATATGCTTGAATGACTGATTCTTATGTCTAGGGATCCATTTGAAGGGGACCTCCCTAGTCACCATGTCCACCTTCTAGGATCTTTAGCATAGTCCATCGTCTCGGAAGTGGTCTGGCCAAGCTAAAATGAACGGAGTACTTGCCATGCCACACTTCGTCAATAGGCCTACGGGATGTGCGTGCAAATTCTGAACACTTCCTATTTGTTGTCAGCTTATAGTTTTCGCAAGTCAACAGCAGATAGGGCGTAGATATTCCCAGTGGTATTGGCATAGAAGATCTTCGTCATAGTTGCCCTGCGTGGCAGCTCTTCATAATTCTTTACCTTTCTTTCTGTAATTGTCAGCTAGGAGCACGCCAGGCAGAGGGCGCTGTATGTTTACAAAAAGACTTCACGAAATCTTTTGCGAAATGCTCCTTCGGAGAGGACATCATACTCGCTCATTATGTATGAAGAAGCTCAAGTCTTTTAAGTTGTTGAATATCACAAATGATAATAAGGGGCAATCTGGATGTGCTGGACAGGAAACATGGAATTTACCTGAAAAGGAAAGTGCCATTATCCGTTTTATTTGCCAGGCACTGCCAGAGCACGATAAATTAATAAGGAAATGAGAAGTTCTCATCATAGACACTTATCCTCCTCTTAACGCCTTCCTCCCCTTAACGCCTCACTCCTCTTAACACCTCACTCCTTCGCAAAACTTATCTTGACTCTCCCCAGAGACACACCATGGTGCTCTCAAAGTCGCCCCACGAGGCCAAGGACACGTCTGATGACCTCCCTACCGACAACATCAGCAGTGGATTGTCTTCTCTCAAGACCTCTCACCGACTCAATCAAATTGACAGTGTCCGAGCTCTCGGAGTTGGCGATCACATTGCGCTGCCGCAACTCGTGGTATGTGGTGATCAGTCCGCAGGCAAGAGCTCTGTTCTCGAAGGCATCAGCGGATGCCCATTTCCTAGACAAGATGGCCTCTGCACTCGCTTCTCTACAGAGATCGTACTTCGTCATAACACCGCCATCTGCAGAAAAGCAGCCAGTCTCATACCATCTCCCTTACGTACTCCTCAAGAAAGAGAGGAATTTGCGTCCTTCAGTCGTGAGTTCGAAGATTTCAACGAGCTGCCGGGTATTATTCAGGAAGCCTCTCGTTTGATGGGGGTGCGATGCAGTGAATTCCCAGATGCCCCTGCCTTTGCTACGGACGTCCTCCGACTGGAAGTGGAGGGAAATACTGGACTACATCTGACATTGGTTGATCTTCCGGGGTTGATCACTGTCTCGGAAAATCCCAAAGACATTGATATGGTGCGGAGGCTGGTCGACTCTTATCTGGAGAGCTCGCGTACCATTATTCTCGCCGTCATACCAGCTACCAGCGATGCCGAGACGCAGACCATCATACAACGGGCGCGACACTTTGACAAGGACTGTATCAGGACTATTGGTGTTATTACAAAGCCTGACCTCATCAACAAAGGTACCGAGGAACGTGTTGCACGTCTAGCGAAGAATTTGGACCGCACCAAGCTACGCCATGGGTTCTTTCTCTTGAAAAACCCCTCCCCAACAGAACTGGCGGAGGGTATCACTTTCCAGCAACGTGCTCAAGCCGAGTCGGACTTTTTCTCAAGCCCGCCTTGGAAGGCTCAAGGCCTCGATGGAACAAGAGTCGGGATTGAAAACCTTCGTCGATTCTTGCAAGAATTCCTGGACAATCACATTGAGCAAGAGCTTCCAAAGGTACGAGAAGAGGTGTATCGTCTTCTCAAGGGACTTCGTGAAGAAATCGCCCATCTGGGACCCGAGAGATCCCAGCCGACTCAAATTCGCATGTTCCTTACTCGGGTTAGCACCGAGTTCCAATCAATTTTGAAGAATGGTCTCGAGGGAAATTATGATCCCCGTGACGGTACATTCTCTACGAAAGACCATGTCAACACAGATTGTCGTCTTCGCGCCGCAATTCACACCGCGAACGAAAAGTTTGCCGAGTTCATCGGGATGCATGGTCAGCAGCGCAAGGTTATCCCCGACGCTCCTTGTGACAATGACTGTACAAGTGATGCAGCCAATATAGCCACTAGCGTTGTTGCTGAAGATGACTGCACTTCTGCTGGCACAGAGGATGAAACGACACAAGGTGGAGAGGTGCTGGTGACGAAAAAGGAGATGTTGGCTTGGGTAAAAAAGGTATGTCCCCAACCCCGCATTCATGAAGCCACGCTAACTTCAACAGATGTATCTTGAAACCAGAGGTCGAGAGCTCCCAGGAAACTACAACCATTCTCTATTGAAGGGATTGTTTCACGCCCAGTCTGCTTCGTGGGATAAAATTTCCCGATCCCACGTAGATAGCATTGTGGCACTGGTGACTCAATACCTGAGCTTTGTGATCAATTCTGTCCTCGAAGACGTCACAGTTCGTGAAAAGGTGTGGAAGAATGTGAAGATCGCTTTCGACAAGAATATTGAAGCCTCTCATGAAGAACTCGGCAAGCTTTTACAGGATGAGCAAGGGCATCCAATTACCTACAACCACTACTACACCGACAACATCCAAAAGGCACGACATGAGGGCGCGAAAGAACATCTCGAAAATGCCGTGAAAAATGCAATCCTGCCAAGTTATCACCGCAGCTCAAATTCCACTGGCTTTCAAGTCGACATCAGCAGACTAGTTGATTCACTACAAGCCCGGATCGAGGTCAACATGGTGGACCGGGCTTGCTCCGAGGCGCTGATAGATCTCGACGCTTACTACAAGGTATCTCGCCCGCTGTTTGAGATTTACCACTATACTGACATCTCGTCTAGGTTGCCATAAAAACCTTTGTAGACAACGTATGCCGGCAAGTGATCGAACGACATATTCTCGCTCCCCTGCCCACAGTGTTTGACCCGACTGTTGTCAGTGGCTATTCCGACGAGGACTTGCTGCGATTGGCTGCAGAGTCACCACAGACCAGTCATCGTCGTGTCGAGGCCCTCAAGTTGCAGAGGGCATTGAAGCAATCCCTCCAGGAGCTTTCGTTGTGAAAGGAACGGGCTTGTGCTGGATGATTCTCTTGATCTGGCCACCTCCTCCATATCTTGCGTGACTCTGAGGCGTGCAAATATGACAAATTCTCTTCTTTGCTGATTGACTCTTATCCTGAGATATTGATAATGAGAATGATTAATTTACCTTGTCAGCGTGCTCATATCTAACTTTCATGAACCTAGCGTTATACATGTAGCTTTGGCTATTGTAGGAGTATCATATTTAACGTGTCTTGCAAGGATAAGAATCGCAGTTATTGCAGAGATCACCGGTAGAGAGAGTGTGACTTGTTGGTCATTAGGTTGAAATGATTCTCCAGAAGAGTTATCATTAACTTCCACTTCAAATCAACAACCCCCCGCGCTCGTGGCTTAGCGGTTAAGACCTGGAACTGAGGTGTCTAATCGCATAATCCGGGGACGCAGTGCAATACAGTGACGCACTGTACCTCGCTCCGATAGGTTCGGCGTGGGAGGATTTCCTTTTTATGCTACCCCAATTTATATTACTCCTCAACTGTCAACATCCAATGCTTTTCCTGATATGTTTTTGCATTTTCATTCATGATCAGATCGATCAGGAGAATGCTTCATTATTTTTTTTTTTCTACAAATTCTGAAGGTATGAGTGGGCGTATTAGTAGGGGACTTGTTGGGTATGAGCATTTGAATGAGGTTCATCGAAGACGAGGGATGGAGGATCGAGAATCGAGCAGTGTTTGTATGGGAGGCAGAGGCCGAGGGTTCGATTCTTGGAGGTGGAGGTTCCTTTTCTCACTCTGATAATCTTTTCTAGATTCTACGACTTGGAGTACGCTAATAGTGGTATCTAGGTTCCACAACCAACCCCGGCCTTAACTCTGGATAAATTCTGACGTAATTTCACCATTGACAGCCATATTTATGTATTCGCGGGGCTGCTGTAACTAAAGGACTGTGCACCCATGGATTGTTTATATTTTAGGAACCTTCTGGTCAAGAAAACTATATTAAACAATTGGTTACAAGCCTCCCCCACTCCCCACTGTCCATACGGGATACGTTAGTCATGGGAAATCGAATTGGAGATCGGGAATCCGAAGAATCGGGCCAGCCGAACCCAATCCGTCTCGGGAGCCGAGTTACTAGTGGGGGAAAAGCCGATGGATCCCGAGATGTGAGACGTGCCCCAGGAACGCTCAACGTGGCGTTTGGGAGAGACCAAATGCCTCAAAATGAGGATGCACGACGGGTGGATAAGATTCCATGCACAATCCTCGATCCTTTTGGCCAATTTCAGGACTCTCCTCAGAGTCAAAGATGGACGCTCTAGGAGCGCTATACTCCGATGGTGATACTGTAGACTATGAATATACCTATCGGATGAAATCTCCCTAATCTCTATATTAGTCTCCCCCGGCCGGAATATCCTCCGGGGGTTGCATACGACGTTGTGTGTCTTGTGTCTCCCTAAAAAGCCCTCGTCCGTGTGTTGCATATCCTATTTTCCCGTCCCCTGTTCCTTCACGCCCCAACCACCCCGACTCCTCCGTCTTTTCCGTGTGCGCCTAAGCCACTGTTGCTCACCGGTGAAGTTGGGGAGGGAAGGACGTGTGCCATGGAGACACTGGAGAGAGCCCAAGCCATTGACCAGTCAGAGCCGCTCCCCACAACTGTCACATCCGTAGTTTCAGGGAAACCATTCATGCCGTCATGACTGGGACAGAAAAGTAGGCACCGTGTAATTTTGGTGGCTTGGGGGGGTCGTTGTATTACTGTGGTGTAAGGGTGATGACGAAGTTTCCCCCTCGAAATGGGAGGTAGACGGTTGGAATGCAGGGGTTCTCTTCAGGAACGACTACTTGCGGGGGGCGTTGATGGTTAAATAAGAGTCACTATAAATATAAGCAGTGTTTAAATGATGAATGAGATTGTAGGTAATCCAATTCCTTTCCCATCGAAGGGATCTGAATGACATTCATACTTCCTGCCAACGAGTCTGGCTCCGGTGAAGCCCGATACTTTTTCTGGGTAATACGGGTGCAATACTTGGTTTAAGGCGTGGAAAAGTATAGACGGCCGAGATACCATACGGATAATAAACGGGTACCATACCGTAACTTCGTCCGTGGACTAGAAGAGGGACTGACCTCATGCCCCCGCCGTCATCCCACTTGGCACGCGCTCTCTTTTTCTTCGTCTTTGCTCTGTCGGGACTTTCTCCATTCTCTAATTCCCTTGCTCTCCTCTCGCTCTTCTATCTTGGACCTCCTTCACTTTCCATTTGTAGTGATACCCCCATCCTGCGTTACGACCTCCCAATACCAGCTCTCCGCAAACCGTCTCTCGATCTTTCCTACTCACCCCACCATGTCGTCTGCGCTGCTGGACGAGGCCACGCGCATCGCGCGCGAGTTCGATTACCCTGCCGAGCAGGTCCAGCGCGGTGTTGATGAGTATATCAAGCAATCAAATGAGGGTCTGGCAAAAGAAAACACCACTCTGAGCCAAATTCCTACTTTCGTGACCGCCGTCCCCAATGGCACTGAAAAGGTGCAGTCCTGGCCCGGATGAACCCGTCAGCAACGAGATAGAAACTCTTTTCGCTGACTAGAAGAAATAGGGTCTTTATCTCGCAGTCGACCTTGGTGGTACCAACTTCCGTGTATGCTCCGTTCAGCTGCACGGCGACACCACCTTCTCCCTCACTCAGTCCAAGATCATGATTCCCCGGGAACTCATGGCCTCTGGTACCTCCAAGGATCTCTTTACTTTCCTAGCCCGCCAAATTGAGGCCTTCCTGCGCATTCACCACAACGAGCACTTCGAGGCCCACCTGCGCCGGAGGCGCGATGGCAACCAGGAGGAGGATCTGTTCGACTTGGGCTTTACCTTCAGTTTCCCCGTGCGCCAATGCGGTATCAACTCCGGAACCCTGATCCGTTGGACCAAGGGCTTCAACATCCCCGATGCTGTTGGCCATGACGTATGCGCGCTGCTTCAGTCCGCCATTGACGATCTCCAACTGCCGGTTCGTGTGGCTGCGCTCGTCAACGATACCGTCGGCACCCTGATGGCTCGCTCGTACACTTCCCCCGGCGAGACCGGTACTCTGGTGGGTGCCATCTTTGGCACCGGCACCAACGGAGCTTATCTCGAGAAGCTCGACAAGGTGACCAAGCTCAAGGACATGAAGGATGCGAAAGTTGATACGTCGACCGGCGAGATGATTATCAACGCCGAATGGGGCAGCTTCGACAACCACATGAGCGTGCTGCCAGACACCATCTATGACCAGCAGCTGGATGCTGAAAGCAACAACCCCGGTGTTCAGATGTTCGAGAAACGAGTCTCGGGTATGTTCCTGGGTGAGATTCTGCGCCGCGCCCTGCTGGCCATGCACAACAACCCCGACCTCGGTCTCTTCAAGCCCAGCAAGACCTCCAACGTCTCCCTGCCCTCCGACTCTCTCTTCTACCGCCAATGGGGTCTGGACACCAGCCTGCTGAGCCAGGTCGAGGCCGATACTAGCAAGGACTTTGTCGATGTCAAGGCTGCCCTCAAGGACCATCTGAAGATCGAGAACCCCAGCGATGCCGAGTGCGAGGCTGTCAAGATCGTGGTCCACGCGGTCGGCAAGCGTGCCGCACGTCTCAGCGCTGTCCCGATGGCTGCCATTCTCATTCACACTGGCAAGCTCGAGACCGAGAGCATGGTCGATATCGGTGTCGACGGCAGCTTGGTGGAGTTCTACCCCAAGTTTGAGGAGTACATCCGTGAGGCTCTTCGTGAGGTACCCAAGGTTGGAGTTGCTGGTGACAAGAAGGTTCGCATTGGCATTTCCAAGGACGGCAGCGGTGTTGGTGCCGCTCTGATCGCTCTGGTGGCCAGCAAAGACGAGACTTTGAAAACCCCCAAAGGCAACGAGAAGTGAACGTGAACCAGAGCCTTGGTTTCCACAACCCCATAAAAATTTCACTTCTCCTTGTCCCCTTTGATGAATCCTTCCCCGGGGCTGCGTGAAGTACTGGCTGGGCCAGTATCTCAAAGGTGGGGTGGTTTTGTCTTTTCTTATTGACTGGACAAGCACCTTCTCTAGCTTCGCACCCCGCTCTTCTTTTGCATACCCCGATCCATTGACAAAAGGGTCGTTCGTTGAAACCAGGATCTCATTTCCGACGGACCTCTAGGGAAATAAGCTAGGAATTCTTAATTCCCGGAACCCTACGGCTCTCACACGCCCGGGGTCACCCTTCGGATGCTCTTCTTTTCTGTCATGATTATGCTTCTGCCTGGTACACTCAGCCGGATGTATCATTAGATTTTTTTTCCCCTCTTTTGCTTATTGTTTATTTATGGTCTCACGGAGTTGCACAGACATTGTCCTGGCGTGGAACGGTATCTATGGATCCGAAATCCCTGCACATATTTGCATTTTGGCTTCGAAACTATTTGAATGAAATATTCTAAAATATTTACTCTGAATTTTGGTCTTGACTCTTGCTTAAGTGGCTGCTAGCAAAAAAAGATGATTTGATTATGTTAAGAGTGGAATGATATACAGCGAGTGATCAATATCTACACGACTCAGTTCTCCCGACTTAATGACCAGGCTCATATCCGATTGCCTTCGGAGCCATCACAAAGTCAACGTGACCACCAGTCTGGGCAAGCATGGTAGCCTTGCCAGTGGTAGTAGCTGGGTCCTGACCAATAAAGTTATTAGGGAACCCAACATCAAACTCCGTCGCAGCCTCAAGGAACTGAATCTGCTTCTCCGTCAGACGAATCGACAGCGCCTGGATATTATCATGCAGATGCTCGATCTTGCGGCCACCCACGATAGGGAAAACATTGGGGCTTTTGCACATCACATAAGCCAGCGCGATCGCAGTGACCGACTCGATGCCATGCTCCGCAGCAACCGTCGCCAAAGCCTCTGAGATGCGCCGCTCATCCTCACTCTGCTCTGCTCCCATCACACTGCGCAGACCCTCGCCGCTCGCCTTGCGTGCCTCGAGTTGCTTGGCTGTCTGGAAATGTCCACTACCCAGGACATCCCACGGTGCCAGCGCCATACCAAAGTGTCGCGCCATGGGGAGGATGTCGCGCTCAAAGTCGCGGCGCATCACATTCCATCGGCCCTGATATACGGAGAAAGGCGTCTTGCCGTGTGCGCGGGCGTACGTGTTCGCCGCTGATACCACCCACGCAGGGCTATCCGAGATACCGAGGTACATGACCTTGCCCTGTTCGACGAGGATCTGCAGCGAGTCCATAATCTCCTCGATGGAGGTGGTATGATCCCACCAATGCAGGTACAGCACATCGATATAATCGGTCTGCAGCTTGCGCAGCGAGTCGCGCACGCTGTTGAACATGCTGCGCTTGGAATTTCCCACCGCGTTCGGTGCATTTCCCTTTCCTAGTTCCCAGGTGCGATAGTCGGTGGTGAACTTTGTGGCGATAACGATTTGATCGCGGTTCTTGCGGGAGGCCATCCATTCGCCGATCCAGGCTTCAGATTGCTCGTTTTGGTAGTTGTTGGCTGTGTCGATGAAGTTGCCTCCGGCGGCGACGAAGGCGTCCAGCAATTTGAACGATTGCTCTTTGTCCATGCTGCCCATGAATTGGCCCCAGGCGTCGCCAATGGACATGCCACCTAGTTGCAGAGGGGATACGCGGACACCCGCTGAGGAGGAGAGGATGCGGTAACGGCCCAGAGGGGTCGCGGGTTCGGGAGGTGCTTTGAAGATTTCGTCCATTGTGATGGAAGTTGTGATAGAAGTTGTGATGGTTTGTTGGGACGATTGGAGTCACTGATGATTGAGTTGATGGATGAGAAGTCAAGAATCATGATATACGGTCCGTATTTATATTCAGGTTTAGACGTTCAACCTTCCTAGAGTCCAAGATGTCATCCGGAAATAAGAGTTGGATCCGATGGAGCAGCTCCGTCAAATGGCTTGGCAAGTTGTATGGCTGCTTATGCAATATTGGTGACTATGAGCATGACTATACATGTTATGCTCTGCTTGAATATCCAGTATCGGTATATTCTATCTAGTTTTCCTCTTTTGAAGCCTGTTCTAATTGGCTACGCTGTTGATCTATACTCGAGTGATGATGTCACAGAGAACGTAGCCTATTCACTACAACAAAATGTGTCCTCGAAAATCCCCATTTCTGCTACCAGAATAGACCTAGATTGGTGCACAGATAGGGTGGTCCATAGTAATCATAATTGCATAGATTCGCAATCTCTTCTTCTCCCAGATTCGAATAATACCATCCAAGCTCCTACAAACAAGCTTAACCCCAAACTCCGCTGGTGCCCGTCCGTATCCCCGGACCACGCTAAACCATTCCGGGCCTTAGTTCTGTCAGCATGACTGAAGAAATTAATGCCTCAGGCATCCAATCCTTCCTTGCGGACGATCGGCGTTAGCCAGTCAAGCCAGTGAGCTTATCCCCTTAATTCCCTAATTCCCGCTACTTTCTTCAATCTGATCTCCCCGGATCACCCTAGCCAAGTATCCGGTCGATCTGGGAATGTTAGGAATCACGGATCCATCGGAGACTGATTCTTCCCGTATCCGAGTCGGGACTATCCAGGCCGGTTCGGGACACTGGAGGGCGAGTCCATATTTAGAGTAAGGGCTAGCACTGGGTTTGATCGTTGATACTTTGACAATCACGTCGTTTGGCTTGGGTGTCCAGCTGGGTGCTCTGAGGGTATACTCAGAATACGATGTCCCAAAGAAGGTCCCCCTTCCTTTTTTCGTTGCACTTTCCCCTACCCTCGTCGCCTTTCTTCAAACACCCCTTTCTCTGTTATTGTATGCAATGATGCCTTTACCGTCGTCGCGGAGTAAGGGGTCCTATTTAATTGTTTGGGTTGTACAACACTTCATTTCTCCAAGCGGTGGCCAAGCGGGTCTCTGGCCTGCAGCCTCTAGCTCCGCGATCCTTGCGTGGTCTCCCAGGCCTCGACCTGCCGCTAAGACGCGGTCTCACCTATGGCGGTCGATTTGATACGCCAGTATGGGGACTGCATGATCGACCCGATGATCGACTTTCTAATGTGTTGAACTAAAAGAAAGTTGGCACAGGTGAAGAAACCGCCGTCATTCTGCGAACTGCAAGTCCTGTGGCTATACTCCGTGGCCCGTACCGAGTACAAAGTCCTTTCTGCAGACCGCGAGGTAACCCCAGGTACGTATCTGTGCAGCTCATGCAGAACGCCACGGCCCCCGGATTACTTCCACGTACCACATGGTAAATAAAGATTCAATAGCTACCGTGCGACCGGAGGAGTCCAAGCCCTGATCCACGTCCTTCCCTCCTGTATTCCGTACTCCGTACTCCAATTTCCCTTGGCCGAGTCCACGGTGGCACGGTCTGCCTGAATGCATCGGCAAGGTTGCCCTGGCCTATGATGAGACCTGTAGAAAGGGCCAGTTGAATTGGCAATGCCAATCCTGCGCTGCCTGCACACCTGCATGGATGGCCTTTATTAGTCTCGTCTGCCCAACAGATTCTTCTATTCGTGTTCAATTCCTTCCTTTTTCTTCCAGTCCATTCTTAGTATCCCCTTACAGTATCATACCCCTAATACTCTGTTTGCTGGACGATGCTCTCCCGACTGCGTGCAAACTTGCCTATAATGTCTACATTCTTTAGTTCTTCCAGCTCGCCCAAAGACACAGGCACCGAATTGCCTGCTGATCTGAATAAGGGTGACACTACAACGACTGCCTCCCCCACGCTCGCTACTCATAATGTCTTGTCATCCGATACGGAGGCCCTACCCAAGAGAGAAAAGTCTCCCAAGCCATCCAGCGAGAAAGAGAGCACCCTCGTCGATGAATCAATTCGGGATTCAACCGCTGCTGAAAATACCAACAAGGAGACGACCCAAGACCATCACCTGCCGGAGGTGGTTCCTAATGAAGACTCGAATAAAGAGTCTGTCGTGAAGAACGATACCGAGAAAGAACCCACCAAGGAAGAAGACAAAATATCGAGTAATGGCGATGCAGAGAACACGGTCAAAGAGCCCGAGCCAGAATACCCGACAGTATTTAGACTGTTCCTCATTACCATTGCATTGTGTCTTTGCGTGTTTTGTGTGGCATTGGTATGTCGCCCGTTACGGATTCAAACATATAATCCTGGGTCCCAGTCGCTTAGCTTACAATCGGTCTCAATATAGGACAACACGATTATTGCGACAGCTATCCCAAAAATCACCGATCAATTCAGTTCACTCGATGATGTCGGTTGGTATGGAAGTGCCTACTTGCTCACCACCTGCTCCGTCACCCTGATGTTCGGCAAACTCTACACCTTCTACTCGATCAAATGGATCTACCTGATCGCTCTGTCCCTCTTCGAGCTCGGCTCACTGGTCTGCGCCGTCACGCCAAACTCTGTCGGTCTGATCTGCGGCCGTGCCATTGCTGGTCTGGGTTCTGCGGGCTTGTTCTCCGGTTCGATCCTAATCATCACTCAGAGTGTCCCACTGGTGAAAAGGCCTATTTACACTGGTCTTATTGGAGGGATGTATGGAATTGCTAGTGTTGCGGGTCCTCTGTACGTTTTCTCGTCTATTTGCCTGTTCGATGACTGCTTGGTCTGTTTTCGAGAGGTGCCTTGCTAACATGTATCAGTATGGGAGGTGCTTTCACAGATAGGCTCACTTGGCGCTGGTGCTTCTATATCAACCTGCCCATCGGTGCCGTCACGTTCTTTTTCATTCTCTGCTTCTTCAAGAGCTCCAAGGCGCTCAAGGATACGAAGGGATGGAAAGAGCAGCTCGCTGAGATCGATCTGCTTGGCTCTTTCTTCTTCCTGCCTGCCATTATCAGTCTGCTACTCGCCCTGCAGTGGGGTGGTACCAAGTATCCCTGGAGCGATGGCCGCATCATCGCTCTGTTCGTTGTCTTTGGCGTATTAATCCTCATTTTTATCGGTGTGCAATGGAAGGGTCAGGATCGTGCTACCGTGCCCCCAAGACTGATCAAAAACCGAAACGTCTGGGGGTCGGCCTGGTACGCGCTGGCTATTGGTGCAGCGTACTTTATCCTGGTCTATTACGTGAGTCCCCTTCCTACGAATTGTATCCTTTTCAGAGGCTAAATATTATTAGCTCCCCATTTGGTTCCAGGCTATCAAGGGCGCCTCGGCCGTGAAGTCGGGTATCATGAATCTCCCCATGATCATCGGTGTCGTGCTCGTCTCCATTCTGGCTGGCGGCCTCGTCACTGCCTGTGGCTACTACACTCCTCTCATGATTGCCTCCTCGATCATTCTGACTATTGGTGCTGGCTTGCTCTCTACCCTGGAAGTCAACTCCGGCCATTCCAAGTGGATCGGCTACCAGGCACTCTTCGGTATTGGTCTCGGCCTGGGCATGCAGGCACCCATGATTGTGGCACAGACTGCCCTCAGCGCTAGTGATGTCCCCAGTGGCACCGCCATTGTGATGTTTGCACAAACTCTAGGCGGCTCAATCTTCATCTCCGTCGCCCAGAACATCTTCCAGAACCAACTGCTCACGAACATTCGTGCGGATGCGCCAACTGCCAATGCTGCCCAGCTTGTGGCAGCTGGTGCGACGATGCTGCGGACTGTTGTTTCGGGACCCGTTCTGGAGCGTGTTTTGGAAGCTTACAACGATGCCATTACGCAGACTTTCTATGTGGCAGTCGCCATGGGTGCTCTGTCTCTCATTGGCCCTATCTTTGTCGAGTGGCTCTCCGTCAAGGGGAAGAAGGTTGAGATGGCTGCGGTTTAAAGTCATGGTATCTGCAGAAGGCTGTCACGCAAAAGGTCTCCATAGTCCAGGCTGCCTTCATAAGTAAGGAGATATACTTTAAAGTATAGATTCTGCTGAAAGTTGAGTATTCAAGGATTCCAGGAAATGTTCTTGAAAGAAAAGCATCTCCAGCTCATGAATTACGAGCTCCCTCGACGTCCCCACACAAATCCAACACAATATGCGCACCCAGATATCTCCCTTTCACTCAACCACGAATACTTTTAGATTTAATCAAAAGACAATTACTCGTTCTTCTCATTTAACTGATTATAATTATGACCAGAATATACTAGTAAGGTATGAGATATCGATTTGTGGGGGTAAAACAAGATTCCAAGGGTATCAACAGGAAGAACCTCCACGCCGAACCTACCGTAGCGAGGTACAGTGAGGTACTGCATGGCACTCGTCCCCGGAATGCGATTAAACACCTCCGTTCCAGGTCTATTTTGAACCACTAGGCCATGAGCGCGAGGGTTGCTGATTTTGAGGTGGAAGTTAATGATAAATCTCAATATTGATATCCTTGGTCTACTCCTTGTTTCCTCTGGAGCTCTTATCTTATATCCCTCACGGTCCATTGCATACCTTTTTCACTTCTTCCAGAGTATATTCTGTGAGGTCGTTAGCTCCGATATTGATTTCGGCGTGGCTCTATTTTGACGATGTTGCGCAATTCGATCAAATACGTAAGTGGGTAGTTAAATCTCATCTTTCTATTTGGTCCACGAGAAACAGCGTTTCAACGAAATGGGTACGTTGAAATGCTTGCTCTATGCCCGCGGGAATCAAGTTGATAGAAAAAGGAGACGCCGAACAGGACTCTATAGAAACTGCAAGAAGATCAAAGAAGAGAAAGAAACGCCTGTTAAACCACGGCATAAAGACTGAGATAAATGCCCCAGATCACCCCACAGGCGCTGCCAAAGACGACTCGCCTATCGACAGGGATGACGGTGTACATCAAAGTCGAGACTACGGGCCGATACTTCAGACGGGCGATCATAATGGGACGGAAATCCTAGAAAAATCAATAAGCACCATTCAAAAATCCCCATACTAAGGTGGTCACCCAGCAGCGTGTGAATCAACGGAGAATCGAAACGTACCACAAGAACCAACTCCCACACCTTCGAAAGGGTCTCCCCCTTCAAGAAATTAATCAAAACCACAAAAAGCACGATATTCATCGCCCCGGCCACGGTCTGATCAAATAAAAACTTCATAACAAAGCTATGCAATCCCGAACGCTGCGCCCTGGGCGCCCACCGACCTGTGGTCTCCTTCTCCTTCTCCTTTTCGCGATGCAGAGGCAGAGCAGTACCATCGTCGCTCATTCGAGGCGAACCCTCGGATGAAATAGCAGAAGAGAAGAATGCTCGGAGAGCAGAGAATGAGAACAGAGAGCGCCAGGAGCGTAGGAGATTTGCTATCTCGGCACGTGAGGGAAAGCCTGGGTAACGCGCCTCCAGGGCGCGCTGCCAGTAGAAATTGATCGGCACGATGAGGATGCCATACGTGACGAATTGGAGGAGAGCGAGTGTGTTGAGTGTGAAAGGAGTCTGCTAGAATGTTAGAAGACTGATCATGACCTCTTGTTCTGTCTAGTTTTTTGGGTGGTCTTTTTTTTATTTTTTTTATCAAGGGGTTTCTCTGCTTACGGTGTTTTTGCGCTGGTCGATTAGCTGCGCCAAAAGATTGGAAATGGCATTGAGGACGGTCGATTGCGCGAACGTCACAATTAAGGCGGAGGGCATAGCGGCATGGGGGCCATGAAGGGTCGAGAAGTGCCGGAAATTTTGAATTGGACGTCTCTCGAAACCTTTTGATACGTCCCCACTGGGTGTCTTCGGGGCTTGTGTTGAAGGGGGCGTTTTTTTGGCGTTAAGGAGATTTGCCAAGAACGCGCAACCGTGTCCTATCGACTCTCGACTTTACCACCTCCTTCAATGCATACTTCGAACGTTTGAAATACTTCTACATGCAACATCATTCATTGAGAAAAGAAATAGATCCCATTCTATGTCATTATGGCTCATTTGCTAATTGCTTGCATCTCATATCGTATCCATTGAAACATCCCATTTTATTTCACCGGCAACACTTTTTGAAACTCCACGTTAGGTCCATCCTTTGCGCTGGTAAAGTGATCTACCAACGCCAAATGGCCATTCGCATCTTCTCCCTGGCGATCAGCTAGTGACATGTCAAAGAGGAAGACCAGTCGGGCAAGCGTAAGACGCATCTCCATGAAAGCCATGCTCTTGCCAATGCATCCACGGGGTCCAATGCTGAATGGACAGAACGCCCGGCGCGCCGTTTCAATGTCCTCTTTCGTGCTCGTCCAAGAGACTCCCGAGGCCTTGCATGTTGCGCCCTCAATCCAGCGCTCGGGGATATAGTTCTCCGGTTCGCGGTAGTACTGTGCCTGTCGGTGGATTGAGTAGGTCGGTGTACCACAGTCGGTGCCTGCGGGGAGGAAGACTCCGTCCACGACGGCGCCGCCCTGCATCACTTCGCGGGGTGGTGCGCCCGGTACGGCGGGAGCTAGACGGAGGGCCTCATCGATGCAGGCCTTGAGGAAGATGAGTTCATTGAGATGGCTACCGCTGACAATGTCCTCGACGGCAGAGAAGGCGTCACGGACCTCCTTGGTCAGTTTTGCCAGGGTTTCCGGGGAACGGACCAGGTAGAAGAGCGTGGCGGCCAAGGTGGTTGATGTAGTGTCACTACCCGCAATCATGAGAACGTTGGCCTCGCCCCAGAGCTCGGGCGTACTGAGACCCTTGCCCGTCTCGGGATCCTTTGCGTTCAGCAGGTAGTAGAAGAAGTCCTTCTTGGCCTCGCGACCGGCCATGGCACGCTCCTGGGCGCGCTTGTTTGCCTCCACGCGCGAGTTCATGATAAAGTTCCAACGATCCTGTGTAAGCTTGCGAATGAAGATCTGATCGAGGTGCCAGCGGTCTAAAGGCATCCACAGTCCACACTGCAGGTCGGTTGTTAGAAAGACGTCAAAAAGACACGGGTTGCTGTGATGTCCAGCTACAAACTTACAACATAGTGTCGATTTGCAGCACGATCAACCAAACCAATCACATGCCTGCGACCCTCGGCGACGAGCATGTCAAAGCTCTTTCCAAAGCAGAGCTCACCCATCACATCATAGGAGAGATAACTGAACCAATTGCCCATATTCTTCACCACGCCCTTGCTATCACCACCCTCGTTGCCATCCGCGCCCGCCAGCACGGCGCAGAGTTGCCGCACGTGCAACAACATCACATCCTCCATGCCCTTGAGCGCAGTCTCCGAGAAAGCCTGGCTGAGCACACGTCTCTTGCGCCCATGCATAGTCTTGTCAATCGCATTGTGCGTGTTGTACACGCCCTTGATCGCGGGGAATGCGTTGTAGAAATCAGCCTTTTGGAGTCTCTTGCCATGGCCGTAGATATCGTGTAGACCGCGGTCGGTGTTGACGGAGACAAAGTTCGGCGCGACACGGACGTGCGTGCCGTACTGCTCGTGGAGTCGGTGTAGCCACAGATGGCGGTCACCTTTGAGGCCGTGATAGAGTTGCACCCATGGTGTCACGGAGGCCCAGAAGGGGCCTGGGATGCGGCGGAGTGGGTGAACGAGGCGGTTGTAGAGGACGTAGGCGATGGTCTGTCCGTAGTATTAGGCGATGATTCATACAGAACACACTTCGCTCTTTCGAGTGCTTATCTATCCGAAAATGGATGGGACGAACGTACCAATACTCCTACCACGCCGAGTATATCCACAGCCACCCTCTCCAGGGTCATTTGCTTCAGCACCGGTTCAACGAGCATCGTGAGGATTCGAACTGATCACAGCATGAAGTCAAAGTTGGGCTGTAAAATTGCTTCGGCGTTACGCATCTTCAACAGGTTTGGATTATATACTTTCCGACATCTCCAAATGCGTCTCCACCGAAGGTACCCGCGCCCAGCCGCGGTTACGGGCCAAATGATGACGAGAGATCCACCATAATCAGCGCTGGTCACCTGGTAAGATTGGCTCTCGATCAATCGGAAGCGGCTGATTAGGGAGTGGCGGCTACGTCCGGGTATTTGCAGCTCCTTGGGTTCCTGTGGAGCTGGTGATAATTGTAGGATTCTTGTGACTTCGTGTGGTGGAAGCTGAAAGCGGGAGTCTCCATGGGGCAAATTCGCGGAGACGCGGCCGAGTTATGCTTAATTGGAGGGTAAATGCGGGGGAGAATTAAAGCAACACGAGGGTACATCATACATTGGAGGAAACGTTGAGCATTGAGAGATGTTTTTCTATGTCACGGTTGTATATCTTTTATGGTCTGTGGCTTTTAGGGTCTAGTTGTAGGGCTTTAGGCTATACGAGCCATGCTAGGGCACCACAAATCACGTTTAAAACAGCCAAGAGCCTTCCCCGTGCTATCCTGCTGGCCATCGGTGGATCTTCGGTTTTAAATGGCTTCTTCTGTGGCCATACCCGCCAGTACCCGAAGTCTTTCATATCTCATCGATTATCCGCTCCGCCGTGGAACGGCGGCCGAGAGGAGGGGCAGCTGCAAAGTGCCTCGAAGGGTAATGATGGAGATGGAGAGGACGAAATGACTCTCGATAGGATAAGCAGGTACTGTGGAATTGAAAACCTGAAAGCAAGTCGCCAAGCAGGAGGTTTCATATGAGGAGAATTGGGGTCATTCTCAGTTGATCTGATTTGAGTGCCCCTAACCAAACATGACCGAGGCCAGTAGTGCTTATCTAGGATATCGAGTAGTGTAACGCTCATCCACGAATAAGAAATTGAAGTCGGAGGAATGTCAAACTTGACGTATCGGATCAGACCGTCTCATCATGTCCATGCAACCCACCATCTAGAATCCACTGCTCGTTATCGTCATTGTCATCCTGCACGCGACGCCACGTTTGTTTCCGCTCTGCCCGTTCTTCAGGATTGGTATCTTTGTTGTCGGGAGCGCGCCAGACTGGACGCATTAGTCCTCCCGCTGCAAGAAGTGGATTGTGACTGAACGCATGCCCTCTCGATGATGTTCCTTCGGGCTGCTCGACGTCCTCGGGCTCTGGCTCACTGACTACCGGGGTAGATTCAACGGCCGCGGATTGATACACTCTCCGAACCTTGCCACCCTTGATATCGAGGCTCATCACGGTCTTCTTCTTCTCCCATTCTGGACGAGCCTTCTCCTCCAATTCCCGCTGGATACGCTGCTGCTTCTTCAAGGCGAGCGCTCGCTGCGCGGGACTCATCCATAATGTTGACGCCACATTTGGGGTCTCAAAGTCGGCAGCTTCGTCCACGACCTTGGTTCGACGGGCGTTCTGTGCTTGAAACTGGAGTAGCTTATCACGGTGAGCCCTCGCCGCATCCAATTTGCTTGGAGATGCTGATCCGGAGCCCGTTGGTCTTGGACCACCCTCGTGGTGGACACTTTCATTATGAGCTCGCATCTTCTCTTGCCCACGTTCTGCCCGTAGTTCCTTGATCATACCCTGGATCTCCTCCGCCGAGAGAAGGGGAGTGCCACAGAACGAGCATGGCTGGAGACCTTCCAGTGAACAGATAATTTTGCCGCAATTGACACAGTTGGGCGCAGGGTCAAACAGTGGGTGAATCGTAGCATAACAGTTGCATTTGCGTTTCTCTGCGCCCAGGGTCGGGTTAGTCGAGACCTCCAGCATGGCAATGGCGGCCGTTAGATCCGAGATATTATTGGTGGTAAGTGATCCGCCTGACTTTGAAGAATGACCCCCACTGCCACCTCCTTGCCGACTCGGCTTGCTTGTTTTTGATCGCACATTTGGTAGCATATCCGACAGGACGGGGCCTGAGGCAGATGGAGGCGGTTTCGAAGAGGCCGGGGGTTTTGGTGAATGAGCACGAGAAGAGGAAGAGGATCCGGGCGCAGGCAGTCCTGCTGCATGCACTGTAGGTTTGCTGGCAGACATGTAGTCCTCTCCCTGCTGAGACTTCATGTAGCCCCCGCCTACATCACCGTAGTTCTCAGGGCGGCGTGGGGGGCCCATACTGTGCAACGGCTTCTTGTCCTTTTTGCTTTTCCCCTTCGGTCGCTCTTGAGGCTTTGTGGCTGCGGAAGTATAGCTCTGAGAGGATGAGGTCGCGGAAGGTCCATCATGGCGACGCGCATTGAAGGATGTGATAAATTCGAGAGCTGCGGGGGAGTCGCCGAGGAGGTTTTTCAGGTGATCGGCGCAAGCGTCTTTAGAGAGGGAAGCCGAATAGTCAACAATTTGCTTCAGCGACTCCTCGTCGAGGGGAATCAGCTGGCTGAGCCGAGGGAGGGCCCAGGCTGAGAGGTCCGGCATAGTAATAGCGAAGTGGGTGAGAAGTAAGAAGAATCAAGGTGGTCGAGGTCAAGCAGCGGAAGTGGCGACGTGCCTGCGGAGCTCCCCATATCTGAACTATGCCCGATCTATACCCCGACAAGCCGACACCGTCAGACTCAGTAAATCCTATGTCACTTGAGCTTTTGGGCGACCCATCTCGTATAGTGACTTCACATGGCTGATAATGATAGACAAGTTTCCTACTAACCGCCTCCGCAACCTGGAGTGAGAATTCTGGCCTCTTCAGCATAGCAAAGCCCAGTATAGTTTAGTCAATCTCCTACTTCCCTTATTTGAAGAGAGATATAGAAGGCACTAGGGCTTCTCAATCCCTTTTTCATCACTATGAGGCAGAGAGTGTGGTAAGCACTCCTTCCCGTTGCCAACTATGGTCTTAGCAAGTACGGACCGTAACAGGTACACGTGTATATTCATATGAATACCTCGGGCTGAAGGTATACCTATCTTGCACGCCAATTTCCTCTGATGTTTGCTCTGGATATAGTTACAGACGAAGCCTTCTCTGGTACATCGACAAGAGACTCTGACTTGTAGCCAGTTGAATCAAAACGCAATCACAAGCTCATTAGGCTGTTGGTAGAGGGAGTTTCGGATTTTTAGAGGGGTATACCAACTTCTTTTTTAGAAACGTGCAAGGTCACTGAAGGAAGAGCTTTATGGAATTAAACGGGGAAGGCGTACTCTCGCCTGTAGTTGTACGCAAGACTCGACTCAAATGGAGGCCCAAAGGGCAGCCTCTTTGTAGGCATATTGGCGGATGCTGTGAGGTCGGCTACATGATCTATGAAGGCCCCCAGCATAAGCTCCAGGAGGTATTGATGAATGATCACATTAAAACAGAAAGAAATGCCATGCTATGGCCCAGTGTATGGTATGAAGTAATGTACAATCCTATCCCACCCTCATCATCATCGTCATCTATGCAAATTCTTGTATGGGTCAGACCAGACCCAGAGACGCCATAAGCACATTGGAACCATGAAACAAGTCAAACGCCGGGTACTCCCAGAAAGGAACAGAAAGCAAGTGATACAGAAACCGTAGAGCCCCGAGAAGCGAAGACGAAAAGCCTCTGGGAGAGAAATAGTGTTCACCATAATTCCTTCAGTCTGCGTTTTCACTCTTCACATCATCATCATCATCCTCCACCGTGAATGAGTTCTTAAGCTTGCTTGGCCCAGGCTTCGTACTAGAGGCCTTCTTGGACACATTCAGCTTCTTCTTTTTGGTAGGGCTGGGACTGCCCTCGTCTTCTTCGTGTGGACGTTTGGGAGCCGACGAGGTCGGGCTGCTGGCGCCACTAGCGCCGCTATCGGTGGGTGTCTTATTACGGGTACTGCTGCCACGGCCGGAGATATTCATGCAGCGATCCAAGTGCTGGGCTACTCGATTCATGACAAAATAGCGCGGGCAGATGGGACACTTGCTGGTTGGGACTTCAGGGATAGTACTGTCCTTGTCGGACTTTTTCTTTTTCGGGTTCGGCATCACGGCAAACATTTTCCCGTGAACGTCGTGGCCCGGCAGTGTGATCAATGGTCCGTTCTGGCAGTATTCGGCGTTCGGATCAGGAGGAGGTCGGTAGCCTGCACCGACGGGAGGATATGAGAGGCGTGGGAGACGGCAGTCCGGACAGATGATTTCCTTGACGGTTTGCATGGGATTCCCCTTCAGGAAGATTTTCCCGCGGTCGAAAGTGGCAGCATCGGTCTCGAGGTGTGTGCTTGCCAGCTTGGCCGCATCGATCACAACTTCTTTCGTTTTTCCATCGGCGGCTACTGACTTGCTAGGGGTTTCATCCGGGACGGTTGCCTCTTCCTCGGCTTTCTGGCGAGCGACGACCACCGCGGAGCGCATGCGTGCCACCTTTTCCTCGCGGTGGACCTTGGCGACGAGGTCATGGATGATATTGTGAAAAGTCTCGTTCAAGATGTCGGTCGACTGGAATATCCTGGGTTAGAGTCCCAACTTTTGAGGCCCAAGTATAGTCGCTCATCCGATCACATACCACTTTAGCAATTGTTCCGGCAGGGTAGGTTGGCCTGCGGCTCGCGGTGTTGGAGTCGGCCATTTTTGAAGTCGTCCGGAGGTATCAAACCTCAATTGTATCCGTTCCTTGATGGCCGAAAGCTGAGAGCTGTACCTGCCGGCGACACGGTTCGGAACCCTTTTCGCGCCGCGGGTCACGATCTAGTTCTCCATGCGCCGGAAATCTATGCAGGAGATGCTAATCGAAGCAGCGAGGTCGGAGTCGGTCCGAGGTATCGCAGGGTATCAAGCATAAGTAGAGGGGACCGAAGAGGTAAAACGAGTAGGCGAAAAAGAACGGCGGTGGATGTAATACCCTAGAGACTCGAAAGGCCGGTTAGCTGAGGTTGAAAGTGCCTCGGGGTCCCGTGAATAATGGGTCCCATCAACGTGATCGACCAGGGGGACACAGCAAGATGAATCGAGGAAGACAATAGATCCCTGCCTGGACCGAGTCCATCCAAGGCAACAAGAGCAAGGAACTCACCGATTGAGGAGCCTACTGGCTGATCCAGCGTCGAAGGGCAGGAGATGAGGCGGACTGCCACGAACGAGGCTGGCAAGTTGTTCTCACCCGGGCTTATCTTATCGCATCTCCGCATTCGCCATCCCTCATCTTCTCGTTCCTGTCATGCGAGCGCACCCTCGAAATGGCCTACCAGTTCTTTGCTAAAAGCCCGGCGCGGTCCTCGAATCCGCCTATATCTCCTCCTCCAGCTCGACAGGCCCAGCCACCTATTCATCCGCTTCCCCCTCAACCGCCGCGATCCGCTGTCGCGATCCCTCGACCGACCGCGAATGCCTCCAGCCTGGGTCCGTGTACGCCTTACCCGGGGGATCTCTTCGCGAGCTACGCAACCCCTCATTCGCATATCACGGTAGAATCGATTCGCAGGGCTCATATTCCTTCATTGACGAGGATTACGGGACTACTGCTGCCTATTCGGTACCCAAGCTCGTTCTACACGACCACCATCACAGACCCCATCGTCGCGTCTCTATCACGCGTCGCGATTTACCATGACCACCCCGTTGCTGCTGCGCCGAACTCGAGCACCTCTGGATCAGACAAAGTGATTGGTGGTATTCGGTGCCGCCTAGAGAGACAAGAATCAGATCAAGAAGTTCAAGGTCGTGTTGCGACGAATCTCTATATCCAAACTTTACATTTGTTGTCACCTTACCGTGGCCATGGCGTGGCTGCCTCACTATTGAACTCCCTCGTTTATGGACCGCCCCGAGATTCCGGGGAGAAGCGTCGAGTATCCGAAATAGTGAAGCACTACAATATCCGCTCCGTGACCGCGCATGTACACGAAGCCAACGAGGACGGCTTGAGATGGTATATCGCTCGTGGGTTCCGGGTACAGGACGGTGTTGTAGAAGGATACTATCGGCGATTAAAGCCCTCGGGAGCGAGAGTTGTGCGATTAGACGTACAATGGGACGAAGAGGACGATGGTGCAAGTCCGATCACTGAGAAGAAGAATGCCTCCCAGAGTACAGTTCGAAGTGACCCCGATGACGAAGGGTGGGAGAAAGTCGATGCTGCAGATAGCGAAGAGGATGACCACGGTGTCCAGCTCTTGGGGGAATCTCAAGTGCTGGACAAGGATGAAATGACACCGTCTAGGAAGCGCAAGGCTGAGGAGGAGAGTGGAAACAAGTCTCAACGAAGATAGTCTGTGCATGTGTTGCAGCGACTTGCATGTTTATTGTTAGAATTGCTTTGGATACCCTATGCATAATGGAGAGTCTTTGTCTAATCACACGATGCTACTGCGCGAACATTTATCTTCGAAGCGCCTAGAGACGGTATCATCAGCTCTGGGCAGTATCATAAACTTCTCTTCTCTTCTAAGGGGAAGGGGAAATCGACAAAATATTGGCGATCACAGAGTTTTCGCACCAAGCCCTGAGCGAAAAGATGTGACAACAAACATAGACATGGAAGACATTTGGGTATACTTGCTTACATGGATCAATTGTAAGGATATTTGCGGAAGAGTATATGCTTCATGAGCTTCAGCTAGGTAAAACATGCCTTTGAGCTTATGGAAAAGAATTTAATTCAAATATCGAGTGAGTATGATTGGTTGTAAATTTAACGAGAGCATGGTCTCCTGCGACACTGGTAGAAGCTGAGTACATTTCATGGGTACAAGCCGACTGAAATTGCCACAAAAAGGCATATGGTAGACTATGCTATCGACCAAATCGCGTAGCTAAAAATCTCACAAAGATATGTGAAGCGCTATAGTTTTGCAACTTGATTGAATCGTACGGATGGTCTACTCTTTACTGGGCCATAAGTTGGTCGATCTAAGTGGCATAACCACTTATCAAAACTTCTGAATAATCGAAAGTCTTGCTGGACCTGCTGGTCAACCATTGATGCGAACCTCCAATCTTAAACTAAGTTAACTAGCATACCCAGTGAGTGAATTAGTGTGCTCTCTTACTGATCACTGACTTACTCAGGTTGATCAGACACGTGCTTGAGAATTCTACTTGATGTGCAAACCCGGCGAGAGGTGAGCACTAGAACGGAATGAGACAGATAAGCGTTGTCGGACAGAATCCAGTGGATATATACTTTATTGAGATATACTAATTACAGGTAACGATCGAGCGTTTATTCGCCGTCAAACAAGAGGTTTAAATCAACGCCAAGGGTATCCAATGAATGAAGGCGCAGCAAACGAGGCAAAGCACTAGATTAGATGTTATAGTTCTCCGCATGCAGGAAGATCTCATCTTTAGATGAACCCGTCATAACCTGCTGCTGGAGCTTGGCCACGGTATTGGCAACTTCCACACGCATGCTGGGGGGCCCACAGACAAACACACAAGCTCGCCGTCCAAAGCTCCTCGAGAACTCAGTGAGCATCTGCGAGATGTCAGGACGGAAGTAATCTGTCCGCCAATTGTCTCGCCTCAATCCGGGTTGGAAATAAGCGTAGCGCGGTGTCGGCGCTGGTTGTCTCTGTTGCATGGGTTGAGGACCGCCAAATCCAAAGTCGAACGGAACATTGTTGTTTGACCCGTGTGGCCCAGCACCACATGGATCCATTCCTGGCTGGTAATAGTGCCGGTTATTAGCGATGTGGGAGGCAGTATATGCTCCAGGCAGAGCGGCGAGTCCGTCTTCGTTCTCGCGACGTAGTTCTTTTTCCCTCTCAGCGTCGCCTCCGGCTTCTTCGCGGATATATGCAGAGTTCCGCTTGTCGATGCCTTGGAGCATTCCATATATTTTCTCTTGCACAATATCACGGTCTTTTTGCTCGTCTTTCACATCGGTCAGGAAGAAATGGCACTGCAAAATACCGGCGGGAGCGTGATCTTTGCAAATTCGAAGCTCTTCTTGGAACCACTCCATAGTCTCGGCGTTCTTTAGTGCCCATATGACCTTAACCGATTTAGTAATGGCTTTGCCATCCCGAATCTTCTTAATCAAATCCAGGAGCTGACTGGCAATTGCAGTGATTCCACTACCACCGGCAAAGAAGATGACGTCGTCAAAGGCGGCCATCTCGCGCTGCATGCCACCGTATGGTCCCTCCAAAAAGGCCGTGTACGTTCGGAAAGGCCCATTCTCCAGAGCCTTGCGGAACACCTTTCGCGTAAATCCGCCGGAGGGTCGGAACACAAGGGTACAGTCACGGTACTCCTCGCCATAATTAGACGGAAAGTCATCACTGCATAAAGATGCAATAGTAAATGGGTGGCTCTGAAAGAAGGCGATACTCGGCATGCGTAAGTAAACATACTGCCCAGGGCGCCAACGCATTTGTGTCGGAATCGTCACTTTTATGGCTCCCTGGGGGAGTAGTGTCACCGCAGACTCTTCTCCGATCATGAAGGATGCTAGATGGAACGGATTCGTCCAGTTGAGATAGAACAAACGGATGACGTATGTGACAATTAAGATCACAACGGTTGCCCAGAGATAACCCCAGGATGACAGGAAGTTCTTGGTATGCCAGAACAGCATTGCCACAAATATCCAAGATACAGGGATGTGGATGAAAACGAAGAGCTCATACATTTTATGCCGGAAGAATGGGAGCGAGTGAATGCATAAGACGCATAGAGGGACGATGGCCGCGAGTCCGTTGCCGTACACGTACATGTTGGGCAACGTGATGAACTTGCGGTAATTGATCATGGCGCCGTCCTCCCAGATCGGAGTGATGTAGAAGGGTACCATGTGCACAAGGCTCAGGAATAGGCAAATATAGGCGGACCACCGGTGTAGTCCATTTAAGCGCTCCGGGCCCAATCCTGTGAACATGGAGATGAAGTTGGCTTTTGTGCTAAGCGCCACAATCCATGGGACCATGGCAACTGCAAGCATGCCCGCTCGAATCGCCAATGGCGGTGATCCGAGAGCAATCGTCCAGTAGTACAAGGGCTGCGGGAGGAAGCAATACAAAGCCACAAAGATTAGAGCAGCCAGCACGATAATCGTAACTGCTAGAGATGGAAAGACGAATTCCGCACTTCCGATTCTGACCACCGGGATAGGTCGATAGAAAATCCAGCGCATCAGTGCGATAACCCTCTGCAGCGGAATCAACCGTTGTACCAGGGATTCTCGACGCTTGATCTGAGGTAATTGGGTTGGCGCCGGGAAGAAGTGCGCACTTGAAGCATCCGTACCAGCACTGGGCAGTTCGTACTCGTCGGGGGTGGAGACATTGTGCGGGGAGCTACTGAAAACCGTTGATTGCTGCTCCTTAAACTTGGCAATCCGGATTTTGTCGCCCCATATGTGATAGAATCGAACCAGAGATGTGGTGACCAGCAGCACAATTGCAAAGTAGACGAAACCGTAGCCATATTTCGCGGATTGCGACCACGGATCTCGACTCATCTCCGCTTGCTCCTTCTGGGTCGTCGATGCCGTCACGACGACATTAACACGCTTTGCGAGGGACCTGAGGGAGTCCATATTGGATGATGTATAAGTTGGAGGTTCCCTTGAGCTTGATCGCTAGCGATCGCACCCTGTGCGACTAATCCGAACAGTAAGCTCCAGTGCATTCATTCGGTTTAGCGAACAGTAGAGAAGGAATCTTACCCTGGCTGTGTGAACTGTCAATGTATCGTGAACAGGTAAAAGTACACACTTCCAAGAACCTATAGCTGGCGTCTAGTTCATGACATCGCAGGAGGTCGGGTAGTTGGAGGCATCAAACGGGTGGCAGGACGAACGGGCAACTTCGAGGGGCGATCCCAACTTGATGTATGAGAGGCACGAAGCGGGGGTTGCACAAATAGCATTGCGCCGTCGCTATTGTGACGAAAAAAAACCCACTGCATCGACAAGTCCTGCAGGACTCGTCGCCGAACCAATGGCAGGCGGCCGGTGCATAGCGAGTCATGGACCGAGTAAATGGTGGCTCTCCGGGCGTCTCGCCGGAGTGCAGGTCTACACACGGGCAGCTTTATTCCAAGTGAGATGTGATGGATTAGCGCTGGGAGAGCCAATCAGGCTCGATTGAGGGAGGTGATTCGAGTGAAGTAAAGTGATCCGACCGCATTAGCGCGGCGGGGGATACCAATCGGCAGCTGACTGAAGCTCGAAAGTTTGTCGCTAACAGGGCGAGTTTTCCACACCTTGAGGAGGTTCTATTACTATTGATTATAGTATGCTCTCCATTTGTTTATTTGTGAACTTTGGCGGGCGATCGAGGCTCGTATATAGCTCTCAATGGAGGTTCGTTCTCATCGGAGCTACAATCGGCTACCTGAACCGAATCACTTGCATATCCGAGTGAAGCGACCTGATAGATGTAAATGTGATGAGATACCATTTCTAAAAATATGTATGTGGCATAGAGCTAGTATTTAGGGTAAAGCGCAGAAAGTATATCTACAAATAGAATCTTTGAACGCAAAAGCCCCAGATAACAAGAGAGGGACAGAGTTATACACGCCATATTCCTGGAAGGCATGGAGAAACTCTAGAAACTGGGTTTCAAGGGTAGGCAATAGCTATTCCGCGGCTGTTTCACATTCGAGAAAGAAGTCCTGGCTGCAAAGAGTTGTAACCAATTTTCGGAGGGCTTGGTGATTGCGGTTCTCTTTAGTGGAGGTAAGCATTCGAGGCGCTACATATTACCTGCGTTTCCGCTACCTCGTTTTACAGCATACATTCATTGACCTCGTGGTCTAATAAGAAGCATCATTGACTCAGAATGGTGGCTATCATATGATTCATCGAGTAGTCAAGGATGTCGATTCTTCAGCAAGCCTCTCGTGCTTATGCTCCTGCAAGAAGGTAGTACTTGCGGGGAGAGCCAATCTGAACCCTGCCTTCCTCCAACTAAAATACGGAGGTTATAGGAAAATTCAAACTCAAATGAACTCTGTTAAAATAGAAGGGGGAGCTCATCTTTACTTACCATAGTAGATGTTTTCTCGCCAAGCCGTAAGCTGGTCTGGGTTTAGAGATCCACGTCTACAGGTACCACTACAATGCACATCAAGATCTTGATTTTCCGCCTATTGAGGCAGCCAAGTATTTCTAAATTGGACCAATTTTGCAGGCCTTTGAATAGTATTCGCATACAAGCATGAGCTTATTCCTTGCCTGGACTACACTTTGCTCTTGACGGGTCAAATACACCAGGAAATACACCAGTGACTTCATAGATGTGATGTATGTGAGATGCAACCCAGCTTTCCAATACTACAACCCGCCGGCCAACCTAGAGTTCACGTATATTTTCCAGAATAAAAGCCTTTATTCTTATCAAATTTACAAAAATGCGATCCAAGAGTTTAGTTTGACGGATTTTTCCTGTGTTCGAACATGTAAGCTACATGGAAGATTATTAGTACAGGTCTTCAGTTCCTGCCTTTGGCTTGAGGCATACACCGCCTTTGATAGGAAAGTATTCTGCCGCCCAGTGCTCGCTTTTTCGTCAAGCCTGTCGATCTGCAAGACTCGAGACATTTGGGTATCAAAGCTCATCACCATGGCCGCCCCAGCAGCAACGGCTGCTCCTTCGGTTCCGCCATCACTCTCGCTCCCACCATCACAATTCGCCCGCCTCCAGCCTCACGCCTACCTACTTGCCCACCTTTCTCCTCCGTCGGCGAGCAACCAACCTTCCATTCGCGCCAATGGCCGCGCTCCCTCGCAATTCCGAGTCACATCAGCCAATGCGGGTTCTCTGACCCATACGAATGGTAGCGCTGTGGTGCGCATCGGCGATACCGCAGCTGTATGCGGTGTCCGTGCAGAGCTCTTACACACCGAAGACATCGCTTCATGGAGCGTCTCGCAGGCCTCAGGTTCTAATAAACGCCGGCGTCTCGCAGACCTTGGCGAGAAGCCAACCGAGGAAGAAGAAGATGAAGATCCAGAGGATGAGCGCGCCCATATCGAAGACCTCAACCTACTCGTTCCAAATCTCTCCTTGAGCACCGGCTGTGCGCCGGGTTTCATTCCGGGTGCGGCGCCTTCTGCGCTCGCCCAGTCACTCTCCCACCAAATTCTCTCTCTTCTACACAGCACACGCCTAGTGCGCGCGGACGACCTACGTGTCTGGTATCAACCGCCCAATCTTGGACCGGAGGAACCAGAGCGACACAACCAAGATGAACAGATGGATGTGGATGCCGGGCAGAGCGCCAGTACCGAGGAAAAACCCCGGGAAATCAAGGCCTTTTGGGTTCTCTACATTGATATCATGATAATCTCCCTTGCTGGTAACCCCTTCGACGCCGCTTGGGCCGCTGTGCTTGCCGCTCTTCGCGATACCAAGCTTCCCAAAGCTTGGTGGGACGTCGACAACGAGACTATCGTTTGCTCAGACAGTGTCTCTGATGCTCATAAGCTTTCGCTTCGCGGTTTGCCCGTGGCAAGCTCGTTCGGTGTCTTTGAGGCGGATGCTGCGGCAGGATGGCGTGCGAACGTTATTCCTGATGCTGCAGAGCAAGCCAATACAGGCAAGAAAGCCTCCCCGGAGAGGTGGATCCTTGCAGACCCAGATGGGTATGAAGAGGGTTTAATTCAAGAGCGAGCTTGCATCGTTGTTGACGAGGAGAAAGATGGGAAGACCACCATCGTGAAGATGGAGAAGAATGGAGGCTGGACTGTGGATACAGAGGATCTGCGACAGTTGGTGGACATCTCAGCCCAGAGATGGAATGAAATGAAACGGATACTAGACCAATGTTAATGGGCAAGAGATGAGCAAGAATTAAAAAGATACCACTTTGAAGATCAATTGAAGTCATAGATTCTGAATTCTAGAGCATAGGATATCATACATTGTATCGTTACAGAAGTGAGCTTTCAATGTTAGAAAGCTTCGAAATGTACCAGCCCGATTTGTTGGCGATCAATGCATCGCCGGCTTTCTGGGGGTTCCACGCCTTTTCTTCAGTGGAGGCTCCTCATTCCAATCACCAACATCAGGAATAGACACCGTTGAAGCTCCTTCCACAGCAACGCGCCCAGCAGAGTCAGAACTCATCTTGTTCTGAGATTTTTCGGGGAAGGAGATTGAGAATGAGATCAAGTCTAAGCTCCCTTGGCCCTTGGAATCCTTGCCCTGCTGTTTCTTGGAACCTGCTCCAATCGATTCCTTGCTCTCGGCTGCTTCTTCACGATTTTCCTCCTTGTCATCCTCACTTTGGACCTTTTTCGGGGTAGAATCTTTGGGGCTCGAGGTGAACAGCTTGAGATCGCCAGAGAAGAGGCGGGCAAAGAAGGTTTTCTGCTCCTTATGGGCTGTATCGTCGTCCTTCTCACTTTCAGAACGTTTCCCCTCGTCTTCACCCTCATCCTCTTCATCATCCTCGGCATCAGAGAAATCCCACATGATGCTGGTCTCGCCACGGAAGAATGCTGTACCCCACAATGATGACAGGACACCAGGAACCAGATAGAGCAGTGCGGGCTGGGCATGGTTGGAGTATTGCATGGCGAGCAGGGTAGTTATCATTCCAAGGACGTATCCAACAATGCTAGCCTTGAAGTAAACCTTGGGGAAAGACCGTGCGTCCGAGTATGGTGGTTTGAATTCTGGTACCTGTGGTTTTACCGCTGGAGCCCAGTACCGCTCTCCCCATGCACCGGTGGCCCGTTGATACTGGGGCTTGACATTCTTCTCACTCAGGCCTTGTAGCTGCGCTTGCTGAATTCCTTTCCGGCGATAGTAAAGGAATAGGTCAAACCGTAGTGCCAATCCGATCATCATTCCGGGAATGACAATATCTCCCAAGCCCAGCATAGCCAATGACTGAACGTCTGGCTCGTCACCGGGACTCGGCGGTCGAGGGAAAAGAAGCTTGATCGGAACATCTAATTTGGTGGCAACGGTAACCATCAACGGGGTGAAGAAGACAAAGTAAATGTCATAGAAGAACAAAGACCCTAAAATCAATGAACCCGTCCAGAAGGTGGAGGGTGACATGAACTGCAGTGCTCCATAGCTGAAGCTGAATCCCAAAAAGTTGGTTAGCCACCAAGGTTTTGTCACAAAGGCAAAGTACCCGACGGCAGCAAGAGCGAACAGCCCACTCAACAGATCGAGGAGGCCAACGAGAGGTTTGATATCGAAAAGGCCACGAATATGGGCCCGCAGCCGTAAGCGTTGGTATAAGATGGTGCGAGAAGCCCAGAGCAATGCAAGCATCGACTTTGGGAGCGGGATTGCGCCGAATATTCCGGGAAGAGGTGAGTGTCGGGTATGTGTTGTGACCTCTGATTTGTTCACCGATTGAGCCACAAAGACACGCTCCGACTGTTTCGCATGCCATATCTTCCCACCGGAGAGATAGTGTCTCGGGAAAAGGATCGACCGCACAATCAACAAGAAGTCCTTGAGGAACGCGATAGCGAAGAACACACCCATCCAAGAGAAGTAGAAGCTCAGAATCTTGTTGAGAATCGCGGGATCTTCCAGCCATTTGATCACCAGGTACAGGCCTCCTAGTGTGAGGCCTGCAGTCAACGGGAACATGAGAGCATCAGATGGCTCCAGTCCCTCCATCTTCTGGACTGAACCCGCCTCATCGTCTGACTCGTCATTGTCGGTATCATTTCCATCCTTCTCATCGGTTTTCTTGGGAGATTTGGCGGCAGAGGACGGCCGAGAAAGCGAGGCGTGTGCGCCAATCCAGATAGGGAACAATGATGCAACGAGCAAGTGTCCGTAGGTCGGTAGAAGGGGTTTGAGGCGTTCGAAATGGTAAATTGCGAGTCCAAGCAGCTCCGCAACGGGGCTGATCTCTTCGGACATGGTATTGGGTTGCTCGAGTAATTACACAAGAGAATGGTAAGGGGGGCCTCCTGGAAGCCAGAATAACGTACGCAGCGGATGTGAAAGGGGCGACTTATTTCATGGTGGCCACCCGGTGCAAAACGAGGGGATGTTGAACTGTTGTTGAATCGGAGGTCCTGTAAGATGCCGCGCCAAGCTCCACCTTACGGTCCCGCAGCTCTTTCCACTTTCTTTCCTCTCGCCTCCCTCATCCTACTTGAGCGCTACATACCAGCTTGTTATCGACCGAAACCCCCCAAAACACACATTTCTGATTCCAATCATGTCAACAGATGTGGTATTCGATACCACAATGGTAATGATCCCGGGCCCTTACAGTCTCATCTACCAAAAACTAACACCTGGAGAGGGCTCCTTCACCGTCGAGCTCTACAATACTCATGCGCCTAAGGTTGGTAAACCTCCAACTCATGCGCAAGCGTATCTGAAACTGACATTCGAGTGTTTAGACTTGCAAGAACTTCGCTACTCTTGCGCAGAGAGGCTACTACAACAACGTGATCTTCCACCGCATCATCCCCAACTTTATGGTTCAGACCGGCGATCCTACCGGCACCGGTCGAGGAGGCAGCTCTATCTACGGCGAGAAATTCGAGGACGAGATTCGCGACGACTTGAAGCATACCGGTGCGGGCATCTTGAGTATGGCGAACAGCGGCCCGAACACGAACGGTAGTCAGTTCTTCGTCACACTTGCGCCAACGCCGTGGTTGGATGGAAAGCACACGATCTTCGGCCGGGTCAAGAGCGGGATGCGAGTGATTCAACGCATGGGTTTAGTGAAGACAAACGGTGAAGATCGTCCCATGGACGAAGTCAAGATCATTCGGGCTCGAGTGGTGGAGGAGGGAGCTGAGGCTTGAACAACGCAAGGGCCTTACAACAGCTCCATTGCAGCTCAATACAGAGGCATCTCTGCGATATGGCTTTCCTTTATAGCCACGAACATCGGTCCACCCTACATCGAGGATTGAGGCAGTCGCCATTGGGCGCGCATGAGGTTCAACCTGGCTGGCATCCCGCGCATCCGCCAGGCACGAGTTGGGCTCGGAGATACTCTTGCTCACGTCCATTAGGCATGGCATCGGGACTTGTGCCCATCTACGAAGCTACGAAACCCATCATATCGGAGGAGCCAACTCCTTCAACCCAATATAGTAGACGAATGAATGAATGTATCACTACAAAACGAACCGCTTCTGTCAAATGTCTCCATCCAGAGCAGCAGATACAGAGTGAAATCTTATCTGTCACCCCCGACGAGCACCAGTGAAGGTATTCGTCATAAAGCCCGGGATTGTCATGACATGGCAACCGGGCTGTGCAAAGCACTGGGAGTGGCATGGGAGAAAAGAAACCTAATTAGCAGGAATTTTCATTTTTAAGTGGGCGCCAACGAGTGTGATGAGTAATCAAGTGTCACGTGTTGGTCTCTTGTTTATTTCGAACAGCCCCAGGTTCAAAACAGATTCCAAAGTCAGTCCCAGGTCAAGCAAATAATGCTAATATGATGCTGTGTAGAGAAACCATATTCGTGTATCTGCCCAAAAAGAGTGGGTGGCAAAATGAAGTCGGGTCCAGTAGGATGCATCGTATTTCTGAGGACTCAGCAGCTCCTCCTGCAGCACGCCTTTTCCAACCTACCCCACCATCGCGAACAGGTTGACATGCCTCTTACTACTCCCACACCATCCGCAGCTATTGCGAGCGCTATCGCTGGACGTCTTCCCGGTTTTGCATATGCCCAGGGAGCCGAGGTTACCATCCGCGATACCCCACGGCACGGTGAGCCCGGCATCTATGAAGCGCGCAATGGCGAACTAGCCCTCTCCACCCAAGGCACAACCCAAGCGCAGCGCTCCTTTCTTGCAGACATTTTCCAAGGCGAGTTTAAAGGATATGCTGGACAACATGCTCTATATTTCACCACACAATGTCCAACGCTGCATATCCCAAGCTACCTCGCGCTGTCCAGCACAGTTGACCATAAAGCAACATCGAATCCTGCCCTAGCCGATATTCAACGACTTACCAAGCTGGCTGGGATAGTCCCAATACTCTCCCAAGGGAAATCTTTTGCGACAGTAGAGTCATCAATCCGTCTTGCTATCGGCGGGTGGTGTAAAGAAGGCTTCAATTGGCCCGCCTGGATCGGATCTGACGAAGCTACCACACTACGTGACCCTGATCGCCTAGATCAAGCTACTCCCGCACAGCTTGAAAAGCTCCTCACTGCCATGCAACGACAGGACCGCTTCGCCGATGGCACCATTGAAACAGCTTACAGTTCCGGTCTAATCAGGCGTATTGCTCAACGAGCAGCGGCCATTCTTCAGCAATCCTAGGATATGCCTCATCCTTGCTGTTGGAATGGCAACGCTGTGAACCTCCAGGCTTCGACTCGTCTAGGTCTCGTGACTCTGATTTGAATATATCCTAGCACTTTGTGCTTTCCATTTTGACTGGGTCCCGGCCAAACTTAGATTGACTTTACTCCCATGTAGCGAATAGGGCGACCTCGATGTATGTTGTGAGCTTTATAGCTTCGAAACTGGTTACTTTTGGGACGTTCAGAATACCTCTCAAGCAAGGTACGTGCCTGCCTACGAGGCATTGGTAGAAGTTGAGAATCCAAAAATTAGCCATCACTTCCTTTAGCTTTGCCTTCCTTTTATACCACAATCCAACATTTTGACCTGACATGAGCAAGATACTTGGCCGATAGCCCCGCTAACTAACGCCAACGCGGTATAGTTGGCAGTATAGCTCTGACCGCCTTCCCACACAAAAGCTCCGCGTGCCAAAAGTTTTTTTCCTTCTTCCCTCCTCCCTCCACTGGATCCTCGAATCCGTAGGCTAAACATTCTCGGTCTAGCCTGTGGACTTCCAGAGATGCTCACAAAGTGTTTGAAGAGCCACCCAATGTGATGAGAGTTGGGCCTGCTTCTTGCTAAAGTACAACTCGTGCACTTACCTGCTACAGCACAGACCTTGGCACTGATCGTTGACAACATGGAGTCACTATCAGAGCATCCTTGGGATGTAATTATTGCAGGTACTGGGCTGGATCAATCTCTTCTGGCATTGTGAGTGTCTCTTGTGAAGCTGGGATTCCGTTCTCCCTCTAACCTCGTCCTCATCCAGAGCCCTCTCGCGGTCGGGAAAGAAGGTGCTTCACCTGGATCAGAACTCATACTATGGCGGCTCAGAGGCCGCTTTCAGTCTGGACGAGGCTTCAGAGTGGATGAACAGCGTCAATCAACGTGGGTCGTCGCCGCGAGTGTCTTTCATCTCAGCCCATCGCTGATATGTCTCAACTGGCAGATCCAGGCCGGACTCCATTTGAAGATGCCAAGATTTTCACCCACCAAGACTCACCTGAGTCTGCCCCCTCCACGGTCGACCCTCACACTAGCGAGCGTCCTCAAGGCACGCCAGACGTTCGTCCTAAGCTAGCTGCTAGTCGCGCCTACACGCTTTCTCTTTCCCCATACTTCCTCTACACCCGCTCAGAACTAATCTCCATCCTCATCTCTTCAAAGGTCTACCGCCAGCTGGAGTTCATGGCAGTCGGCAGTTGGTGGATCCACTCCCCGGAACACCCCAATGCTGAAAGTCTCGAGCTTGGAGCTACACGACTATTCCACCGAGTTCCTGGTAACCGGGAAGATGTCTTTGCAGATAGCAATATCAGCATGAAGTCCAAGAGGACGCTGATGCGATTCTTGCGACACATCAGCAAACCTCAGGACGAGGAAGAGCAGGGCGAGGCGGAGGAAAAGGAGGACCTGTCGATGCCCTTTGCGGACTATTTGTCGTCCAATTTCAGTGTCCCGCAGGATCTCCAAAATCCTCTGCTCTCGCTCTCTCTGTCACAGCTACTCCAGCAAGATACCTCTGCCAGCTATGCAGTCCCTCGTATCAAGAGGCACCTAGCTTCAATCGGTGCCCTGGGACCCGGCTTCGGCGCTGTTGTCTCCAAGTATGGTGGGGGCTCTGAGATCCTTCAGGTGGGATGTAGAGCTTCTGCTGTCGGAGGAGCCGTGTATGCATTGGATACAGGTGTTCAATCAATCACGGACGGCGAACTCTCAGCAGAGTCAGATCACCCTGTCGAGGTGTGTCTGTCGAATGGGGAGACCGTTCGAACTCGCGTCCTCATTGGGTCTGCCTGGGATCTCCCTAGTCTGGAGCAGCCATCTTTTACAAGGGTTGCAAGATCGATTACCATTGCTTCTTCAACCTTCACATCACTCTTCCCGGTTACAGCTGAAGGTGCACCCGTACCTGCCAGCACCGTGCTGATGTTCCCTGGCGATACACTGGACAGCCCTCAATCTCCGCCGGTGTACCTCCAGGTCCACTCGAGTGACACCGGCGATTGTCCACGGCAGCAGAGTAAGTCCATTCGATCCCATCCACTCCTCACGCTTTTTCCCTCTGCTCGTATGATGATTATCCTTTACTTATCTACATTGCCTGATCGCTTTGATGAACCTAATCTATCTATACCTGATCACGAGCACCATCCCTCAATTGTGATTTTATTGGCATCATTCCAAATTCATGTGCTAATGCGTGTGATCACAGGTATCATTTACGGTACCATCGCTCTTTCCGGTCCGGAAGGTCACACGCTCCTTGAGCGTTCCGTGGATCGACTTCTTCAAGCAGAAGGTCCCCAGGCCATTGCGCTGTGGTGCATGCGGTACAACCAGCTTGGCCGTCTCAGTAACGGTGGAACACCACCCACCATCCAGACCCGTTCGCCCCATGTCTTCAACTTCCCGCCGCCTAGCCTTGATCTGGCGTTTGAGGATGAGACTGTTGATATGATTAAACAGGCGTGGGTCAATATCGTAGGAGATGGAGTGGCTCATGATGAGTTTATGATATTCGAGGACCGCGAAGGCACCTCTGATGACTGATGTAGCATGCCTTCACGATTTATGCACCTGGTTAGCTAGACTGGTAGGTATTTGCACATATTATCAACACAACTGAACATACTCATGAACTCATCTGGGATTCGTAAACAATATAAAATTCAGAATAAGGCTCTCAAACTGCGGGTGCGTGAAGTATTGAAATTGAATTCAACCAAAAGTGCTCAATACCATTCCCCGAAATGAATCCAATCACCCCAAATCCATCCATCCGTCCATCCGTATAAGATCATTCACGTTCATAAACATTCCACGCCGAACTGATGTCCGACATACCTATACCATCACTGCCTTCATCCGCGATTCACAAACCGAGCTAAAAGTGTCTGAAACTGCTGTCGCGGCAACACAACAGCCGCCGACAAGACCAACGCTCCAAAACCAACAACCCACTTAGTCAGACCACGCGAAATATCTCTTCCTTCACGGTCAAACGGCGGCTTCACGGTCGGCACAAGCTTATTCAACTTTTCTACGGAATACGGCGGATACCGCGCATCCATGAGCCACTCCATCCACGCCGGCATGGCATCCACATGCGTCCTCAGATGCGAGAACTCACGCACACCGTACGGGCCGTGATAGTAGCCCTGGCCGGAGTGTCCCGTGCCACCGAATGGCGCATCGCGCGCGACGACATGCAGCGTGCAATCATTAAACGTCACCCCACCGGACTGAGTCTCGTCCAGGATGCGGGTTTTCTCGCTTTGATTATCTGTGAAGGCGTAGATACCGAGGGGTCTGTCACCGGCGCGGGTGTATGTAAGGGCACCGTCGAGGTCTGCATCCATGACTGGCAGGATTGGGCCGAAGAGTTCCTCGGAGAGGAGGGGGTCGCCTGGTTTTACGCCCGTCACGATTGTGGGCGCGAAGAAGCGGGTTGTGCGGTCGCGTTGGCCGCCGTAGACGATGTCACCGGCCGTTGAGGACAGCAGTCGGTCGAGTCGGTCGAAGTTGCGCTCGTTGATGATGTGTGTGTAGTACTCCGGTCTGGTGTCGCGGCCGCCCATGAAGGTGTCGAAGTGTTTGATCATGCTGTTCACGAGGGCTTCGCGGATGGTGGGGTCTACGACGACGTGGTTGACATTGAGGCAGATCTGTATAAGCTTGTTAGTGATTACGGTCATTGTGAGGGATGCTTTCAGCACTCATGAAGAGGTCATACCTGGCCTGCGTTGGTGAATTTGGTGGCAGCGATATGCTTGGCTGACAAGTCTATATTGGCCTTTGCAGTGACAATAGCCGGAGCTTGGCCTCCCAACTCGAGCGTTACGGGAGTCAGATGTTTGGCGGCCGCGGCATGCACGATCTTGCCAATATTTCCCGAGCCAGTGTAGAAGATATGATCGTAGCGTTGCTCGAGGATATGCGGCATCTCCTGTGGCCCAGCGCTGATGCAGCGAATCGCACTGCTATCCAGATACTGCGGGATAATCTCCATGAGGAGATCTTGCGCTGCGGGTGCCATATCGGACGGCTTCAGAATCATCGCGCAGCCCGCTGCAATCGCGGCGACCATGGGTTGAAGCAAGAGGAGGATGGGGAAGTTCCAGGCGCCGATGATGAGGGCAACGCCCTTGGGCTCTTTGCGCACTCGTGTGCCGCCCAAGAAGTTCACCATGTCCCAGCGGGTGGGCTTCTCATCCTTGGTCCATTCATCCAATTTCTCAAGTGTGCGTAGAGTGTCATTCTGTATCATTGCAATGTCGGAGAGCCCTGTTTCATAGCGATGTCGGTGGAGATCGGTATAGAGGGCGGCGCAGATACGATCCTTGTTCTCCTCGATCATCCACCAGGTGCGCTTGAGCTGCTGACGCCGCCATTCTTTGTTTTTGGTGACGCCAGATGCGAATGTGTTATGTACGGTGTGATAACCCTGTGGAGTCTAGCGTTAGTGTCGTATATACTCCGTCGGCTTGCGCAGCCGTAATCAACTATATCCGTACCTCGTCAAATTCGGCCGCCGTGCTGAATCCCATTTTGGCCTTCGCGATGTCGGATCCTGCAGGCACAAAAGATAATTATTTTGGTTCTCGGGTTTCCTCGAGGGCTGCGACGGCACCAGGGCCATAATGTAATAAGCGATACTTCGAGTAGCCCCGCCCAGCTGGAGCATGCTTGCGAACTACTCCGTGCGACCTTTCCACCGGGGGCAAATTGTGGAGAACCACAGGCCTCGGTAATCTGGGATCGAGCCAGATCCGCTCGGACCGAGCTCGAGTTCGTCATTAGCGCACGGTCTCAGTGCTCATATTGGCTCAAGCGCGGTCCTCGTGCAGGAGCACGAGAATTCAACGAGAAGACGGCACACCGGGCGGATCGAGGAACCGATGCCAGTGGGTCAGCACAATGATTCCGTTCTCAACAGCAGCTGGAGGATCCGGCGCCACTGGTGAAAGTGCTTTGACCCTCGCAATTTCCCATGCTTCCTGTCACACTTGATTCTGGGGGGCTTCTGGTCCAAGTCTGGCGGCTTCGAACGGGAACGGGGTGGGACATGGAAGTCTTGGAAGATGCCAGCTGCAGATAGGACAAAGGCGCTTATGTGGAGGTGCCAGTCCGTCATCGAAATCAAAATCAACCCCGTTCTCAATGCATCCGATGGAATGGATCACCGATGCTGATTTGCTGAGATCGGTTCTTCCATTTTGTCCATTTTGCACAGCGCCAAAAACTTTAATGAGATAACTAATAACAGAGGGGATTTAGCGGTGTCCGAGAGGGGTAAACACTACTTGCTTACTAACTATTCCGAGTGTGTATCTTACTGTTAGACAGTCTGCTTGGGCTTCGTTGTGTCTAATGAATAATTATAGCCAATGTCAAGGGATCAATAGACTATCTGAAGGATGGTAGTAGTGATGGAAATGGCCCAACTTATGCGTGGCCATGATCCCTGCCACCTCCTCGTATTGCCAACTCCGCGGACAGCCTAACTGGTGCAGTCCCTGCGGAATAAGCACCTTACTGCGTTATTCCCGGCAACCCGGAGAAAGATGTTGCCCCACACTGAGCGTGTGGACGTACTCTCCATTTACTGCATCCAGGATTTATTGGATAAGTCACTTGGTGATCCTCGTGTGAGTTCCTGAAGGCCTTGGGGACGGGTAATTCCGGCCCGTGGATCTTGTTGGAATATATACAAGAGACAGCACATGATTATGTTCCGTCGACAATGATCTGTTATCGATGAATAATGAATATCTAGGTGGTCCTGTATGATCCTTCCGTAGCGGGTCACTGCTTGCCCATTTCGTGTCTGTAGAACCATTTACTGACAACCATTCCTACCTCGTTGGGCCCCTACTGAGAATCCTGTGGTGAGATGTGATCGTCATCCCGATGAGCTGCGACAACCACAGTGTACATGAACCAGTCGGCCAAAGTGCAAGGATAGCAAGTCTAATTAGGCCAACAGGTCCCCCTTGGCAATTTGAAGGCTCTGAACTCCTTTGGCTGCAATTGATTCGAGGCCTTGGGTAGCGATATATACTTTATCGCAGGACCATGGCAGACAGTCCTTGGTCGATATATTGTTATCGTATTCTCGGCGATCACACGACCACCGTGAGTTCTAATGAAGTATATCTTCAGACTCTCCGGCTACTTGCGTGGTCAGCCCTCGCTGACATGGATACCAGCGTCAACACAGCCAGATGCACGGACTACTTTGTCCGTCGAGCAATAGAAGACTCCATGCATGACAGCATAGGAACCACAGCATGTGGGGCAAACCTTGGCATCATGCCGGGGGCGCGACCCTGAGAATTTAATGCTTTCTACTACTGTAGGTACGGCTCACGCGAACCTATCAGAAGCGAGGCAATGGGATATCTCACCTGCATGTGGCTAATAAAGATATTGGATGATGCCAGAGCCTGTCGACGTTGTTCGCTACTCAAGTACCGCCCAGATATACGACGTTCCTTGCTCCAAAGGAGTGTGTCTTGTTGTGATCCTCAAAACACGATGTCAGCAGCATGGTAAAGGCAATCAGGATAGTTTGAGATGTAGATAGGTCCAGGCTCTTTAAGATGCATGATTGGGAGAAATAATAGCGATATATTGCATCATTTGCCGTTGATCCACTCTCTTTTTACATTGTACCACGGAGCACACAATTAACTTGGTCGTCTAACAAGCCCCCCCTTTTTCGGCCTCTGGCCACGATGCCCCTGCCCGCTAACTTTCTCGGCCTCCCCTCCATCCAGATGAAAGTCCACCTCTAGTCTTATCATAACCTTGATCACGTTCTTGGCACATTCACTGGGCTCCTCCCAATTCAGCCTTTTTTCCAACAGCCACGGTAAAGGTAGAACGGAAGCTCCGAGCGTTCTCACCGGCCACGGGCAAGGGGGACTGGCGATCAGGGGCGCGGGCTCCACCATGAACCTGACACACTCTGATAATTTTCAGGGTCCGTAAGATTACCGTGCCTGCGCCGCCCCCTTTTATGGTCAATTTGACAGTTTGCCCTCTGGTTTATGGTTTTTTTCCCCTTCTTCTGCTTTGGGCGCTGTGAAACCGATGCCAAGGCGGGGCCTTGACCCTTAGCGCAGCTTTGGGCCGAGTGTTGCAGCCGTGCACGGGTGACAGTCCAGGAAGTCGTTGTTCGATGCTCCTTCGAGACGTGGATGCGCTCCAGTTCACCCGGATTTTGTTGATGATGCGAATGCCAATATGGAGTATTTGACCAGTTGGTGAAGTACCTCGTTTTGGTGATTCCTCGTGGAAGGCGAGATCGTGAGATTCATATCAATGAACATGGATTAGTATTGAGTTGGAATATCTCAATTTCGGCTGTCTAGACACACAACAATAGTCTCGTGAAATCTATCAGCTTCGTTCGGGAGTGTTAAGGTTAAAGTCGTGTCTAGCTGGCCTCGCTTCGACCCGCGGCCCCCGAAGAAAGTGCTCGGTGGAGTGGGTATACGGTTAATCGAAACTTGACTCCATTTATTTGGAGCGCTAGCCAGTTCATTCCTACGTATGGAGTCCTGTAAGATGTGACCTAGAGTCAGAGTACAGACTTGGTACAATAATGTCAGTCGAAGAATAGAATTCAAATGGAATCCTCATCAAAGAAACCGCGGAAGGAGGTCTCTCGCCCCCCCCCCCACACCACACCGACTGGGACCCAGGCCACTGTGTGTGAAACTTGCCAACGGCTGACCGTCAGATGAATGCATAATCATAATCTAGATAGAACGAGCATGCGAAGCCCATGACGCAGCCGTCTCATCGACCATGACCCTCGACCAGCCACTGGAAAGAATTCTTTACGGAGTACTCTTGACCCAGATGATCATGAAAAATATCCGACCGATCAGCAAAGGTCTTTTATTTTTCTCTTTCATTCGGCCTGAGCTCAGGGCCACACCGTCTGAATAGGTTTCGCAGGGTTGTCGATCTCGGCCCACTTGCTGTGCGGACCAAGGCTGAACCTGAACTGGGTGACGACGATGGAAACTGAGGCCTGTCGCCACTTTGCAACACGTACGATCTGCCGATAAGCTGTTCGGAGTCCTGTTTTCACGAGAGGCAAAGTTAAAAGTAAAAAAGGAAGGGGGCCTAAATATAGTGATCGCTAAATAACTCTCTCGTAGATAATTATCCAATCGAGGCGTCCACCATAATTCCCCCACGAAAAAGTCTAGATCAGTCTCGACTCTTTTCTGTGGTGGTGTAAGGCGCTAGGCACTTGCGTACTTGCGTAGTTGCGTAGTTTAACCCGACAGCTGAAGCACGGAAAAGGGACAGAGTACTCCGTACGATACCGGTTTACTCTACTTTTTTTTGACGGGTGGAGGAGAAGGGACACGCGTCGGTGGGGGCCCCTAAGTGGCTACCGTTGCCCCCTCTGACGCTGACTGGGTCCTGCGCAAAGCCTCTGGATCAATCGTGAATGGCCCCCCGGCTGGCCCTGACGGGTCTGTATTGCTTCTGACTGGCCACCGCGGCTGGACGCCAGGGCCGATCGACCTTCAGATCATTTCCCAATCTTCGACCTGCAAATGGAGTCCGGGACGATTTATTACGACAATAATAATGTCCAATATATCACTTGACTGGTTACATATTATGCAGACTCTACTGACAATTGGGATGGAATTACTATATTGACAGTTCTCCGTAGTTAGTCCTTCCTGATTACTTACTGGCCCGTCATCTCAGCTGTTCAGTACCTAAAATATCGTCCGTGACACTGTACTTGGTTGTTACCAATAAGTATACTTCTATGATGCTACACACAACAAATCAATAGAGTATTCAAACTTGAATCGTTCTGTATGTTATGGTTTTCCCGTCCTATACATATCTAACTTGTCCATAATCAATCGCCTCTAGCCTAGTCCCAAGCCCTATGCCTCTATACAGGTGACGTGATCTATACACGATTATCTCGACACCCACGGCATCATCATGATGAGATCCGGGCAATGCGATTGGAATGATCCGGAAGTCAGACTGGAGGTTTCTTATGCGGTCGCAATGACACCCTTCGTACTGCTGACCTATATGCCATGAAAAGTAGGTGACAGTAAATACGGGGCGTTGTATACGCAAGTTGGTAGAGTCGTATGCCGTCGATCTTGGGTAGGACCAACCGTCCGGTGTCTCTTCAGATCCGGATCGTCCTGCGATAGTGTTGACCTGTCGGACGGTACGCCGACGGTCTCATGGTTTTTGTGAATCGAATCCATTCATCTCACAAAACGATCTCCGATGGCAAGAACAATAAGGGTCTCTTTGCTCGACCGGAGTCCGGATCGACTAGGGAGAGAGCGATCGGCTCATGAGTAGACCAGTATCGTATGCAGGCCATATTGACCAATATGAGAGGACAGACCGAAGCGTGCCGATCATGTAGTCCCATGGGATACGATGGGACGATCACTGCCAGCATTCTTGTACGAGAATCAACAAGTCTCGAAGCGAGGATCCGACACGGATAATTCAAAATTGTTCGGAGCATCATTCAAATAAAAGGAAGGAAATGCATCTCGATCGCTATGAGGACAACTTTGTCTAAAGGGAATGCGTGAAGTTTGAGTTATATACTCCGGATTGCGTGGTCCAACGTCGACGCAAGAATCGTCGATTATGCTGCAAGTGGGAACCCGGCCAAAATTACGGTAATACGGTGACGGGGGCATTCCCACGAGCACCACCAACCAACCCCCAATCCCCATCACCCGTCCTGATCCCTTCTCACTCCACTCCACTACTTACTTCTATGCTCCTCCTCCCTTTTTTCCTCTTCACATCTTTCAACCTTTTACGATCTACCCACTCCTCTCTCCTCCTCCCTCCCAGCATCGATCTGCTTCTCGCCCTGGACTCCCCTGTCCAGCCGCGTTGATCTCTCGTCTGCTTCCTCTTCCCTCCCCCCCCCCTCTCCCCTACCTCCTGCAAAACGCCAAACCATCGTCCACGGCCAAACCACCCCCGACTCTCTTCTACACCATTTGGACCGTGTCGCAGGTCCCGACGCTGCCAGCCTCTCGTTGATTTCGGCATTTTACTCTGCCTGCCATTCCTTCACACCATCTTCTGGTGACTTACATTCGCTTCGGAATATCGCCTTGTTCAGTGCTCTGCTCCTTTTGCCAGTTGCACGATTCTTCAACGGGAACACAACATCCTCGTTCGTTTCCTACGCCAAGTCTAATTTGACAAGGGAAAATTTGTTCATTCGAAGGGAACGCGTCGCATTGACGGGCACAAACATACCGCTCTCCCCCTCAAAATCTCGCCTTTCTCTCCCCGAGTCCCAAACTTGACGTACATGTTCGAAAAATCGACTCCCCATACCACCGTCAGGATGCCTCTTTTCCGGCTGAAGACGGTCTTTCCGTTGATCGCCCTGGTGTCGATTGGCATTTTCTTCTGGTGCATGGAACGCTATGATAGGTCGGCGTTCCTCCGCTTCAAGCACCCTATTGACCGCGTCAACATGGGTGGTAGTCAGACGCAATTAGGTAGCCCTGCTCAGGGATCCACCCCCTCGGTCAACACCTGCGAGGTGGATCCAAAGCTGGCTGCTCCTCTTCCCTTCTCCGAATGGCTCCCCCGCAAGAACTACACTCGTGCCTACTTCCGCCCTCGTATCGTCAGCCCCGAAACCGAATTCCACACTCTGGAGGAGGTTGAGAGGCCCGTCCTCCCCCCTATGGTTCAGATGGAGCGTGGCATGGTTGTCTCTCCCAACAACGACGAGGAGAACTTTGTCTGCCCCGAGATCATCGATGTGGATGTGGCTGCCGATGACGATGTCGAGGAGACCTCCAAGCTCCTGTTCGGCCTGGCCACCACCGTGGACCGCCTCGACCGTCTCCTTCCGTCGCTCCTTTACACCTATGGCAACACCAAGGCTGGCTTGATCGTTCTGGTTCCCGAGTCCGATGACGATTTGGAGAAGCAGGAGACCTACTTCCGCAACCGCGGTTTGGATCTGACTCTCAAGGCTTCCCCTCTGGACTTCACTGCTCGTTACTTTGGTATGGTCGAGGCTTTCTCCGAGCACATCCGTAAGCACCGCCCTCACACCACCTGGGTTGGCTTCAGCGACGACGACACTTTCTTCTTGTCTCTGCCTACCATCGCCAAGGAACTGAAGTTGTTCGATGAAAAGAAGAAGCACTATATTGGATCTTTGTCCGAGGCCAGCTGGCAAGTTGAGACCTTCGGCCACATCGCTTTCGGTGGTGCCGGTGTCTTCGTCTCCAAGCCCCTGTTGGATGTGCTTATGAAGTATTACGATGAGTGCCAGTCCTGGGGTGAGCAGCCCGGTGACCAGAAGCTGGGCCAATGCATCCAGCGCTTCGGTGACACCGCTCTCACTCTCTGGCCCTCGCTTTACCAGATGGATATGACCGACCCCGTGGACGGTGTCTATGAGTCTGGCCGCAAGATTGAATCTATGCACCACTGGAACTCCTGGTATACCAAGGACGTGGTGAAGATGACCACCGTCGCTGCGGCTGCTGGTCGGAAATCGGTTCTCCGCCGCTGGGTCTTTGACCAGGAAGAGACCATCAACAACGCCACCGGCGAGACGGTCCGTCACTTCTGGGTGATGACTAACGGTTATTCATTGGTCAAGTATACTTATGACTCCACCGTGGCCGACGATGCCATCAACTTTGATGCTGTCGAGAAGACCTGGCCCGAAGACCCCCGTGGTTTCGAGGAGCGCCTGGGTCCTCTGCGTCCTGCGGAGGACGAAGGTGTCACCAAGGACCGGTGGTTGTTGCACGATGCCTACGTCGTCGGTGATAATGTGCACCAATTCTACGTGCGTGAGGAAGACGAGGGCCACAGTGTGATCGAGATCGTTTGGCTCGGTCCCAAGGGCGGTGGCGGTGGTGGTATCTCCGATCACTACATCCAGGGTACCTACCAGCAATGATTTCCTCCTTTCCTGCTCGTCATTGAAGGGGAAGAAGAACCAAACAAAGAATAACTCCGCAAGTGATTACAAGGCTGGTCCTTGAGGGTTTCATATTCTTTTTTTATTCCTCTTTCCTTGCTTCTCTCGGCCGTTGCACATCTTTTACTTCACTGCACATGATTCATTCTCTCTTTATTACTTTCGACATCTTCCTACCCTTATTCTTTTTCATTTTTCCCCCATGACGACGCCAATTCCATTTTGCATCAATACTTCTTCTTCCCACCGACCTTTTTATTTCTTTTGATCCCGGATGAGACTCGTGATCGTGACTTGAATACCGCGTCCTCCAGTTTCTCCGATTGTTCATTTATCCGGCGTTAGCATTGGTGGAGTCCATTCTGGTGCAGGAACCAAAGGTGGTTTCTTGTACTCCCTCTATATCCCGGCCGTTGATTGCCACACCACACTACACCTACACACCTTCTTAGCTGCCTGTTGAATTAGGGGTGGAGTCGTTCTCGTCCCACCTCAAATTTCTCTTGCTTGCTCTTTTGTCCTTCCCTGTCCCTTTTTTTTCCTTCTTTCTTTCTTTCTTCCTTTTCTTATTTGCTTCGATATTTGGCTTTCTCTCATGAATCCCCCGTTGTGACTTGGTGGGAGTGAGAAGAGGCAGAGGCTTCTTTTGTTTTATCCATGCCCATGCATTGCTTTGTAAAAATAGACTTGAGAACCGAAGACCGTGCTTGGGTCTCCGTTGGTGATTAGCGTTGAGCTGTCCTTATGTGAAGAATATGATGAGTTCTGCCAATCTTTGTGTATACTTTTTTTTTCTTAAATACCTGATCAGTCCGACTTGATTCATTCACCACTCCAACTATCAAACACACTCGGACTCTGCTAGCCCGAGTCAGAGACTTTTTTGAGACAAATGCCATTGCGCATTATATATCAACCCTCTCGGATCGGCCCGCCAAACAAGCATGGTCGGATCTCGTGGATCTTCTGGGTTTAGGCTCAAGCATGATCCTGCCGGTACTTGGCAGGGATTGATGCATCGGGTCGGCAGTTCGGTGTGTACTTTGTTGATTAGTAGTATGAGAGATTAGGATTGTTTATTGAGCAGATGGAGGAGAAATTGGAGACCACGAGCACCAACGGACTTGACTTTATATACTTGGCTCTATGTAAGCTCCGCCCTTTTCCCCCCCAGAAACCCCAATTCTACCCGCCGTAAGCCTGCGTGCTGCAATGTGATCTACTTACATGAATGGAAAAGGCAAAGACCTTGGAATGAGATCTGATTTCAACCGGTGTCCTACTGGGCTCTGGTGGGTGTCAGACAGCCCCATTCTGTGGCGCATGCCGTTGTCTTAAGTTGAATGTGATCGTGATCTGGCGGCGGGTCTCCGACTAGCGAGCTACAGTACTGTATGTACCGGAGAGCAAGGGTTTCCCGAAAACAGAAACCAGACTCTTCGGCTGTTTCGTTACAGAACAAAACAGAACGCGCAATTGAGATGGACCATTGGGCCACGCCTATGGTCACGAAATTGAGGGAGAGGGCGGTGCAAGTACACCGCAGGCTTTCTTCGTGCGACGTCCGCAGTGCCTTCCATCCCCCGCGATCGCAGCGGAGCGAGGCCTTTGTACCGTACTTTTGTCTTTCTGGGTACGGGATGGAGTACCATGGGGTCGTCCCATGGCCGAATGGGCGGAGCAGAAGGATGCCCAAATTAGAGTCTAATAGCAACGAGACATCTACTTCGTGGCTAGCCACTACAGTACTAGAAAATAATTTTTTGACTATTCTTCGACGGGGTGCTATTTTAGTGGGGGGAAGATGAATGGGGGAAAAGGTGAGAGGGTTTCCAGGACCGAGTTTGCTTGTTTGTGTTGGAATTTCCCCGATCCATAGCTAGCTGAGATCGGCAATCGTGTTCGCTGGGGGCCAAAAAGTTGCCCACCCGCGAGCGGAACGGTATGTGGAATGCAGGATTTCGGGGAGCTGGAAAAAGGTGCTTTCGGGGCTAAGTATAGAAACGGGGTTGCCACTCTGAAAATGATTTGTACGGGAGGGGACGACTCAGGGTAGCACGAAGGAGGTAAGCAACACTGGGTCTCTCTGTGTTAGAACTGGACTAAGATGGGATGATAGGACGGAGTATAGTTAGTTATACAACTTGATTTCCTTTTTGATCGTTTGAAGAAACGAAAATAGAAGTATGATTATGCATAAACGAGGGGAGGAGACAAAAAGGTGGGCGATTTCCTTTTCGTCTCTCTTCTCTCTCCCCTCATTCACATCTGAGACAGCTATCTCCTCCTCCTCCTCTCGAGTCCAGACCACCGGTGAAATTGGGTTTACGCTTGCCTCGAAGCGGATGCAAGCGGAGGCCGTGGGGCGTTCAGTTCGGCGCGGTGAGTTGGCCCTCCCTGGAAGAGCCACCAATCAGAAGAGGGGAAACCGAGAGGGGGCAGGTTGATACCGTCATAAAACGGGGCGATATCGCCCCTGGGAAAGAGGGGGATACTTGTGTAGGTACATGTAGAGTCCATACGTTTTGTATTTGTACTCAATGTAATCCGTTCCGTAGGCACAAGTATCGCACCCGCGAATCGGACTCGCAGAGAGCCCCACTTTTGGTATTGCCCGTTCGATACGGTACTCCACACGTGACTGACCGCCTGCCCCTTCGTCCGTCGCACTTTGCCTTCTTCGACTTCCCCCCTTCCTTTCCTTCTCCAACCCTGCGATCCCAAAACGCGTTACTCGATTGGGTATTCTTCGATTCCCTTCCCCTTTGGGCCAACCTTTTGCTCTCAACGCTTCTTTTGAACGTGCCTCTTCTTTGATCCTCTTCACTACCACCCCACCCCACCTTCCCTTTTTTACCTTCTATCTCCCGTTATCCCCCCATCATGGCCGACATGGCTGCCGTCGACGAGAAGCTCTCCCCAGGCCAGCACGATGACCTGCAACAGCCTGGTAACGGCGCCGATGCCCGTGGCACCAAGCGCAACCGCATGAGCGCCGAGGACGACGACGATGATGACGACAAGCCCGGCCGTGAGCGCCGCAAGATCGAGATCAAGTTTATCCAGGATAAGTCGCGTCGCCACATTACCTTCTCCAAGCGGAAGGCCGGTATCATGAAGAAGGTACGTGCTTCCCGTCGCGACACAACGCTATCCTTACTTCCTTGCCACGTTCACCCATTCCCCTTCCCCCTTCGTGTTGGGGACAATTATCAAACGCGCCGAAGTCACGAGTCTGACTCGGTCGCTTGCAAACAAAATGAAAACATTCACACAATTTCTATACTTTGTATGGGCTAACTCGATCTGTCGTTCTCTCAAATAGGCTTATGAGCTTTCCGTGCTCACCGGCACTCAGGTGCTGTTGCTCGTTGTCTCCGAGACCGGTCTCGTCTACACCTTCACCACCCCCAAGCTCCAGCCCCTCGTCACCAAGGCCGAGGGTAAGAACCTCATTCAGGTATGTCGACGCTATCAACTTGCTACTGCCATCGCCACGCCAAATTTACTAACCGTCTTCCCGTATAGGCCTGCCTGAACGCACCTGATCCCACCACCAACGAGAATGGCGTCGATGCTCCCGATGTCCCGGCCGAGACCCCCGAGGATGTTGGCCACAATGTCAATGCGCCGCAGTCCAACATGCCCCGTCCCGGCATGCACCCTGGCTACATGACCAATGAGCAGCAGCAGCAGATGGCCTACTATCAGAACCTCCAGCAGCAACAGCAAGCAGGTGGCCAGTATCCCGGTATGCCAGTGGGCAACCGCATGCCCCCGCAGCACCAACCCACGGCGTAAATGAAACTTGATTCCTTGTGTTTTCACGCGCCGCTGCGGACGGGGGTCCTAAATACTGCGTCTTCCCTTCTGTTTTCTTCCCCTGCGCACCCAACTCTCTCGCGTTCTTTTGATACCCGTCCATCCGTGCTGATCCCTCGTCCTTCTCCCCTCTTCCCTCTCTCTATCTCTCCTTATGGAGAATGGCACTATCGTTATGCTACCTCTGCCACTCCAAATTGTGAAGTGTACATGGTCAAAGACTCGCTGGATATCATTTTCAGTCCGTCTTTGATAACCGTAATCCGGTCTGTTATGGTACTACCTTGAACTTCCTTGCAACAAGCTTGCTACCACACTCCTCGCCCGGGCGAAACTTGGCTGTTCTTTTGGAGCCATGACAAGAAAATATTGCGAAAAAAAACTTCCGCAACGAAAAAAAAACAGAAGAAAAGAAAAAGAAGCGCAAGCACGTGAATTTGGACATTTGAACGCTATTCTGGCTGGGTTCTGATTTCCCTTTGCCCCCTCTACCTAGACCGAATGGCGGAGGCTGGTGGTGTTGGTGGTGCATTAATTTTCGTCGGCGACGCGGATTCCTTTTTTTCCCTTGTCTTTTTTTTGGTTTGCTATTATCTCATACGACCATTATTGAATCTGCTTTTTGTCCCAAATTCTCCTATCTCCCTGTTTCCTTTGGCTCTCCGAGTGTCTAATTTTAACACCCTTTTTGTGCTCAACATCTTTTCTCAATACTGGTGATCTTTATCCGTTCCACCCTGTCCCAAGCCTACGCTGGGTTTGTGTTGGACTTGTGGAGAAATGGTATTTTGCTTGCATTCACGTATCGGAAATGGCTATGCTGTGATTGTCTTGCTCTGGTTTCTCCAGCACAAAGTCCTCCGAACTAGTATCTTTGTATCTCTCTTCATGTATCCGGTATGCTATGGTGATGATGTCGGGACGATTATTCTATGGTCTTGGTGCCATCGCTGGAAATCAAGTTATATGGGATTAATGCTACTGTTTATGATCTGATTTATTCTCTTGTACCCCGATTCGGCCAAGTGGAAGCTACAGTATGTAGTCTAGATATAACTTCTCCGCAGTTTTTATACTTTGGATTAGCCCTGCGTGTTATCATAGACATGAGTATAAATCGAAAGGCATCTTGTCAAGCTCCTATATGAGATTCTCTGTCGTCAACCCTAATTTTTTTCAATTAGCGATATTCTTATGATATGGTAATTGCCAGTTACCTGTAATATACATCCCTTCTCTGCACGGCCCCTTCCTTGTCTGCGCCACCTGGGGGGCCCAGGGTAAAGCTTGGCCCGCCATTGTGGGTATATTCCCCTTTGGGATATTTGGACTGCTGGAGTGACCAGCGCCCAGTTTGTAAACAACCTGGATAACTGCCTAAAAGATCAAATTGGCGTGTTGGATTCTATCGAGGTCTGTTCGGTAATTGGGGTCTTTATTCGGCATATATCTCATCGGCTCTTCCTCCCCCAACCAGGCAGACTTTTAGTACTAAAGGTAAGATGATGTACACCACCTATTGGACAAGCATTGTTCAAGAATACTGATTTACTAGTGAAGACTTCGGATATAGCGAGGATTGGGCTTTGTATTTCCTATATACAGGAGTATTGTGCATTTACTGTTCACTTGTTCGTTCAAAGGTATATCAAGAAATAGAAAAGGAAAAAGAAAAGTGGTATCGTAGCGTAGTATCTTGGACAGCTAATGACACACCGGGAAGAGCAGCAAGAGCATCTTCCCTAGTCTTTGTTGGTTAGTGCGGAGACCACTGGGAATCCCCGCGGCTGGGCGAGACATATGTCCCTACTGTACAGGGTCAAAGGTAGGAAAAAGAAGAAACAGAGGTCTTCTGGGTATATTTCAAGGGTGCAAAGGTGTGGAGGTGACGGGATGTATAAAGAAAGGGAACATCGAGTTCGAGTCTTTAGTCTTTACAGGGACGACGGTGTGCTGTCTAATTGCTTGGGATGATGGTCGTCTGTATCTCCAGCTCGCGGAATGCTGACTTCGGCTCGTGGTAGTAATGGAGATGAAGCCCCATCTCGGGCATCGCCATTAATACTGGGGTGGTGCTCTTGACTGCCCGCCCGCGGGTTCGTCCATCGAGTGAGATACTGCCGTCCGTTCCGCCATACACCGACCAGCGTCCTCCTCGAGCCTGCGAGAAGATTGAATGCAGACCTGGGTCGCGGTGTAGGTGATTCATCACGACCGTGAAGAGAGTCATAATCTTCTTGTATGGTACCGTAACCGGAGACTCCCTGCGAGACTGGCGAGGCAGTTACAGGGCCCCAGGTACCGCGCCATCGGCGTGATGTACCCATCAATCCTGCCAATGGAGCAGATGAGCGTCGTTGCCCGCTTTGTATCGAGAGATTAGGCCGACGAGATCCCCGTGGGCAGTGACGCGGTATCGCACCGATGGTCGAGTGTCGTGAGAGGCCGCGTATAGAACTATTCAGGGCTGCACCGCCGCTGGAGCTTCGAGGTCGGTCAAAAGAAGAGCGCCACTTGGGGTCTGTAGTATCATCATCATTATCGGAATCATCGAGTTCAGCCCAAATGGACGCGGCGTTGAGATCGGCAGCTTCGTGTCGATCCATAGTTGGTATGAATGGGAGACTGGGCGCTCGGGCCCGTTGGTAGTGTGAAAGGTGTCGTGGGCGAAAGGTTCCATGGAGTAGAGGCTCCCGTTCTCCAATACGCGACTCCTCGTCCTCCAGACCATCCAGCAGCCCCGGTGACAAGGTGTCGTGTTCCTCAACAACTGCCATGCCTGGCCCGATCCCAGTTTGCGTCGGCCCAGAGACCGAGACACCGGCATTGCTATCAACATCTTCCAGCCGCCATGATAGGCACAGCACACCCCCAAGAAGGATGATCGTCCCCAATGCGATCAGGCCTGCGTGGAAACCTGCTAGTTGAGAGGCCTGCCTGAAGTAGATCAGGCCATCAAGAATAGCGATAATGTTGTAGATGCAAAACACAAAGGGATATAGCACACTAGTGCTGCAAAGCTTCAGACCTCGATGCAAATAGAATAGCTGCGTAAGAGCCAGGGCGATCATTCCCAGTAGGATCACCCACGACTGCCAGCGGTTGAACTGATTCACGCGGTCTACCACCGTGCGTACCAGCAGCTCCACTGCAGACTTGGCCAGTAGCAGCGAATGGGCTGATAGGATTCCACTGACAGCTCCGTAGCACATACCCCGAAAGAGCTTGACCCGGCCTTGAAGACGTTGTACATGCGGTGTTATTACCCCGGACGCCGTGGGTTTCACCCGCGATCCCGGTATGCAGTATCTCAACAGTTTCGAACCAACAAGGATAAGTCCGACAACAACCAAGGTCATGCCCATCCATATGAGAAAAGGTCGTCGCATAAGGAGCTTTAATAGCTGATTCAAGGTATGCGCCGGTTCCCCGATGGCGCCAAAGGTCGCGATCAATATGGCGCCAATGCAGACGAGACCGGTACCGGCAAACGAATAGCGGGTAAAGGGCTCGCCGAGGATAAGAGTCGCAAATATCGTATTGAAAACTAGTCCGGACTGTTTCTCGCTCATTCTGGCTGTTAGTTGATCTGAGGCCAAAAAGCACCATTTAAGGCGATGACGATGACTGACCGCTTGAAGTGTAGAGAGAACCGGTAGTGGCAGCGTGGTGATCTGGATAGTGCTTCCTACAATATTGGAGATCACAAACATGCCCATGCCTAACTGCCATCGTCGGCGCTTGTAGGGAGGCCGGCGGCCCTCATAATGTGGTTTCTCGTCCTCGAGGAGGTGGGACTTGCGTTGGAGTGTAAGTCCGATGGCTTGTAGGCTGGTCGAGACGAGGCCCACGATCACTCCGACCTAAATCCAAGATATATCAGCTCGCAGTTCCTGCATAGGTTCCATATATGCGTGCTCACCGCGATACTGCCCTGCGGCGACAAATCTCCGAGGTTGCCCATCGTGGTTAGTATCGTGTGTCGGCCGCGGAACGGGGGGTTCGCGGTGGAAGCGCAAGAGCTGGGCCACTACCGAAGTGCAGATGCCATGATTCGAGGGGCGAGGACTCGAAGGGAGTTGTTTAGGAACTGCGAGCGCCACCAGAAAAAGGAAAGGGTTGCAGGGCGTGAACACAGGGACAAGGAGAGCAGGAGAGAGTGCGGAGGCCTCTCTGGATGCGGATGGGACGCCAAGGCAAAAGCAGCTGGAGCGCAGCGGCTCCCGAGCTTAGTTGGACTCGTTGGACACGACTCCCTTCCACCTCCCCCACGTCATTCAGCATTCCCCAACTCCGTCCACCAGACCACCATCACTTCTCTTCCTCCTCTTCCTCTGAAACACGCCATCATGTCGCAAAGTCATGCCCTCTCCGATGATCAGGTAAACTCGTCCTGCCTCCCCAATGAAACCCAGCCCTGTACAACCCCCTCTGCAGGCGACACCGGTGACTGACCATGTCCGATGCGAAATCATAGGTCGCGGGCGAGCTCCGCAAGATGACCGCGTTCATCCGGCAGGAGGCCCTCGAGAAAGCCCGTGAGATCCAGCTCAAGGCCGACGAGGAGTTCGCGATCGAGAAGTCCAAGCTTGTCCGCCAAGAGACCGCCGCCATCGACACTCTCTACGAGAAGAAGTTCAAGCAGGCCGCCATGTCCCAGCAGATCACCCGCTCGACTCTCTCCAACCGGACTCGTCTCCGCGTGCTCGGCGGCCGTCAAGAGCTCTTGGATGAGCTCTTCGAGAAAGCTCGCAAGAAGGTCTCGACCGTGGCTGCGGACGATAAGAAGAAGTATCAGACCATGTTGGAGGGACTGATCCTCGAGGGCTTTTACTTCCTGAACGAGGAGAAGGTTGAGATCCGTGCGCGGAAGAAGGATGTCGATGCCGCGAAGAAGGCTATTGAGGGGGCCGCGAAGGAGTTCAAGAAGAACGTCGGCAAGGAGGTGACCGCGACTGTGGACGAGTCCGAGCCGCTACCCGAGGGATCGTAAGTTGCTACCGTCGTATCTTGGGTAGTTTAGAGTTTTAGTACTAACAGGATTGCTCCTACAGTGCCGGTGGTGTGGCTATTGTTGGCGGCAAGGGCAAGATCGAGATCAACAACACCTTCGAGGAGCGTCTACGCCTCTTGGAGGTTGACGCCCTCCCCGCCGTGCGAGAGACGTTGTTCGGCAAGAACGTCAACCGGCGGTTCTATGACTAGACATTTACTGCTCTGGGTTTTTTTCTGTATTTCTCTGCTGGGCACTCTGTCCCGAGTCCTACCGGTCCGGGTGTTTCCATGTTTTATTGTTCGGGCTGCTCGCTATGCCTCATTTTGACCGTCTCCACATGCCCATAGAGAGGAGGGGGGGCTTCTATGTTCCTTTTCTTATATTTTTTTGCACATTCCATGTCTGACCTAGCATATGGTCCTTTCCTGAGCGTTTGTCTGATTTTTTCATCTACGATTTGCAGAAAGTTTCGGAAACAATGCATGTGAAAATGCCTCGCTCAATTGGTACTCATCAATGCCGTCACGGTCGTAAATTATGTATTCATGTCACCAACGGAGGTATTCCAAGCCAGGCCATTTTATAGGAGTTCAAGTGGTGCATGAGTAGCAAGCTGCCTTCAATTGCGTGCACTCAACAGACTATAATTGCTGATCATGTGCTCGAATGGGCATCGCCATGCCATCGACATTTTCGGTATCTGCAGTCTCAGTTGCTCTACCAGTGGTGTCTGTGGCATCCTTCCCTCTGATGAACATATCTTTAAGGTTGTGATTTGTTTCCCTCCGGAACGTTGTGAACAAGGTCTTTTTGGGCGGCGCCTTGGAGCGAACGGAGTAGACTATCCGATAGTGCAGTGTTTCCAGTGCGTCCTTTGCCAGCATGCGTTGGAGATGAGATGCGCCGGTATCCTCGATGGAACTGAAAATTCTTTTGATCTGCGCAGCAAGCTGGTCGATCGCTTTATTGAAATTTACCTCCGTGTCTGCCTGCCGATACTTCAAGTCAAAGAGGGCCGAGTTGATGCACACCTCGAGTTGCGAGACGATAGCAATCAAATCACCGTAGTCATAGTCGCTATTGCCCCGGTGCTTTTTCGCTTGGAATCGTTCGTCACGCACCAAGAGCTCAGTGATACGCCGCAGACCAAGGACCACCTCCGGGGGTTCGGTTAGAGGCCTTGGGTCTTGCAGAAGAAATGAAAGAGCGAGTCGATATCGGAGCAAAGACACCCATGTTGACGTCGGGAGAATGTGTTGTAATAGACGGCTCTGAAACTGTGGATCTTTGATAGTCTCGTAAATTGTGGTGCAAATCCGACCTTCCTGATAGAAGTCAGCGCCTGCTCATTGACTGCGGAAAGTATGGAGGAATCATACAATTCTCTGCTTCGGCCCGAATTCCAGAAGGGAGGTCAATGTTCCCTGCAACTCTGATCGTATCACGCAATCTGCAGTCAACGATGTATCTATGGACATGCGAAGCAGTATCTGAATTGTGTGCGCCTGGGTATCATCGTCGAACCTGGATGGATGTCAGCCGTCTCGGACTGGGATCAGCTGGAAAGAATTGGGACTAACAGCTCCGCTGCCGCGGTGTCTCGAATCAGATTCAAGACGGAAACCAAGGCTGATCGCTCTCTAGTATGTGGCGCGTGTAATGATGCTGCAATGCGCAGTTAGATAAGCTTCAGGGAGACTCAGGCGAAGAACCCACGTTCGGGAGGATCTGCGATAACCGGTTCACAGAGAATCAACGCGCGTGGCTTAGCCCCCAAATGACGGAAAAGTTCGTCTGTAGTATCCTGGTAGATCAATGATCTCGTTTGCTCTTTAGGTGTTTGCTATCCAGAGACTTAGTGAGAGTGTCGTAGTAGAGGATAGTCTTTGAACGTTACCGTGAAAATCCGACAATAAGCCTTTCTCAACTCTTCCCGAGGTTCGAGGGGAACTGTGTTTCAAATTCTTAGCCCGAAAAAGAGAGGAGCGATTCAGGGAAAAGAACAACATACTAGACCTAATAATCCACAGGAGGAAATCATCTGGCAAACGCCGCATTGATGCAGCGTACTCCAAGATACCGGACTGGAGGAGCCGGGCCCGAGAGTCAGGTTCTATCAAGGATAATCAGTCATTTGTCTCATAAGCTTGCTAGGTGTGGTGCGAACAAACCCCTCAGTCCTGCTAAAGGCGACCCAGGTGGAAACAGTTCAAAGGGAAAGTTTGGCGTGGAAGGTGTCAACTGGCCCTGATCGAAGAACCGCCAATTACGACTTTGTTCGAGGGCTTCAGTTCTTCGAACTGCGTCCATGAGACGCTGAAGACCCGGCCCATCATCGGAATCACCCCCCAGGGCGATTGCCAGCACGCCCTCGTTCAGTCCCTTCTTTGATGCCCCAGCACCACCTTGGACACCATTTTGTTGCAAACGTGCCCTGGCCTTGGCGACATTGGCCTCTGTCTCATCATCGTCCACCGCATCATGTACGAGAGAATCGAGGTTGAACCTGTACTTCCTTGGCGCAGAGAGCTGAGCGAGTAACGCTTTGTTGGGTTGATATGGGTTTGGCGGGGGCGGGGCAGCATTTCTGGGTTTGTTCCTTGGGGCAAACAGGACATCTGGGTCTTCCAAAGACGATATTGAGTCTGTATCGTCTCCGTCGGAACTGATCACCACCTCTTTACCATCTTTAAGAATGCGCTGCGATGGGTTGAAGCTGCTGTTTAGTGACGAAGGTAGTGGAATTGATTCGGTGACGCTCTGATCTGGCGGAGATGGTTCTGGTCTGCTGTCATGGATTGATCGTAGTGACGGTATATCATGTTGAGCCACTGTAGGGGTATCTTCCTCTATCTGCCCATTGGTGTCATGAGTGAGGTCTATCGTTATAGAAGACTGCGGGGGCTCTGAGAGTGGAGATGAAGCCGGCGCTTCGTCCAAAGCTCGAGTCTCAGTGCGGGCAGGTTGCGAAGGTACACTGGGAGGAGGTACCCGGATGAAAAAATCCCGCTTGAAGTAATCCCGGAGGTCGGGCATCGTGAGCGTCGTGATGTGCGCCGAGCTGAGCGCAGAGAAGTGTCCCACTATCGACTCCGCGTCGCGTCGGCAGAGGCGCGGAGTCACGTGATCTATTCATTTCCTGATTGGGTAATTGGATGTGCTCGCCGTTTCTTTCTCGAGTTCCTGTCTATGCATCTTCGAAGGTTCAATCTTCGTTTTTGCCATCTTTGTTGTATTTTTGCAGGGACATGATAGCTAATCACCTCAACGATTGCAGGGAGCTATTTGTACTTTCTCTCCACTCGGCTCATTCGAGACGAGGCTAACGAACTCTGTGACCAGCCACTGTCGCAATGGCGCGGATCAATGAGGATCCCAACCTCGTGTTTGATCTACATGGGTTTACCAACCTCTGTCCACGCCGAGACAGGAATGCTTGGCCCTCTCAGGAGACAGTAAATGCAAGACTGGGAGTCAGGGGTTACGGAGTGTTAACTCATTAAGCGCAGTCCCATCAGTCCCGGACGCAGCCCGCAGATCTGAATTAGGTTTACGAATCTGGCTGGCGATGCACCGTCCATCTCCACTGTGGTTCGTCGTCGATCGCGCGGGCTGACGACGCGCTGTCATGTTTCGATTGTGCCATGCTCGATACCTACTGCATTATAGAGATACATTCCGCCGCGGACATTCGTTACAAGGTGTCATAGCCTCGCAGGAGAGAGGGGACTTAGCAGCATTGGCTGACGGCTGCACAGAAAAGCCAAAAAGGCCTGGAGCCATCGGCAATTCATCTGTGATCATCCACGAGGTCCCGCCCGGAAAGGCCACTGGACGCATAGTGGGCTCTCGTGAAGGCCAAGAGTCTCCATCCCGGTGCCGCGGACATCCGCGGATGCTGCCAACCTCTGAATTTCCCGCTCGCACCCCCTGGGGGCTTAGATTTCTGGCTTGTAGAGTAATAAATGGTATTCTAGCTGGTAGTCACCACCATCTGTCTGAGTTGCGCACGACGTACTATATAACTAGTGGACTTTGAGGGTAATTGCAGGATATTGACTAAACTTCCCAAATCATCTTATTAACTTAGTCATGCTGAACGGGAATTAAAGTTAACAGTTGCCTATGGAGATCGAGATATCTCATGTAGAAAGATATCTCAAAAGACCTTCCGAACAGATACTTGCATGATGGGCTTAGCGCAATTGGGCCCGTCAGGCAGAGTGCGTGCGGGAAGTCTATGGGTATGGGGTGGCAGCCGCCTTCTCCCCCCACCCTTGGCCCCCCAAAGAATAGGGGGTTGGATAGTAGCGAGGATGATGCCAACGGTAATTGAGCAAGTGCTTGGCAAAATTCCTCAGAAGGGGTTCTTTGTGCAGCCACGAGTCAGCCCGAGCAAATAAGAAATCACGTCCTCATCTGCGAGGCCCTCCCTCTCTCTGAAAGCACGGAGTCCAAAGGGTACTGGAACTATCAAATCATCTGAGGGATTTCCATCAGCCGTGGAACCGACCGGAGCCCCCAGAAGCTGACTAAACGCCCGGTGGAGACCGGACGCCCGTGCCGTGTCGCTGGTGGTTTCAGGCTCGATGCTCCGACCCCGAGACGCGATGTTTTTGTTCACTGTGGTTACAGTAGTCCGTAGTCTCTGCATTAGTTAGTGCACCAAGCCACAAGTTCGCCATTTCACGCTGTGGTCGGCAGCGAAAAGTCTCCGTCCGTACTCCGTACTCCGTCTCCGCCGTTCGGAGAAGTTGATCTTAAATAGAGTACGGAGTACTGAGTCCTATAGGAGCGCTATAGTTAGCAAGATGGCCTTTGCGTCGGTCCCTACGGAGACCGGGATCTTGGGCGTGGGGGGCGGGGGCGTTTATACTGTACTAATTTGAGGAGCCGGCATAATGATTGTGTGCAATTGTTGTGCATGATTAGTGTACCGAACCGAGTCTTTGCCCTCCGGAGCCTTCTTATTCAGTTCTGAATGTAGCATGTGGAAGAGCCTACTAGTGCCTTGGCCGTCTGTCTTTGTAGCTCCGTATAGTTTGGACCATTATTGGACACTGAACAAGCCACCTCGACTAAAACATATTGCACCAGGTTTGGGAAGTGGGTTGTATGTACGTAGAACGACATCAGAGACATAAACTCCCGGCAGGTATGAAGAGTATTATTATATGGAAATCAGCAGGTTCACGTGGACGTCTCGACATGCTTCGAGGCAATGTCTGGGGTATCGTACACCCACACAAAAAACCCTGGCGCCTATTCGTACAAAAGCTGTGTCGCTGCTGCACGAGGCGATGAGGGCGGGGGCCATAACTATTCCTGAAATAGACCTCGATACTCTCTAACGGCCGTATTACCCAGAGTCGGTCAGGACTCAGGACATATCGAGTATCATATTCCGACCGAGGTAGCCATGAAAGTTTTGCCATCGAAAGGTAGAATTAGCATGAATCAGAATCAATCTGAATTTATCATCAATGCCGAAGGGCCTCATTGCCACCGTCAGAAATTTAGGTGAACCAAACAATGGGTTGGACCGAAAGGGCGAGATGAGGCTGGTACATATGTATCGTCGTTTCAATACCGGACGTAAAATTTTTGGTCCGGTCGGGGAGCTGATGTTTCCGTGTTGCTGCATTAGTATGAAGTGTGTGAGTTGGTGAAGGATTGAGCCATGATGGAGGACTCAATTGCTTGATAGAAAGGTAGACTGGATTTGTCTCTAGAAATTGTCAAAGTACAAGTCCTCTTAAATTGACGAGCATCACCAGCCAAAAAAACCGGACAAAACCGAATCCTCCTCCATCCTGCCAAATAAAACCCGCTGACCAAGCCGGCATGTAAGCAAGCCAGTAAAGTCCACATAAGCAGGACCGTACATCCGTGACCCGTAATTACGGACCTCCCTCCCGAATCAATAGCCCGTCCCAAAGCTGTCCTCTCTCTCACAACGCATCTCATCTCTTCACCCTCGAAAAAAAAATCCCTTTAACTTACCTTCTCTTACCCCTTCCATCGGTTCTTTGTGCTCCTCCCCCTCCCACCTTCCTCTCTCTCCCCCCAATTTTGCATGGCCCCTCGTGGGTGATACCGTGTCCTCGATTTACCCACCTCTAACTCCCGGATAATACGACCCTTGTCTCCCCTCCGGTCGTCAATACTGGGTCTCCCTCGATCCCGGCATTCGCGCGCGCCGGCCTTGTCGCTGAGAATCGCAACATTCAGTCTCAGCGCCCGATGAGACTGCGCTTGGTGATTTGTTCAAGTCTTCTTTAATATCAGAATCATCGCTTTTTAAATCACCACGCAAGGTGAATTCGGCCTCGACAACCCGGATGCTCGTTCGCCCTGAATTGCAACAGGTTCTCATTCAGTTTTATGCCCTACTGGGCGCAACAGTAGCCTAGATGGCTTCCGTGCAATTTACCGGGGACGATCATAATGAGGGTGGTCATGAGAGCAACGAAGTTCAGGAGGTTAGCAGCAACATCTCCAAACCGACCAAACGCCAAAGATGGGCCACCACGCGCCATACGGGCTCCGGCGGCGTGCGGAAACGTGTCTCCATCATCGATCGGTTTCACAAGCGCTCGGAAGTGAGGGATGAGAAGCGCAAGTCCGCAACTCCGAGCACTCCGGCCGACACCGCGTCCACCAACGGCGACAACAGCCAGTCTTCGGGTATCAACCGAACGATCTATTTCAACTTGCCAATCCCGGAATCCGAACGAGACGAGGATGGTCACCTTATTCATAACTATCCTCGAAACAAGATTCGTACCGCCAAATATACAGCTTTAACATTCGTACCCAAGAACATCTGGCTACAGTTTCACAACATTGCGAACATCTACTTCTTGTTCGTCATTATTCTTAACGTATGCGCCACTCCGAGACCTTGGTGGAGACCCAGGAAGCGACCAGCAACGAGATTGAATTGAACTATTTCTGACTTCTCATCTCTCTCTAGTTTTTCCCGATTTTCGGTGCCAACAACCCCGGTTTGAACGCCGTTCCCCTGATCGTCATTATCGTCGTGACCGCCATTAAAGACGCCATCGAAGATTGGGGCCGGACTGTGTCGGACAACCAAGTGAACAATTCCCCTGTTTATCGCCTTGTTGAATGGAACAATGTGAATTCGACCGAAGATAATATTTCTCTATGGCGGCGAACCAAGAAAGCGTCGACTCGGAGCGCCCTTGCAACGTACCGCTGGTGCAAGAAGGTTTTCGCTAAGAAAAGGGATCAGGAGGGCGATCTCGAAGAGGGAGAACGACGTGATTCTTTCCTCACAACAGGGACCCAGCGAGCTTCGGTATATTCGCACCGCGACTCTCTTGCCATCGATGCTGGTATCCCAATGACCGAGGTTCCTTCACCTCAAGCTGAAGTCCGAGAAGACTGGCCTATCCAGAGCGTTTCCGAGAACAAGTATCTTTCTCCCAACAGCGCTCTTCGAGAAAGTGTCATGTCGCCCACTTCGCTCGACAAGAAGACCGGAAGCGTTCTTGACAAGACGAAACAGACACCGGGAACCGCTCGTTTCAAGCGGGACTATTGGAAGAGTATCCAAGTCGGCGACTTTGTGCGTCTCTACAACGAAGATCCAATTCCGGCCGACATCGTGATTTTGTCCACCTCCGACCCCGATGGCGCCTGTTATGTTGAAACGAAGGGTTTGGATGGTGAGACGAACTTGAAGGTCCGCCAGGCGCTTCACTGCGGTCGCCAAGTTCGACATGCTCGCGATTGTGAGAAGGCTGAATTCACGATCGAGAGTGAAGCCCCTCACCCTAATCTGTATGCTTACAACGGTGCAATCCGTTGGGACCAACGGGACCCGAACTTCCCGGATGCTCCCCGCAAGGAGATGGTCGAGCCCGTGACAATTAACAATATGCTGCTTCGTGGCTGTTCTCTGCGCAGTACTGAGTGGGTTCTTGGTGTCGTCGTCTTCACTGGTGGTGAAAGTAAGATCATGCTCAACTCTGGTGCAACCCCTGCCAAGCGCGCTCGCCTGGCCAAGGAACTGAACTGGAACGTCATCTACAACTTCATCATTCTGTTCATCATGTGTCTGCTTGCGGGCATCGTGAACGGTGTCGCATGGGCTGCTCCGGATAAATCGTTGGACTTCTTCGACTATGGGTCCTACGGTGGCACGCCCCCCGTCACGGGTATCGTCACCTTCTGGACAGCTCTGATTTTGTTCCAGAATTTGGTTCCTATCTCGCTGTACATCTCCCTGGAAATCGTCCGCACTATTCAGGCCGTCTTTATCCACAGCGACCTCTACATGTACTACGAAAAGCTTGGGCTCTATTGTGTGCCCAAGTCATGGAACATCTCGGATGACGTGGGACAGGTCGAGTACATCTTCTCCGATAAGACCGGTACTCTAACACAGAACGTCATGGAATTCAAGAAAGCCACCATCAACGGCGTGGCCTACGGCGAGGCATACACCGAAGCTCAAATTGGCATGAGACGCCGTGAGGGGGCAAATGCTGATGAAGAAGCCGCCGTAGCTCGTGCACAGATCGCGGCTGACGGAAAAAAGATGCTGGAAATGCTGCGTCGTATCCATGACAACCCCTACCTGAAAGATGAAAATTTGACTTTCGTTGCTCCCAATTTTGTCGCAGATATCGAAGGGCAATCCGGCCAGACGCAAAAGGCAGCCGCGGAACATTTCATGCTCGCTCTAGCTCTGTGTCACTCTGTCATTACCGAACACACTCCGGGTGATCCTCCCCAGATTGAGTTCAAAGCCCAATCACCCGATGAAGCCGCATTGGTTAGCACTGCTCGCGACTGTGGCTTTACCGTTCTTGGTCGTGCCGGTGATGATCTTCTGTTGAACGTCATGGGCGAGGAACGCACTTACACTGTCTTGAACACTCTTGAGTTCAACTCCTCGCGGAAGCGTATGAGCGCAATTATCCGCATGCCGGATGGCACGATTCGTCTATTCTGCAAGGGTGCCGACAGTATCATCTACTCGCGTCTGGCCCGTGGCAAGCAGCAGGAGCTCCGACGCCAAACAGCCGAGCACCTCGAGGAATTCGCCAAAGAAGGACTTCGAACACTGTGCGTTGCTGACCGTCTTCTTAGCGAAGAAGAGTATCAAACTTGGAACCGGGAGCATGACATTGCCGCTGCTTCAATCACCGAGCGCGAAGAGAAAATGGAAGAGGTTGCAAGCAAGATCGAGCAGGAGTTAATGCTCATTGGTGGAACCGCCATTGAGGATCGTCTGCAAGATGGCGTGCCAGACACCATTCAGCTGCTCGCGGATGCTGGTATCAAGCTGTGGGTTCTGACTGGTGACAAGGTTGAGACTGCAATCAATATTGGATTCTCGTGCAATCTACTCAACAACAACATGGATCTGATCGTCCTCAACATCCCGGAGGGTCAGCACGAGCAAGCGGCCAAGGAACTTGACAAGAATCTCCAGACTTTCGGCTTAACTGGTTCCGACGAAGAGCTCATTGCTGCTCGTGAGGATCACACCCCACCAGAACCCACCCACGCCGTTATTGTCGACGGGGAAACACTCAAGATGATGCTTGACGACGAGCTCAAGCAGAAGTTCCTTCTGCTTTGCAAGCAATGCAAGGCTGTTCTCTGCTGCCGTGTCAGTCCTTCTCAGAAAGCTGCCGTTGTGAACATGGTCCGTCACGGTCTGAACATCATGGGCCTGGCTATCGGTGATGGTGCCAACGACGTCGCCATGATTCAAGAGGCAGATGTCGGTGTGGGTATCGCCGGTGAGGAGGGTCGACAAGCCGTCATGTCCTCGGACTATGCTATCGGACAGTTCCGCTTCCTTCAACGCTTGCTCCTTGTCCACGGAAGATGGTCCTATCGTCGTCTAGGAGAGTGTACTGCCAACTTTTTCTACAAGAACTTGGTCTGGACCTTCGCTCTCTTCTGGTACTGTTGCTTCAACGACTTCGACGGCTCTTATCTCTTCGACTATACCTATATCGTCCTGGTCAACTTGGCGTTTACCTCGCTGCCGGTTATCTTTATGGGTATCTTTGACCAAGACGTCGAGGACCGGGTCTCTCTTGCCGTACCTCAACTGTATATGCGCGGTATTGAGCGCAAGGAGTGGTCGCAGCTCAAGTTTTGGTTTGTCTTCCTCTAGTCCTCTTTTCTTAGTTTCTTCTGCTAACAAACTTTCAGGATGTACATGTTCGATGGCTTGTATCAGTCTGTGATCTGCTTCTTCATGCCTTATATGCTATACCAGGCAGCCAACTTTGCTACTGCAAATGGTCGAGACATTGCTGATCGAACCCGTATGGGTGTTTTGGTTGCCACTTGCGCCGTCATCGCCAGCAATGTCTACATCATGATGAACACCTACCGCTGGGACTGGTTCACCTGCCTGATTAATGCAATCAGCTCACTCCTGATCTTCTTCTGGACTGGAATCTATACGTCTTTCACAGCAGCCGGGCAGTTCTATGATGCGGCGAGTGAGGTCTATGGTGCTCTCAGCTTCTGGGTTGTGCTATTTGTAACAATCACGATTGCCTTGCTCCCCCGCTTCATGTACAACGCGACCCAGAAGGTGTTCTTCCCCCTGGATGTGGATATCATTCGCGAGCAGGTTACTCTCGGCAAATTTAAGCACCTGGAACAGTTCGAAGATTACGTGCCTCCAAATGTGGGTGCGGCCGCGATCGTTAGCTCGGCGACCTCCTCGGAGCTTGCTAAGCCAATTCAAACAGCAGTGAAGCAGGACCAACCCGACCCGGAGGGAGCTCAACGGTACTACGCACCCTCTCAGCATACCAATGGTCACAACCCTCGCAGCCAGAATGGTAGCAACGGCACAAACTACACCGAGAGCTTGGACCAATGTCCACGACCCCAGTCGGTGGACTACGTCCGTCGTTCCCACGACCGAACGCGGCACTCCTTTGAACGGGTTCGGCAGAGCTTTGAGCAGAGCAACGATTTCACCTCAGCAGCTCGGCTTCAACGGATGGAATCAAGCCATACTCAAGCTTCCAACCAAGATCCGTTCCGCTCTCCAGGCGAGCCTCCTGCCCATATGATTTGAGGGTTTACCCCAATGGCTTTGCATAAAGATAGCGTTGACGACCCGTCATTAACGACTTTTCCTCTCCCCCTTTTCACTAGGCTAGTGCCACCTAGCCTGTGAATCTCTGTTCTATTGCCCTCTACCCTTCCCATCTTCATGAGCAATATGCTGCGGTGTTTTTTGTGACTTTCTTCTCTTTTCTTTAAATTTCTTTCCAGCCTTGATATTCCCCCTGATAGAAAGCAGGCGTTCGGTATACTACAGTCGGTCGGAGGCTTGGCGCATTTCCTTACCCCCTTTTTGGTTTCCAACCCCAGCCTCGTTCTCTTTACACTACATGGGAGTCCCTCCGTTCTCCTACCTGTTCACATGTTTCATAGTGTCTACTGGCCCTTTGTACAAAAGCGTTCCTTGTCTCCTTGCAACTACGCAAGACAATTCGCATTTGATGGCTTCCCCGCTCTTCCTTTCTCTTATTCTGTGATTCCCGCTAGCTGGGGTTATATTCCCCTTGAATTCTTTTTCCTTGACGTTTTTTTCTTCTCTTTGCTAGTCTCTGGTATCTATCTTGTTACTTTTGCTGGGGCTGAGCAGGCATGGCCCGGGGATGACATACTTTATTCTATTCCACGGCCTCCATGAAGGAAAGTTACTTAATGCGAATATTACATGAATGCCTTTATTGCGCCTACTCTTTGAGTGTTTAGACTCGTAGACAAGCGAAAGTGGTCGTCTAGAGATGGCCTGGTGAGTCTCTACGAAAGCAGTAACCAGTGTTCGTATTGTAAAATGTCGTAAGACCTTGTATTAAAAACTTCTGAATTGCTTTGTTGGGAACATACCTCATAGAGCCAATATAGTTTGATACTTTCAAGGCAAATGATTGTCCGTAGATTGTCATTTCTACCCTTTGGGTAAAAGTGAATCGCGTCCAACGCGTTCGGTTGGCCCACCGCCCTCGAGTTCTGCCAATCTCCATCATTCTGCCGCGTTTTGTTTCTGGCGATTTTCCTTTCATTCAATTTGAGAGGCGCTTAGAGCGACAGACACCTCTCGGAGGCTGTTGCATCTAGCTATTACTGTTAGCTCCTTTTCTGGTAGATTGATTCGTCAAAGACCCTATCTTCACTTGACCTTCGTCTCCTCCACATTGCCCATCGGTATGCCGGAAGTTGCCTTCCTCCCACTCGAGCTCGCATCGCCTTGAGTATTGCTGCGCTCTTACTTTTGAAACGAATCTGATGATTTGCGATATAGTGCCGCCTAGAAGTGTGAATAGCAGAGCAAATTCCCCGTCTACCTACGAGAAAGAATCCTCCGCCTAAATTATCGCTGCCACCCTCGCCTAGCTCTATCGTGAATTAGGCTTTCCTGTTCTCTGCAAGCCAAGTTTCCCCGAAGTCATTGGAAGGCAATGTGCTAGGTGGACAATTCTGGTGGAACAGGATATGCGTGGGGGATCTTCGGTTCAATTATCATTATCCATAACCCGTGAGACCTTGGATCATGGAATTTGTGGACGCTATTGGGTAAGTCGAACGTGTGTTAGATGTCCGTGTCGATGGTTCACGGTTACTCACAAAAGTTCGTTATGATAGGGAGCTGAAGGCCCTCCCTGAAGGCACCCACCTACTTTGCCCGAGACAGAGCGAAAATGACTATGGGCGCTATGATGATCCAAATCAAGTGGACGAACGAGGAAAGAGCACCAAAGACATCCTGGCAGAGGCCAAGGAGCGTAGGGAAGGGTTCCTCTTATCTATGCGCATTCTTGCATACAACGCTGAGGGTGTAGAGGAGCTACAGACTTGGGTTTTGAGCAGACTGGACGAGTCTTTGGAGAAATGCGACCTCTGCATCAAGCAATACTACACCGGCAAGGTCTGGCTTATGGACCAGCTCAAGGAGTCATACCAGGATGAGGACATTGAGGAATTCTCCCAGCGAATGGATGAATGGGACGTTAAGCGCATCACGAGAAATCTGGCCACAGCATCGACACAACTCAAAAATGTCCCTCCGCAACAGATCAATCTCAGTGTCTTGGATCGTGCTGCATTGCTCTCCATCTTCGAGACGCTAAGCTGCGAGGCGATGCTACGAAGTGACCAACTTCTCCAGGAGCATTTTGATGAGCCATTCAAACTCATTCAATCAAAGAGGTCTTTGAAGATCTCTGATTATGTTCCTGCCGTCACTCGCTTCCTCTTTGACTCGAACCAAGCCCGCAGTTTCTGGGCTATTTCGACATGGACGAGATACGCTCGACCCCCGACAAGCGAGGAATTTGAATGGGCGATCCGAGATGGTCTTCTCAGTGCTTTGCAAGCTGGATCACAAGCTGCTAACCAAATGCAACCACAGCTTGCGATCATTCAGCGGCTGTGGCGGGGGATGCAGCTTATTGTCCGGAAGTTAGACAAAGATCAAATTACACATAACCTTCGTGCTTTAGATATTGATCCTTGCCGCTTGTCTGTGGATCACCTACACCTGCAAACCCCGGGACTTCGATTCCTCTTGAATACTATTCAGATCCTACTTGAGAAAGCCCCGGTTGACTTCTGGGACGCCATGCAAACTATTTCTCCTCAAGCCATCGTCGAGCAGATCTTTGCCAACCCCCAATTCAAGGCCTTCCTCATGCAGACCACCGAAGGTGAGGCGTATGAGAAGTCTGCCTTGAAAGATATGCTATCCTGGATCAGTCCATTCCTGGCATCACTTAAAGGCCATCATCAACCCTCTGCTTGTCGGTACTTGGCCACACAACTGCTACAGCATCTCCAAGACGGCCAATACCCCAACCTCGCTCGATACCACTGCTTTCACGTTGGTCTGAACAGCTTGCTCACCACACTCCGCCGCTTCACGGACCATGAAGCTTCAAGAAGCTCCGTTGACAGCGTGGTGCTCAAAGAGACCATGGACGTGGTAGTTGCTACGATCAACGTCATTCTCGACCCACCAGTATTCAATATTGAGCAGGGTCGCCAAGCGGAAATCAAGTCTCTATGCATGGATGCCGTTCGCAACACTCTAGCCCTAGAGTGCCAGTCGTTGAAGAGTGACTATGAGGTCATTTTAAAGCATGGCACTCTCTCACATGGCGTCTCCACCTACTCCGCGCCCGTCTGGGAGGCAGTAATCAAGCACCTTCGTCAAGATGATCTTGCACTGTCGACGGCCGCTCTATTGGGAGTCCTCCCTCTCGTTGGCCTCGAAAAATTCCCCACCAAGGGCGACGGGTCCAAAGAGAAGACACATTTTAACATGATCTATGGCCATCTTACCCGCCTTTCATGTCAGATGATCGAACGCCTGGCTGATTTCCCTCCCGAACACCTGAAGCCTCTTTTCCAAAGCCAGGATACCAGTAGTGCGCTAATCTCGACCCTCTTCGCTGCGGACTTGAACACCTACCAAGCTGCCGTTGATCTCATCAAGAACGTCAGCGGACAATTCGCACGGCGTGATGCCATCTCCTACCTCCTCGAATCCTTCTTCACAACTTCCATGTATGGCATGAGTTGGTCCTTCCGACGGATTTCCAACATGAAGACCTTTGCACCCGCTCCGAGAATGTTGCATACGGGAACCGACATCGTAGAGATTCTGTGTAATAGTCAGACGGGTATGCTGCGTACGCGCAATTTCGTGGACCGGCGTGAGATCCTGTCGCTTCAGAAACTCTGGGAATTCCTGTGGCAATCCTTAACCACCATCTTTGACGAGACGGAGGCCTGGCATATGCGTGGGAACGACAAGGAAGTCATGCTTGACTTCTGTCGTGATACCATTCAGTTTGCCAACTTCCTTTTCGATCAATACGGTGTCTTTCTGGGTGCCGTGGGGGGAGCAGATACTGCGCAAAAGGCAGTTTCGGAGAACTTCATAAAGTCGCCTACGACCACTATGAGTGCCATGGTGAAGTGGTTGCGTCTAAAGGATGAGTATCTTGCCACTTCCTTAGTCGCGCTTGTCTCGAAAATCTTGAGGCGATTGGGTAACCTGGACGTAACGACTGTCAAGGCAGATGCGTTGAGTTTCATTGAAGGCACCGCCGTCCATGGGACCATCAAAACAATTCTCACAAGCCGCGACAAGGCCGAACTTGTGCGCTCACTTGAAGCCTACACGAAAAAGCCTGTCGTCACTGCGTCCACGGCGTCCCTGAAGAAACAATCTTCCATCACTTCATTCGCCCGCCGCCCCAATGACCTTTCTTCCCCCTCTTCTCCTTCCTCTCGTGTCCCCAGCGACGATGAATTCGAGGAAATCTCTGACCAAACTTTCTTGGACCTTTCTCGCTCTGTTGAACTCAATAAAAATCGCCTCGCCCTTGCTGCCAAGCAGAAGGGTCAATCTCCCCTCGGGATGCCCGCGTCCGGTGCACTTCAGACACGGCCTGGGTTGCCCAAGGGCCCCATTGCCCAACGTCTTAAGAATGATGCGACCAGCGTCCTGTCCTTCCGCGAAAAGCGTGAGCGCGAGAAAGAGGCCAAGAGAAAACGAGACATGGCAGAGTTGGCGAAACTCAAGAAGAACGTGCCTGCACGTGGGGTTGCGGAACAAACGGCCGAGCAGGGCTCTGGCCTTAAAGGTATTGGCGTGAAGGGTATAGATCATTCAATTCCCCTGGATAGCATGATGGTTTCGTCTGGCTCGGACAGCGGTACTGAAAGTGAGGATGAACTAGATCAAGAGTTGTTCGGTGCGAAGCCCAAGAAGTCCGATGCCGCGGACGCCTCCGAGCAGAAGAAGAAGACCCTCCAGCAGATGCCCCTAAGGAAGGTAAAGCGTCACCGTTCCATGAAGGACATGCGTGCCCGTCTGTCCCCAGATCTTTCGTCATTGCACCACAAGATTCTTTCCTGGAATTATTTCGCAACTGGCGATCTCCCATCCACCTCGGAACGCACGGACTATACCCTTGTCTCGAATTCCTTCCGTTCTCCCATGGAATACAAGAACACATTCGAACCCCTGTTGATCCTGGAGGCCTGGCAAGGTTTTCAGTCGGCCAAGGAAGAAGGCGCTTCCTCCTTCCGGCCCTTCGAGGTCAAGGTTATGACCCGCTTGACCGTGGATTCGTGGATCGAAGTCAGTACTCTACCTCTGGGTTTACCTTCCAAGGACTTCTTCATCGGTGAAGGCGATCTGGTTCTGTTCTCCAATGCTGCAAAGCCGCATGAGAACGAGAGCGCTCCTCATATTCTTGCACGAGTCGCCCATGTCAATCGTAAAGGTGGAAAGTTGGAGGTTACCTACCGCATGAACCCGGGACCCAACAAGTTCCTTCAATCCTTCACCGTTGGAGCCACGGCGTTCGGCGTCAAGGTTACCTCGTTGACCCCTGTAGAGCGTGAATATGGCGCTCTGATGGCCTTGGAATACTACGATCTCTGTGAGGAGATTGTGCTTGCCAAGCCGTCGCCACTCCTCACCTACGGGGATTCCACTTTGCAGCCTTACATGGACAACTACGAGATCAATCGTGCCCAGGCCAAAGCCATCAAGTCTGCCATGGATAATGATGCGTTTACCCTTATTCAGGGTCCCCCCGGTTCCGGAAAGACCAAAACTATCACCGCACTCGTTGGCAGTCTCCTGACCAATGTCCTCAGCAAAGTTGCAGTATCCATCGGCAATTCCCGACCTGCAACTGCCCGGAAAGTACTGGTGTGCGCGCCCAGCAATGCCGCTGTCGACGAACTGGTCATGCGAATGAAGGACGGTGTCAAGACCCGTCATGGTCGTGTAGAAAAGCTCTCGGTTGTTCGTCTGGGCCGAAGTGATGCCATTAATGCCAAAGTTCTTGATGTAACCCTTGACGAGATGGTTAATAACCGCATCAGTCAAAGCCCTTCTGCATCGAACAACGTGGACATGCAAAAGCTTTATGACGAGCACAAGAAGACTGACACTCAGTTCAAGGAGCTCCGAGCTAGCCTTGATGATTGCCGAGCAAAGGGAATCCAAGCACCCGAGGAGTTAGAACGCGAGTTTGAGTTGATGAAGAAGAAGCGGACTCAATTGAGTGCAGACATTGACAAAGCCCGCGACCAAGTCTCCACCCTGGCCCGGAATGCGGACATGCAGAAGCGACGCATTCAGCAGGAGATTATCGACGGTGCTCATGTCATTTGCACCACTCTCAGTGGTTCAGGACACGAGATCTTCCTGGGCATGAACGTTGAGTTTGAAACTGTCATCATTGACGAGGCGGCTCAATGTATCGAGCTGAGCGCTCTGATCCCGCTCAAGTACGGCTGCTCTAAGTGTATCCTAGTCGGTGACCCTAAGCAGCTCCCACCCACCGTCCTGTCGAAGATGGCTTCGAAGTTCCAGTACGAGCAAAGCTTGTTCGTACGCATGCAGAAAAATTACCCGAAAGATGTGCACCTGCTGGACGTTCAGTACCGTATGCATCCAGACATCAGTGCCTTCCCCAGCCTGACCTTTTACGATGGAAAGCTTCAGGATGGTCCCGATATGGACAAGCTACGGGTTCGGCCGTGGCACCAGAGCGAGTTACTCAGTCCATATCGATTCTTCGACGTTCAGGGTATGCACCACAGTGCGCCCAAGGGTCGCTCCTTGATCAACTACGCGGAGGTTCAGGTTGCTATGCAACTGTATGATCGTCTGGTCACGGATGTCAAGGACTATAACTTTGCAAACAAGATTGGTATTATCACCCCGTACAAGGGCCAGTTGCGTGAGTTGAGAAACCAATTTGCGTCTACATACGGTGAGGATATCTTGAAGAAGGTCGACTTCAATACCACCGATGCCTTCCAGGGTCGGGAGAGTGAGGTCATCATCTTCTCCTGTGTGCGTGCCTCCAACAACGGTATCGGTTTCTTGTCCGATATTCGTCGTATGAACGTCGGTCTCACCCGTGCCAAATCCTCCCTGTGGGTGTTGGGTAACTCTGGGGCCCTGATGCAGGGTCAATATTGGCGAAGCCTCATCACCAACGCACGAGAGCGTAAGCTTTACACCGAAGGCAATATCCCGAAGCTTCTCCAGCGACCTCAATTCACTGGTTACAAGGAGGTTGAAATGGTCGATGTTGACGCGGATACTCCTCCCACAACCACGGCGGCCCCAGCTGCGCCGACTACCGCTCCCATCAAGCCGCCAGTCGATGTATCGGTTTCTCGAACGTCGTCGGGACAGGCTGGTCCTGATTCCCGACCAGTCGTGGCCTCCGTGCCGACCTCTATTCCAACGCCTCGCCCCGAGGGTCCCTCTGGTGGTGCTGTTGGTCTGGACGAGACCAAGATGTGTGGCATTTGCGGGAGCAACGAGCACTTTACTCACAATTGTGATAATAATGATGCCAAGGAAGTTGCTCGCGGCCAGTGTTACCGATGCCGCGAATTTGGTCACAACAAGTTCAACTGTCCTGCCATACGCTGCCTCGAGTGTGGTCAGATCGGACATACAGCTACCAAGTGTATCGCCAGGCCGCTTCCCAAGCACGAGAAGAGCCGTATCGCCAATGAAGAGCGCCGTCGTCTTGAAAATCAAAAGCAAAACGCCGAGCGTCAGCGGCAACGGCAGATGGGTGGTCATGATCCCAAGATTCCTACTATCGCGGTGTCCTCCAACTCATCGGCTCCCAATGAGAACATTGGCAACAAGCGAAAGCGAAATGAGCAGCCTGTCGATGGACCGAAGGCGTCACGTCCTCGTACCGGTCCATCGGGTCCACCACCGAATGCGCCCAAGGGACCGCGAGCCTTGCCACCTGTAAGTTTAATTTAAGCCCTTGACATATCTAATCTATACCAAAATTGTGGATGCTGATACGTACTTTTAGGGCCTTGCTAGTAATCCTGCTCGTACTGCGAGCGGCCCCGCTCCGCTGTCGGATGCAAAGAAACCACCGGCGAGTGTTGGTGGTTCTTCGGCATCTGGGTCAAATGCTACAGAGGTAAGACATGAAGCTGTATGGCCATTCCAGGTTGTTAGATCGGGTTGCTGACGTCTTTTTTTGTTTCTGTCGCGTTTAGGCTCCCCGTCCCGCCCTGCCCAAGCCGCGCCCCCCCATCATGCGCAAAAAGAAAGAAGTAGACCCGTTCATTCGCCGACCCAAGCCGAAACAGAAGTAGAGCGCCACCGTGTCTCACTCGTTCTCGCCATGAATCGCTCGCTCGGCATGGGTTCCCACTTTCTCTCAACCTTGTTTTTTTCTTCGGGTCTCTCCTTCCGGGTTCTAACTGTGTATCCCCGATCTCCACTACGCCTTCTCTCCCTGTCACATTACAACCCGTCCACACGAACCAGCAATTTCTGGGTTCTATCTCTCTCTCTCGCCGCAGTGAATGGAGTCGAGCAGCCCATTTACCCGGGACTCGTCATGAAATCGAGTCGACAAGGTTCTCGGCCCTCCTGCACAGCATTCACAGGCGTTTTCACGAAGCATACGCGTTTTGAGATTCGATCATGTACTCGTAGACATTTTCTTGCAGCCAGCGAAGCATACATTATCACAATATCAATGGTGGTAAACCGTATTAGTACCACTACACCCGACTGCCACATGGATGATGCCCCCGTAGAGAATGGCTTGTTGTACATAATTATCGGCTCGGTTCAACTTTGACCATTCTAGGATAAATTCTTCGTTACTCTCCTCTCGTTGGATTTAACCATGTTTGCGGTAAGGTAGCCGTTTGCCTGTTTATGCGAGTCTCCCATTTGGCTCTATGGTGGCACAGGAGAGGCGTTATCGGCTCCATTTGGCGATCGCCAACAAACCGGAAGATGATCCTAGAGCGGATGCACAGATGGAACTGTCAGATTCTGCAGCTTCAACGATGGGATCCGGCATGTCCGGAGAAATAAAATGGAGAGGACAGTGGAGGGGCTGGGTGAAAGGGGCGGAGAACGATAGGCTCAAGTGTCGACTAGAGTGATCCACACTACTCCGTACTGTAACTACACTTTGTTCTGTCTAACGCGGTGGATCTTTGACTGCAAGGGTGGTGGAGAGTCGATAAATCGATGTATCGATCTTCGACTTGGGGCAGACACACTTTTCATCCTTTTCTATGGAGTTGTGCATTATTATTGCAGCCTTATTGCAGCCTTGTTGCAGCCCTATCGAACAACTCCCACAACAATAGTCCCCTTCCAACCGTCCTGGCATCGTTTCTCCCAGTCTCCACCTCCAACCTCCCACGAACAAAGGGCTCCAGCTGCAACTCATCCAGAGTGATCGACTCTGTCCGTTCCCGCCCCGGGGATCCCTGAGCATGGATCAACGATCAATTTAGGGATCGACTTGGATCAGCACTAGCGTCAACCCCCCCGACCCAAATGGAGTCTGATACCTCACATCCTGACGTCGTTTATACTTTCTCTCACTGTACGCGGGGCCCGGCTCGTCTAGTCAATCGGGTCGGCTGGACCGACTGGTTTCTTGTGAGGAAAAGTTCCATCCCTTGCGCAGCAGAGTTAAAGGAGGAAATTGTGGGGAGCTGGGAGCTGGGAGCTACTCCTTCGTTCTCCGTTCATGTCTCTCGTAGCCCTTCTGCGGGCTTAGGCATGACGGTCGCCATGCGCGAGCTTGTGTTGCACAACGAGGACCAGAAAGCCATCATGGTGTACAAATGAGCTGCAATCGGATCTTCTCCCGTCCCCGCTCAGGGCCCATTTCATCGCCTGCAGCTTGAGGCGCCCCGGGCGAGGCCGAAATAGTTTGCCAACTCCACCAGCTGCTGTGTCATATTGCATTTCCATGCAGCGTTGCGGCCATTCCACCGTCAGAATCCCCGAACGACGTGTTTACGGTCGTATTGACGACGGTCCCAGATGACCCGCTGCGGGCATTGGCTTGAATCTGACATTGTGCCCATGGCAAAGTGATGAACCATCCAGTACGGTAGGTTCTTCCCAAACAATCGGGCTCGGTTCAAAGGTTCCTAGGAGAACGAACCCCTTCAATGATTCACAAACCCCCCCCCTCTCCCCTTCCCGCCCTGGAAACTAATGATTTTAACTTCAACCGTATCGGTGCGCTTTCCAGGCTATCTGCTTGCCGAGGGCGGGCCCCAAACTACAGTATTCCTGCATCTGGATCGACGAACCCAGGATGCCGGTGCGGTGGCTGCAAACCCCCCCTCTCTCTACCTAGGGTGATGCGATAGCTCAATTGCTCCTGACCCCAGCTGCCTATATTCTTAAAAACTAGCAATTCCCTCCTTGCCACTTGACGAATTCTTGATTTTTTTTTACCGGTTGCCTCGTCTCAGCTGGGTTTCCAGTCCACTCTCTTTGTTCTACTTCTGCGCTCATTTGCTCAAAAGACTGCCACACCTTTCACCTTGTACATAGTGGCTGATCTTCGTAAATACTATCTCTGTCAATTCGCCACAGTCTCCGATCCTCGCTTCGATATTCCCCGGACTTACTCTGTTGCCTGCTGTCTTCAGCTTCTCCTCCCTGAATTGGTGAGTTCCTTTCCTGAGTATAACCTTTCACATGTTTCCTCCTAACACGCTACAGTGTCTACCCCTTTTGAGCCATTGAACTCCGTCCCTCAGAGAAAGCTGAACAGCCAACAAGACCCTCCTTATGAATACGACCGGTTCGATTGGAAAGCCAACCAATTGATGCCCCTATGCATCATTGGGACACTGTACATGATAGTGCCGTTGCACCGAGTCCAATAGTCCCGACCTGCCGGCCTGATCCACTCCCATCCAAGTCCAAACGCAGGCAATCCAGTATGCCTTCTTCCGTCTCTGGATCTGCAGTATCCACCCCTCCTCGAGGGGGAATGATTCCAAGGCCACAGGTGTCTCCTCCACGACCACAGGCTCGCTCAGCGGGTATGGCTGAGAGACCCTCCCGAAATGAAAATCTGTCAGATCTTGTGCGCTTCTTTCAGACCACTCAAAATACCCCTACATCGGGTCCTTCATCTGTGCAGACACCTACTTCGCCGGATAGTACTACCGCCTTGCCTATGGTCACTGAATCCATAGAGCCAAAGGGAAAGGAGTTAGAAATAGCAAAGGAAGTGAAACCATTACATCGCCGTCTGCTGCAATTCACGCAGCGCCAGAAAAAGGAATCATCGCCCAAATCCAAGCTCGACGACAATCAACGCCAGATCGCGGCACTCCAAAGGGAGGGGTACCTCCTTCCACCCCCAAAACCGAGAAGCAATCACAGCAATCACTCGGCCAAAACCAGCATCAGTTCGAAGAATAGCCTGGAGCGGACATTCTCCAAGTCCAAGAAACAGGATGTCGAAACTATCGGACAGCCATGGCTGGACAATGATACCAAAAAGGGACCTTCCGATTTCAAACGTCGACTGGCCTCCCTAGATCTCAGCGATTTCGGCTCGATGGTCGATGTAGCCGTGTCCTTGTCACAACAGTTAGATGAAGCATCGCCTCCACCGTACCAGTCGCTAGCTTCGAGTGGTGCCGCATCTCGGAGTGGACAAACTAGTGCATCTCAGTCGTCTCCGACACTCCCACTTTCAAGCTCTGCTCATTCTCGCTCAACCAGCGATAGACCGATGTCTCCACCCACGTCTATCGCGGGGACCTTGGGAAGTGTCTCTCAAGATGAAGCTGGTCGGCAATATCCCAGTGCGAGCACTTCAAACATGCGCATTGTGGACCCTGATACCGAACCTACGACTCAAGGTCTCAACATCAAGCCCGTCAGTGAGGATACACCGGCATCGTCGCGTCCATCTGTTTCAAGCGACTTGAAGCTTGATCAATCTGCCGAGACCGCTGAGCAGTCTACCCAGACTTCGAACAAATCCGCTTCAAGCTCGTCCGGAAGTCCTTCTTCACAGCCCTCGTTGAAGCTCTTCCCTGACGTTGCACCGCCACGCATGTCTAGCAAAAACGCATGGAGGATTTCTTCAGTGCCTCAATATCAACGGCCTTCTAACCCGCCTTCGTCGGCAGCCACTGAGTCTCCGCCTGGGTCTTCGGAAGTCAAGCCAGGGAAGTCGACTCTATCTGATGCTTTGGCAAGGGCTTCAAAAGACGAAGGGATGCGACGCTGCTCTGGAATTACTACAACGTCTACGGCTTCCACAGAGTCGGCCACGAATGAAGTTAGTTATTCCCAGGCTAGCGCACCGCCCAAGGCCAAGGCTCGACCACCCTCGTTGGCCATGGGCACTCTGAAGGCTTTCCCCCTTCCAGCACCCACGAGACCTTTACCATCGATCCCAATGCCTGGACGGGTACCACCGGCTGTTCCGGATGCCAAAGCTCCTTCCACTGTTCGCACAGTTTCGTCTACGCTCAAAGCTCCTGAGGTTCCGCCGTCACATCCCTCGCCCATTGCAGAAGATCCGTGTGAGCTGGGACCTGACGAGACACAGCCCAGTGAACCATCTACAGATACCCGTTCTGCAACCGTACTTGGATACGCAGGTGAGGCAGAGTCCGCAGCCGCCCATGATGATGTCAAATCGATTTGCACTTCCGAGCGGCCAAAGTCAGTATCCCCAGAGCAGAGCACGCCTCGACGACGTGCTTCTAGCATTCGTATTCCACGCATGCAAGATTTGCCTGAAAGCCCGGACCATGAGGAACATGAGGGTCTACCAATAGCCGACTCTCCGCTTCTAGGACAAATAAACCTGACAAAGGTTCATGAAAAGCGTGCTCCTCTTCAACCACTTCGGATTGACCCTCGCGTGGATCGCAATAATCTCCCCTTCGGTTTGCCTTCGCCGCCGCCCACCGCGGCCCTACCCTCTGAACCTCCGACACAACCCCTTCCTGAGCGTCCTCATGGCGGTCGGAATTACTCTGCCCCCATCCCAGCGGCTCTGCAGACTTCCAAGGGCATGGACATGCATTTCACCACGGGTCACCACAGGGCCTCTATGATCTCCCGCAGTGACAGCTCTCGCAGCAGCCTGCGCCATGAGAGCATTCCCGAGTCCTCCGAGCCAAGCCGCTGCGAGACTCCACTTCCATCCTCGGACGATGAGGGCTTCGGTCCGGGTACAGATATCGCGCGCTCTCATCGCAAGTCTGAGAAACATCCCAGGCGTGTTCATCCCCTTCATCAGGGCTATGCCACCAGGGATGCACACCCCAGCCATGGCCGCCTACGCTACCCTCATCCTGTCCGAGCTCAAACACCTCAAGACCGCTCCAGCCGTACTCTAGAGAAGAGTGCCATGTCTCCCCAGTCAACCTACTCTCAATCTACACATCGCTCGCGTGAATCGCACAGCACCCACCGCACTCAACCAAACGCCAACCAGATGGCTCACTACCTTGAGGACCGGGTCGCCAACCTTGAACGCCAGAACCAAATCCTTCAGGCAGCTCTGATGGCCGCCCTCAATGCTGGCGTCAAGAATCCCTTTGAAGGCCTAGGTGATTCTGCTCTTCCCCCCGGCTTTGCTCATCTGGGACATGCGAATCAGTATCAGAGCCGATTCACGCCACGTCCGGAGAGTTGGGTTAGTTCATCACATAGCAGTGAGAACAGTGGCTTCGAGACACCCGGTTCGTATCGTGAGGGGCGGCCTCATGTACGACAATTGGATAACATGATGGAGGATATTGAGAGTGGTGGATGGATGTCGGATAAGTCGAGTATGAGTGGTGCCCGGATGGCGAGAAATCGCTGAGAGGGTTATTCGTGCTGGCTCTTTGAGGTTGATCCATTCATTATTCGTCCCGTTTTCACATTCCTTTCCCATTTCTTGCTGATGATATACTGTATGATGCGATCTCTGAAAGCTTTGGCGATCTTTGGCTTATTATATCCTATTTCGATTTGCGCTTGATGATTTTTTACTCATGTTTATAACCCTTCTCAACGATACCATCTCATATTTACTTTTTATCATTGATTTCAATCTTGGGATGATTCAATTAGATTTCCTGGACTATGTGATTCCACGGGGATATCACGCCTCTCGAGCTGTGTAAGAATGAAGGGTCTGTTCCGATCCCTGCTGTATACCTTAAGAATAGTAAACCATATCATATGCGGTACTTTTGTACTCAAACGTTGTACGGTCAAGTCCCAAATGGGAAATCATCCAGAAGGCACACCCAACCGTGGAACCCCCATGTGATCCGCTTAGTCATCTCTGTTTGGGTCCTTCCGTTAGAGCTCCCACTGGGTTTGGGCTCGGGCTTAATCAGAGAGGTTCGTCGTCTGTTCTTTTGATGTACGAATTTAATTTACTCACTGTGACTGCCCGGCGCAGGCATTTGAAGGAAAATATCACCCATTGTCAATGACTACAAGCTTCACCATATTTTGTTGACCCTCATAAACACACACTTCCCCTTCTTCGTCCGCCGCTTCCACCTCTTCACTCCCTCAACATTCCCCGCAGCCCAGCATGGCCAACCCACCACAGGTATGCCCATTTCTATTCTAATAATTTATTATCCTAAATTGACCTCCGAAACAGCGCACTCAACAGGTACCCCAACATGTCACCGCGCTCCTATCCCACCTCACCAGCCGCCCGGGGGTGCAATCAACCCTGATCCTCTCCCGCAAAGATGGCTCCATCATCCAAAGCACAGGGCAAATCGCTGCTCAAGAGAACGCCTCTCCTCGTACCACACCTCCAACCTCATCCACCACTGATCAAACCCCGACCGCACAACCCTCCGATTCATCCCCCGCCTCCCCAACATCCCCGACACCAACAACCTATCAGCCCTCGCAGGCAGAGGCGCTGGCCGCACATATCTTCAATTTTGTCTCCAGTGCCTCTGCGCTAGGAATCTCCCTGGCCCGACCGATCACCACGCAGTCCACTACTAATGGACATTCTTCAAGTGGATTGGATGCGGAGTATGGGAGCTATGGGAACGGCACGGGTACGTCCACACCCCGAGAGGAAGATCAGGATGGGCAGGGGGACCGTGAGGAGGAGGATGAAGTCAAATTGTTGCGTATGCGTACAAGGAAACATGAGATTGTCGTCGTGCCGGATCGCAAGTATCTTCTTTGCGTGGTGCACGATGTCGCGCATGGAGGCGGTGGTCCTGGGGCGACGGGTGCTCGTTCGTCGCGGTAGATAGGTTCTATTTCAAATCTTCTTTCTTTTTTTTGGTGCCTATTTCTTTTTCCTTTTCTGGGGCAATGTTGCTTGATACCTTGGTGTCTTGGTGGTTGTGATTTTTCGGGTTGCTTGTTTTTCTTACAGTGGTTTTTTTTTTCTTAATGGCATATACCCGATGGAAGCAAGATTTTCTTAACTGTTGATGAGTTGATTTGCTTCCTTGTACAATTCTTTTCATGCTGGTATTGCATGTAATTTGTTTCTTTCAAGGGTGTAGTCATGTTGAGGCTGTTTACATATAGGATGGCATTAATGACACGACAGAAAAGTTCATGGCACGATAAGGCAAGTCCTAATAGGGAGCGCTACCCCTTCAACAGAGATTGCTACATTTAAGATTTACAAAATATCAGTAGAGTCCTTATATATATATAAGCCTATGTCTTTTCTAAGATATAGAAAAGACCATTGAAAAGACCATTGAAAAGACTGTAGAAAAGGGTGATAGTAGGAGGGCGAGTAGAATAATAACTTAGTCTATTAGAGGGATAAATAGATAGAAGTCGCGTATACAGTCGCTAAAGATATGAACGAGAAGTATCAATATGAATTATACATAATGACTTGGTAGGTATTTAGTGAATTTCGAATGTATGTAGCATTTTGTATTGAAAGGGAGGGTATCCTCAATAGGACTAGCCTTGTCGTGCCATGAACTTTTCTGTCGTGTCGTTAATGTCACCCTTAATATATTCCTAGGCTTCCCGGGTCCCGGGCCGGAGCATAAGGTTATTGGTAAGTAGGGATTGCAGCTTCTCCAAATTCCCACGTAGGGTTATGGATTTTATTAATGTTGGTAGGGAGGAGCTTCAATGAGACACTGACATAAGGTGATTCAATTTATATAGTGATGTATTCGAGATTTCATCTCTATGGCGAGGTTAAGGACCAAATCACGAACGCACCGGAATGGATCCGTTATCAAACAAGATCCACCTCCCCACAACTACCCCTCTCCAGTGGGTGAGGAGGGGGTCATCGACTCCTTGAATTCAGTTGTGCAACTCATGTTCATCAATCCTCAGAGGCCCAGGACTAACTGTACCCTTATTAAAATCTGAACATCTTAAAATGGCGTCTACTCTTGATGTGGCTGCTGCACGAGCGGCGTTCCCGGCTCTTAAGGGAGAGCAGATTTACATGGACAATGCAGGTAGGCAGTGACACCGGTATCTCAAGTCATAGTATCTCATGGACTATGTTACTCACATCAGTCTAGGAGGAAGTCAAGTTCTTGGCACCGTTGCGGATTCGTGAGTTTATGTATCCAGGTTAGGGTATCGCCAAGGCATGATAACTAATGTCTACAATGCGTAGTATTCACTCCTACTTGTTGAACACCAATGTCCAGCTTGGTGCTACCTACAAGATATCTCAGAGTTCTACTGCAGCTTATGACAATGGATATAAGGCTGCAGCAGGCTTTATCAATGCGCAGCCCGAGGAGGTAAGCGTGCCAAACACCATGCCTGTAATAACAGGCGGGAGCATCTTTGAATCTGACATACCTTCGCAGATCAGCATTGGAGTATCAACCACTCAGCTGTTACATAATCTCTCCACGGCACTCAAGTTCCAGCCTGGTGATGAGCTCATCGTATCCAAGCTCAACCATGAGGCTAACAGTGCACCCTGGGCCCGCATCGCGGAGCGCCTCGGGTTGACCGTGAAGTGGTGGGCATCGTCCGACCCAAAGAATCCAACGTGTGATGTGGCAGATCTGAAAACCCTCTTGTCAGGCAAGACTCGTCTGGTTGCGTGTCCACATGTTTCAAATATCACAGGCACCATTAGCCCCATCCGGGAGATTGCCGATGCTGTCCATGCTCACCCGAGAGTCAGTCCATCGCCAGCATCTTACGATATCCCCAACCACATCCATCCCAAAGAGGTAGTTGCACTAACCCATGACCTTTCTTCAACCAGGCACTCCTCTGTGTTGATGGTGTCGCTCTCGCACCCCATCGCCCAGTCGACGTCCAAGCCCTCGGAGTAGATTTCTACGTAAGTTTTGTGCCGTCCCCAATACGACAACTGACTCATACTCGGTTGCCTATCATGAGGCTCTTTGCTCACAACTTGGCTCGCTTCTTGCCCCCAATTAGGTATTCTCGTGGTACAAGGTCTACGGCCCCCACTTGGCACAACTATACGCCTCCTCTCGCACCCATGATCAAATCGACTCGCTAGCACACTTCTTCAAACCCACCGACACGCTAGACCAGAAGCTCAACCTTGCCTCGGCCAACTACGAGCTCACCCAGAGTATTCCCGCCGTCGTGGCGTACTTTGGCACGGATCCTAGCACAACGTGGACGGCCATGGCCGCGCACGAGGAACGCCTGCAAGAGATTCTGTTGCGGTTCCTGGTGGCGGATGACCGGATCACGATCATCGGCGAGCCGCGTGGGAGCCAAGAGCTGCGGACACCGTTGATTAGTTTCGTTGTGCGAGGGGTGAAGAGTCAGAGGTTGGTTGAGGCGGTTGAGTCGCGGTCTCCGTATGGATTCCGGAATGGCCATATGTATAGTCACCGGCTACTAAAGGACGTGTGTGGATTAGACGATGTGGATGACGGAGTGGTTCGTGTGAGTCTGTCGCATTACAATACTGGTAAGTGCATTGATTTCCCCGTGCTTGTTGAATGGCGTGCATGGATTTTCAGGGTCACTGTGGACCTGGAGCATCGCATCACGTTTCCCTAGCGTATCGTGGATTAGGTCAGAGTATGGGGCCGCTAATCAGGCAACAGAGGCGGAGGTGGCGGGGCTAGTGACCGTTCTCCAGGAGGCTCTGGCAGAGTTATCGTAGAATTGATGATGGGAGTGGCATCGGTGAGAGAATGAGTCATATTGAGTGGGCTAGCTTATGGAAGAAGAGGACCGAATGATGATCGATGAGTTTTTTTGATAGCCACCATTTCCAGGGAGTTCGGTCTCCGGACCACTCTCGACCTCGTGACTTTCGAGGGTGTGGGGGCCGATGCCGGCGTCTTGCCCATCTCGTCATTTTAGATAGAAAGCGCCGATAGGATATTATGGAGATACTTGTGATAAAGCAACGAAGCGTCGTTCTCAAGAGGGTAATTATTCATATTTTCCAGTATGATTCTTCATTTTACAAATGTCATCATTGTAATAAGCTCCCTGCCGGTCATAGAATTCGCGCTGGGCGTTCGGTGGAATACGAGGTGATTTCAGCTGGCTGTCAGTGCTTCCCCAATTTGCCTCTTTGCTAATAATAATGCTCCGCGCCCGGTGGTAACTTGAACAGGGATATATATTGTTTTCTAGTATCTAGTGGTCATAGACTGTACATATTACATGCCAAGCGCTTTTTTTTTTCCTCTTTTTCATTCTAGTCGGAAGGGGCTACCAGCATCCCATCATCGCCCAACCTCCAGTATAATCTCATGACATAAACTAGGACTGATTAGGATGGAAGCAGATGGAGCCGTAGATGGGAGTTTATCAAGTGGACGGAGCTTGGTAGTTTCTCCGCATTGCGATAGCGGACAGCACTTGGTTCTACGACCCGTACGGAGTAAGTTGATCAGTTTAGTGGTTCATGCTGGCTGCAGGTCTGCCCGTCTCCCCCAACCTCTTTTTTACGCTTTCTTGCAGCCCAGTGGTTCCGCTTGGATACCCGATAGGCCGCTGATGACTTTCTCTTGCCGCGGGTTAAGTGTCTATTATTATTTCCCCCCCCCTCTCCCTGGCTTCATCCAGGTTGGTCAGCCTGCGGTGGCTCAGCGGAGTTGGATGTAGACTTCCCTGTCTGGTCAGTCAAGAGTACGTAGTGCCGATCGGAGGGCCAGGGCCTAAGCCCTGCCCATCTTACGACCGGGCAGCGTGGCTTTGGAAAGTGGCCAGGATGGGGAGGAGCCAATGAGAAGGAGGATAATCCCAGGGCCCGTGGGGCAAAATGAAGAACGAGCAGGCCTGGATTGGCCGGGGGAAGAACAGCGTGGCAACGCTAGAGGAGGGAATCCATTATTATTCACATTAATTATTAACTTAGTTAACTTAACTAGTTGAGAACAGGGCAGAATTATGACTCAAGAGAGGACGGACTGGCGAATCAGGTATGGAGTCGATGAGTACCCAAGTACAATTATGAATGGATTACTGTACTATGCATAGCCCGATCGGGTACTTTAGGGTAGGTGTATACTGTACAGAGTTCCAAAGGGCGAACAAAGTACAGAGAATACAATATCAACCAGAAAGTCGTCTAGATGACGATAGCTATGATTGTAGAAATCGCGATAGCCTCAACAACTATTATTTCTATCAGATTTAGTCAACTATTCGATTGTTCCTATCTGATTATCCTCCCCCGGTCCCGTGAGAAGGGCTCTGAGTCACCCGGCCGCATCCGGGTTCATACTCCAACAGAGTCTTCATCCGAACCCGCCACCTTCGCCACAGCCAAGTCACTTGTTCCCTCTCTCTCTCTGTCTCCCTCTCTCTAGACTGACCGAACCGACCGACCTGACTCTTCCCCCCCATCTTCATTCGTCTCCACTTTTTCCATCCTTTCCACTTCTCTCCCAACTTTCGCCTCTCGGGTCTCTCTTTCTCCTCCGCTCATTCCCCCCCCTCTTAGTCAAACTTCGGAACCATCCACCGTCCACCTCCCAAGGAGTCATACCCCGGTGGTGAAGCCTAAAAAAACCTCTGCTCGCCCTCCTGACTCTTTCCCTTTCCCCCGATCCCGATTTCGAAAAACAACTTCGAATTCGCCTCCCTTTCTCACCCTCTCTCCTCTCTCCTCTCCCCGTCCGGTCTTTCTCTACACACCACTGCCGCCTAACGCCTAACCGCGCCCTCCTCTCGCCCCCATCCGCCTGCCTGGTCCCTAAGCCCTGAACAGTCAAGACTCACTCGACTGCCTGTTCATGGTCTCTTAGGTGCCTTGGATATCGTCCTTTAAATTCCCCTCTATTCGAGCCTCAAATCAAAATGTATACTGCCTCCTCCCACCCGATCGCCCGTGTTGCCGCTATCGATCTCGTCTCCGTCATCGCTGGTTCCGTCTCCATCTAAATTTGATTCGAGTCATCGCCAGCTTTGCCACGGGGGTTCCTTTCCATAGCCGCAACACCGCGATCGGTCTCCTGTGACTCTATATTCTGTTTTTTTTCTTGAATCATCCCCCCTCAACCCGTTTGACGATTATACTTCCTCATTATTTGCCTCTTGATTATTCCACGTACCCTTTGTCTACCCTGATATCCCCCGGCTTGTTCCTGCTTCTGGTTTACCTCTTGACTCTTTAAACCTTCCCTTCTTACCCTCTTCTCCCCCCAACACCACACACTACACACTACACACTACACGCCACCTCGTTGCCGACTCTCAACACACGGTCAGTCGCGTCGGTGGTCTCTTCCTCTCCACTTTAATTACTTCTCGTCACCCTGGCGATCTTCACATTCTAAAAGGCTTTGCCGTCGCCTCCCGCAAAAGACGGCTCTTGTCTTCTCGGCCTTCGTTCCCGGTTCCTTGCTACACGGTATCTTGACAAACAACTTTACGGTTCCAAAATCGGATCATCCTCTTCTTCCCTTTCGGTCGCCCCGTTGAGAAATTCTTGAGTTTTTACTGGTTGATCAGTCATCACATCATGAACCCCTCTACGCTTCCGGATATGTCGGGGATGGACGTCTTGGGTTTACACATCTCTAACCCAAGCTCGAAAGCGCCTCACGCGCACCCTTACCCTTCCTCTATTGCCTCCTCCGCCTCCTCCTCTTCCTCCTCGGTCTTTTCGCTCGACGCCTCACAGAGCTCGGTTTCATCCACAGCCACGAACCCCGTCGACGTGATCTGGGAGAATGAGGGAGAGACACTCGGGAGACCTATGGGCACATGCCCTCGCGCTTTTACCAAAGGAGCTCCTCCCAAGCTCGATGGTGCTGTGCCTGCCGAGCTGCGTATGCACCCTCGGCGCACCAGCGTTGCGACTAACGGTTCCGCCGCACGGCCTCCGCCCTGTCTGCTCCGGCAGTCCGAGCGGAAGGTGAATTTCGTCGATAACCTCGTCGGTAAGTCCAAATCATACGGGATCTTTTCCCCCCCCCCCACCTTCGTCCTCCTTTTCCCCCCACATCCGGCTAAATCCGTTGCTTTTTTGCTTCGTCTCGTGAAGATACGGCGTCACAAATCGTCGAAATCATCTGGCCGCTGTCCGCCGCGGCATCCCGCAGTGATGCTGCGACGGGTTCCAAAGGGGTTCTTCCTCTGCGGACGTTCATCCAGGAAACCCTTCGTCGTTCACGTACTAGTTACTCCACCCTGCAGGTGGCTTTATATTATTTGATTAAGATTAAGTCCCACGTGCCCTCGCACGACTTTACCAAGGAGCAACCTCGGAATCAGTCGTGTATGCGGGCCATGCAGTGTGGTCGCCGCATGTTTTTGGCGGCTCTTATCCTGGCCTCTAAATATCTCCAAGATCGCAACTACTCTGCCCGCGCGTGGAGTAAGATCTCGGGTCTGAACACTCTGGAGATCAACCAGAATGAGTTGATGTTCCTCGAGGCAGTCGGATGGCGCCTGCACATCTCCGAAGCGACCTTCCAGCGCTGGACCGACCTCGTTTTGAAGTTGACTCCCGGTGCTGGTGGTCTCCCCGCAAGTGAGGGCCAGTGCTGGCTCACCGTCCTTCCTCGTCTCACTCCCGAGTTGGAGTCTCTCGACTTCGAGCCGATGACTCCGGTCTCGATGGGTAGTATGGATCTGGGCCTGGTCGACTCCCTCTCGCCACGCAGTGCTCCGAGCATCGAGTCACTTCGCTCCATGTCGCGCGAACGGACTCCCACCTGCCCACGCAGCCTGCCTCGGACGATGGAGCCCACACCTCGCCTCGAGTACGCGCATCTACCGATGCCGACCATCTCCCGCCCTCAGATGCTGCCTACGCCTCAGATGACCCCTCAGTCGCATGTTGCCTGCACTCCTGCTGCGAGTGTAGCGGCATGTGGCCCCCGCCGCCCTTCCATCGGTACTGCGATGTCCCAGGCTCAGAACTTGGGCATGGCGCGCTCGACTCTTGATCAGCGCCCGCCGCTATCGTTCTGTCCTCGGGCTCCGTCGTATGATGGATATCCGGCTGCGGTTCGTCGGTCTTCTCTGGCTCGCTCGACCTCGTCGGCTTCGTCGGCTTCGTCGGCTTCATCTCCGGACTCGATGGTCTCGGACGTGTCGACTCTGTCGTCGCGCTCTTCGCGCTCTTCGTCGGTCTCCTCCAGTGCCTCGGGTGCCGGTGCCCCGGCTCCATCTCGCCTGGCCGTAACGGCCACCTTGCGTTGCACCAACAACTCCCTCAAGGAGAGTCGCAAGACTCTGGCGATTGCGTCCCCGATCGACGAGACGACTTCTCTGGTGGATCTCTACAGTTCTCCCGACTACCCAGGTGTGATGGGCTCTGCGCCGGACTTGTCCTCGTATACCCTGGACTCTAGCCTGAGCGAAGCAGCCCGTAGCCTCTGCGAGTTGTCGGGTGCTACTCCCGAGCGCCGCCAGTGTCGCAAACGCGGTCGTACTGGCTCCGACGATCTGCTCCTGCAGAACCACGTTCGCCATCTGATCGATGCGGGCGCATCGGGCGTTCCTGCACCCGTCCTTCCCGACGGACAGCTGGCCAACTCGTTCCTGGTTTCGAACGGATCGTCGCTCTCAGGTCCCGCTGGTATGAAGCGGGCTTGCTGCGGTAGCGAGGCGCGCAAGATTGCACTTAACCCGAGCATTCGCGCAGAGTACCTGAACTAATCGGGACTGGTGCTTTCTGGATTTTTCCTTTGTCTTTTGGAGGATTAGAAAAAGCCCGTCTTTTTTATTTCTTTGATTGTTTCACCAAAAGCCTCGTGGTTTTTTCGGATGATTCCCCAACCCCGTTTCCCCCTCTACTACCCTCTATCTACCTCTCCCCCCCCTTTTTTTTTAGCGACTGAGTGCCGGGTTGAAATCCTTTTGTACATACCCTCCGCCCGTCTCTCTCTTCCTTCTCAACTCGGATTTCCAACCTCAGTTGTCGCGCAAGTTACCACCAAAAATGGTCTTGCAAGTGTACGATGCACGTGGTTCCTTCCCCTCGTCATCCTCTTTTGTCATCCATTTTATTTTTTCTTCTGTTACTTTGTTTCGTTGCACGGAGTGTGGTGGGCATGGGACGGTTCGTTACTCTTTTTGTTTCTCTCTCGCTTTTATCTCTATTACCCATATCCCCTTCAACCTGGGGTCACTACTACTACCTCCTACCTCCTACCTCTACCTATCTACCTTGACATCCCGCTGTTTTATGGAGGGAGCCGCAGTGCATAAGACATTGCACTTTCGTTCCTATCCCATCTACTTGGCGCTATGGGTTGCATGGCACCATGTGGGCATCATCGGGGGGATTCGGCGTCTGGGTGGAAATGGTTCGCATCTACGGATAGCCAATCGTACATTTACTTGATCGCACTATCTTTGCTCCTTGCTCTTTTCTTTCTGTAATTCTCATTTTCTAGGCAAAGCTGTATGCTGTGACCAGCGCTTTCAGTAGTACAGCTGGGCATGGGCTATGCGTTCAGGCTGTCGTACTCCAGTGCCGGAGTACCCTAGTAATTCATGCGCCCGGTTTGCGCCGTGCTGCGTGCTGTGGCGCAGATACTACTGTGGCTGTGTATGTGTATGTGGCTGTGGCACGGGTGTTCATGTAGCTGGCTTCGGGCTCTCCGGTTCTGCATCAATTACTATGTTTAGCTTTACGGCTGGCTGGTACCTCTACCGAATGAGTGATCTGCATCAAATTTTAATCGGGAAATAGAATTATAGCACTGGCTAGGAAGGACTAGACCGATCATGCTGGATAATCTCTGGTCTCTGGATTCGGACTTCTTTAGAGGCCCTGTACCAATAGCTAGACATATTCTCAAAGGAATCTCAATGCTATTGCAAATATGGTACAGATTATCAGCGTGAAGGGTCAATTCCCTGAGTCGTGGTTAGATGTCGGACCATCGGACCATCAGATAAGATCAGATGATGCAAGTCCGGCCTTGGTTTCTCCGCACTTTCCCCTCTTCGTCCACCTTACTTCTTTGAACCGTTTGCACTCCAACACTCAGGCTGCTTTTGCGGGACGTCTGATCGGCCTGCTTTAAGAGCCGTTGGAACCTACAAGCCTCAACTATGATCTTTCAGCATATTACTACGGGCGTTCTCGCCCTTTGCTCTTCTACTTTGACTTCGGCCTCTGCCATCCCGCACGTTGACGATCAGGCCGTTTTGAAATATGCCGACCATGCAGCTTCCCCCCACGACGTCGACGCGGATAGCTTTACCCGTCCATCCTGGTTCACCTCCACCTTGATGGCTCGCCGTCTGCTCGCGCTCTCTCCTTCCGGTGTTATCTCCACCACCTTCCCCAGTCATATCCCCGCCTCGTCCCGCACGCCTGCCGAGGTCGCCGGTTTGCCTATCGGCCTGCGCGAGTACATCGCTGACTGCGACGGGGTCCTCCCCAAGCACCTCTCGCACGGAGATAACGGTGACCCGACCATTTTGGCTCTGCGCGTGGCAACGACTTTCAGAAATATCGGTAGTGGCTCGAACCTCAGTCTTGAAATCGACTGGTGGGATCATCTCTCTGATGCGGGCGCCGTCTACCCAGGCCTGCCTCCCAGTCCTGCGGCGTTGCCGCGCATCACTCTATTCGGATACCTGGATACCCTCCCCGACTTATCGGTCGCTGCTGCTGCCAGCTTGGAGAAGTGCTTCCTCCAGTCCCATCCCGATGCGAAGTACTGGTTGCCCGATACCCCGGGATCCCCACATGCAAGCTACTGGGCCCGCCTGGTTGTGACGCAGGCGTACTGGATCGGTGGGTTCGGCGACGTGCAGCAGATCGGGTGGATGAACGTTACCGAGTGGAAGGGGATCCGACAGCATGGTAGTCTGCCGGGCGTGGGTGACGGACGTGGATGGGAGGATGTGCGACTGCCGGGGGAGAAGCACGCACATGGTGCTCTGTGATTTGTCGATGTCGAGGATACCTCGGTTTCTCTCTCTACATAAGTGCTTCGGCCGTCTCCGGTCTTTGCTTGTAGATAGACAAGACAGAGACACAGATAGTTATCGATTTACCCGTTGCTGATGAACGACGGAGTCCTCCGAGCGAGTCTTATGGACTACGGATCGCGATAATGGAGGACCCTGCAGCCCTTCGCTTAATCTCAATGAATCCTTTTAAGTTGCGCTTTGACAGCTCGTCCGAGCGAGTTAGTCTGTATTAGTCTGTTTACCCCCATTTCTGCCACGATGCAAGCTAGTAGTATGGCTTGTCATTCGCCAGTTGGGCTTATCAGTTGGAGACGGGGCAGGGATGTTTGCCACTTTTTTATCATCTTATCAGCTTATCTAGAGCTCGTCATTGAAAGCGTACTCCAGACGACTGGACGCCTGGACAAGATCCGGAGATCTACTCGTACTTAATCGTACGGTTTTGTGTATGATAGTACTTGTGAGTTGCTTCTCCCTCATTGCGACAGTCCTTTCTTTTTCTTCTTTTCCTGCGCTGGTGCCCTTGGGTTGCATTGGTGACACAAGCTGCATGCTTGCTTATCCCGCTACTTCTACTTCACCTTTCTAAACCGTAGCAGCATTCCACGCTCCCCATCTCCCAACATGCGCCTCTCCAGGCCTCGACTGAGAGTCTCTCAGCCCCAGTCGGCTTTTGCACACGGTAATGCGCGATGGACAAATCTTGACTTGGATCCAATTCCTCTGCTGGGAAGGAAATGGGGTGTAATGAGTTTGATAGGTACTTTGCGTCGGGTCCTAATCTACCGACAAAGGTCGTTCTTAATCTGACATGGTCATCCCTAGCATACTGGATCTCGGACGCGTTCAATGCAGCGACCTGGCAATTTGCTAGCAGTATCATCGCTGTCGGTCTCACCTATCGCGAGGCCCTTGCGATCGTCGCCATATCCTTTTTCATTATATCCTTCGTTATTGCTGGCAATGGTGCCGTGGGCGCCATCTACCACGTCCCTTTCCCCGTCATCGCGCGTGCCAGCTGGGGTTTCTGGGGCTCATATATCGCCATCGTCTCTCGAGCAATTCTGGCCGTGTTCTGGTTCGCAATTCAGAATGTTAACGGTGGGAATTCGGTTCGGGTCATGATCGGGGCGATCTGGCCCAGCTACTTGACCCTTCACAATGATATCCCCGAGTCGCAGGGTATCACGACTAATGGCATGGTCGCATTTTTGATCTTCTGGATTTTCCAATTCCCCTTCTTATGCATGCATCCGAATAAGCTGCGCTGGTTGTTCACGATCAAATCCATCGTGGTCCCGATCGCCTGGATTGCCATCTTGATCTGGGCCTTTGTGGTGGAGAAAGGTGGTGGTGGAATCTTTGATCAACAAAAGGCGACGGTCTCGGGATCCACGTATAGCTGGCTGTTCCTGGCAAATATGACCTCCGTCCTGGGGAATTATGCTACTCTCAGCGTCAATCAGGTAAGCCTGATACCTCCAGATCCTGGAACTATATCAAACTCCTAACCACCCATAACGTGTACTAAACCTTTTTCTCTTGGGCTAGTCCGACTTTTCTCGATATTCCCGGGTCAATCCCCGTTGGCAACTCCTCTATATCCCCATGCTCCCCATCATCTTCACCTTCGTCTCCTTCATCGGCATTGCCGCTTCCTCCGCCGGCCAAGCCCACTACAACCTCGCCTCTATACCCTGGGACCCCAACGAACTCATCAGCCACTGGCCCAACCGTGCCTGCCGCTTCTTCGGCGCAGCCTCGTTCGCCATCGCCTCGCTAGGCGTCAATATCTCGGCCAATTCACTCTCCGCCGCGAACGACTTTACCGCCCTGGCACCGAAGGTGTTGAACATCCGCCGCGGCCAGATCTTGTGTGCCCTGTTATCGTGGGCCCTGGTACCGTGGAAGATCCTCGCGTCGGCCAATAACTTTTTGAGCTTCATGAGCGCTTATGCTATCTTCTTGGGTCCTATTGCTGCGATCATGTTGTTTGACTTTTGGATCGTGAATCGGACTCGGTATGATTGTCTTGCGCTGTATCAGCCGTCGAATCCGATTTATCGGTACGTTTGTGCCGTGCCGTTCATGTCTGGGAAATCCATCTGGGGCGTGAATTGGCGTGCTGTGGTCTCTTTCCTCGTGGGCGTTGTCCCGTCTCTTCCTGGGTTGATTAATACTGTGAATCCGAAAATTCATGTCGGGGTCGGTGTGCATCCTTATCAATTTGGATGGTTGTTGGGATTCTCTGCTACGGCGGGGGTTTATCTGGCCTTGTCGTGGTTGTTCCCGGCAAAGGAGACTCGGATTCCTCGTGCTGTTCTCCCGGATGAAATTTATGATGAGAGAACTGTTGTGGTGGAAGGTGTGGAGGCGGATAGTTCGGAGCAAATGTCGGCTACTTCTCGATCGGACAAGATACCGACCGAGTCGGAGAAGACTGTCTAGAGCTTTTACAGCCTGTCATGATGATGAATATTTGTTTTTTGGTGTGAGAGGTTGTCATGAGAGTATCTTTACGTCTTGCAGTTCATGCAGACAGTTGCGCAATAGCGCTTTCTGTGGTGCGTGAACTTTGCTCTATATACAGTCATATTTGAGTCCAGACTCGAGCGTTACCATGAAAAGAAACACGCTCGAGTAATAGGAATAACAGTATAGCGCGCCATTGGCAGCCTAGAGGTAGAGGCGTAGTAACTAGGGGAAAGATCTATCTCGAGATGGTCTTAACTTTTATCTTCGTCGACGAATCTTTTAGGAATTTAAGATGGCATTTAAATTTTCGCATGGGGATATCTCAAGGTACAACTAGAAAGATGACTTGAAAGGTCTATTATGGACCGATCTGGAAGTCATGCCGTTCAGCCTTTTCTCCAAACCCTAGCGCAGAGAAAGCCTGTTGTACCAACATGAGATTCCTCTCCAGCGTGGTAGAGGTCTACCACCCAAGAAGGAGCAGACCGTGGCCGCTGAAGATTTTGGGCCTGCACACAGGTTTCTCGAGGTTTCCCAAGATGACAACTGGGAAGTATATCATGAGGTCCTCGAAGAGTACGGAGCCACAAGGATAGAGATACCATGGCCCCTTTTCAGACAAGTACTTGAGAAACATCTCGTCCTGATAGCGGTATAAGAATGCTGTATTATGATCATATCATCGTAAATATTCACTTTCAAGGTCCAGCCCCGTACGACAAGGCTTCTTTCAGCACCTTGCTCACGCCGGAAGACGCGCGACCCAGCTCGCCACCTTCTTCCCTTGCACTCTTCAGACCGCGTTCAACAGCGGACAAGAATCGTGTCGAAAAAATCCGGTACCGATCCTCGCGGGTCTCATACATTTCGCCTTCTTCATCACGCGGTTGTCCAAACAAATTCAAGTAGCTATATGGCGCAGCCGATTCGGATATCATGTGTTGACTCGTCTGGCACAGCGGGAACGGCCACGCCGAGGGGGACGAGTCATCGTGTGACCCTGTCTCGTCGACCGAGGCACCTGGGGCACCGATTCCCGCGTCCAAGAACCCCGCTAGCGCACCCAGTACCTTCACCATAGGTCGGCCCTGGCTCCCTGACTTGCCAAAGGAAGCCCGGCTCGATGACCATCGAGATGACTCCTCGGTGTGCCAGCCCAGTACCGACAGAAAACAGTTAAAGGTCTTGATCCACCCGCCCGCGCAAGAAACCACTGCTTCGCCGGCTGCATCGACCATCCATGAGAGAATCTCGACAGCGGAGACACGGATGTCGGCTGCTAGGTGGGTCATACCGGCGCGAACGTAGGGGAGTAGTTGCGCAACGTGGTCCTGTACGTCATTGGGCGGAAGCGTTTTGAGGAGCTTGAGTAGAGCAGTGCGGACATTGTTGTTTGCGTCGAGTATTAAGGGGAGCAAGGATGGGAGCATGACGCTGACTGGTTGCGGCAGAGGTGAATTGACCGGACGCGAGGCGATTGTGGTGGTTAGATGGGCTAGGGAATCGCGCCGTTGGTTGTCGGATTTGGATGAGAGGAGGGAAAGGTGGTGGGAGAATTGGCTGCTGGAGGTTGGAGCGGCGACATGTAGAGATTGTTGGTTAAGTACGATTGCTGCGACAGATTAGTATTTTGATTTCTCGTTGTCTAGAGTCGAATTATTTCTCGGGCGGAGCGATTGCCTACCTTTTGATCGGAAACTGGTGTCTGTAAAGTTCTCTGGCTTCGCCTTGGCCTTGCCGACCTTGAGCTTGGGTTTCTGCGGGAGTTAGCCAGTTGATTCGTCATATTGAAGTTTCTTTCAATCTTACTTGGAAGTCCTGCTGCTTCTCCTTCTTTCGCTTAGCGCTGGCACCCATGGTTGCTGTTGTCGTTTGTAGTTTGGAGAAAGCTGTCGCAATGACTTTTTTTTGGGCTGGCTATCCCACGTGATACTGATAACAGCCTCAGGCAGGACTTGGCCAAAATGGGAAGTATGAGACGCTTCGAACGTAACATGGTCATAATCACTCTGGTCCAGTCACCTTTTAAGTACCTAGAAGAACCTTAGATTGAGGTTGAATGTAATTGGAATTTATGATTTGATTTTACTCGAAAATTGCGTTGATGATCTTCTCGTCCTTCCCTCGAGCCAGCACGAGAAAATGTGGATGAAGAAAATGAGAGCCTCATCACAAGACTGAAATTGAACTTTACACAAGATAGGGGTCTATTGTAAAAATCTGGAGATGAATGTAATCCAGAGATTGGGAAATGATCTTCGGCATCTTCATCGAGGCTCCCTTTTCCCCTCTACTTTTGACCCGGTAACCGTATCAGTTCCCTCCACGTCTGCCTGTCCCGTAGTAGTATCGCGCTGTAATTAGAGCAATCAAATCTATTCTACTGTCTGGACTGGCTGACAATGTTTGCACTGATCTGGAACTAATCAAAATGGATCACCTTTTGCGGTGTTCTTGTCGAGAATTCCCCGAGGCTGCCAACGGCAGAAGACAGAACAGACTTCAATTCTAAGCCATCTTGCCATCATACGACTACCCCTATCAACTCGCTCCTGCTTAGATTATCAGACAATGATCAGAATACCCCGTATCGACAGTCTTGCCAACCACTCACCACGTGAACCTCCTCCCAATGCGCGAGCCACGATCTCACGTCCAGAATCCAACATTGATTTCCCCTTCTCAGAAGACTCCTCGCCCGATTCCGTGAATTGATCACGCACACCGGTCGGTGTATCTGACAACCGACGAGTAGTAGTTTTCGTGTCCCCTACACAAAGAAGACGACCGATTTCTTAGTCCCTTTGGTACTCTATAGAACGACCCAGATAAGGATGTAACAGGGAGAGAAGACGGGTTCTACGTTCCTGAATCCACGGCCATATTGATCATGCTATAGCTGTTGGGATACGTACCCGGTTCGAAGATTTCTGCGATATCCTGTCGGGCGCTACTTGCGGATTCGTTTGCTCGGTTTGTGTAGTTGTCCGGTTTGCTTACATCGACGAGAGCGGGCTCCGAGACTTCTGCGAGGGCATCAGCGACTATCACGTACAAGGTGGTTTGGAGAAAGAGCGGGGACTTGCCGTCTGTGCTGGTACTATCATACTGTCGCAAGAAGTCAGTATGAGATGGAGATATTGGTTGTGGCCAAGGAGGGTATCATACGGCAGCCGCTGACATGCTGTTTGGTATTGTTGCAACCTTGGGAAAGTCCCCAATTATTTCAGTTTTAGTGATTGAAGATTTATGGGATTGGAAGGTAGGTGAAATCTATAAGAAATCAAGGCCGAGAGGACCAATAGGGGGGGCAAGGGGCAAGAATGACTCGGATATTCGTCGCCATGACGTTTCTTCCGTCTGTCCAATCTTTCTTGAGACAATTCATGAAAATGTGAACATGAAAGAATTTCATGTAATCCCAACCATTCACATAAGCATGACAAATTGTGTACAAGTAACGTGGTCCGTCGAGCAATTACAGGTGAAGCTGAAACGGAGAAAGGGCAGACGGGTCAAAAAAAGTACCTACAAGCTCTGTGAACATGTGGACTATCCGGGGATGTGGGGGCTTGTTTTAAGCTTAGATCTTATCTGGATTGGCTTTTACTTGTCGATCCTTTACAGATCTAAGAACTGATTGTGATTTTATTCAAGTCACGATGCCACACAGGTGCACAAAGCCAAGTTCAGTATCTCCCGTCTAGTCTTGAGTCTTGTCTTCAGAGAGATAAGTCGTCTTGAGTGGTGTTTTACAAAGTGGTCACCTCTAGTGTTCGAGTAGAATCTACAACGCCCATAAATCGGCCACTGAGATAACGAAATCGGGGCAATGTCTGTTGCAGAAAACCAGACCCCTTCTTATCTACGCGCCCAATTTCCAAGCATAATAATGTCATAACAATCGTAATCAATTTCAAGTCTAAATCTTCGAAAAAAAAGTCCAGATCATCACATCGGGCCTGCTCAGCAGCGCGTAATCAATATAGTGACGAGAAAAAAGCATCAAAAAGAGGAATCACGTCAGAAGAAACCAGAAAAAAATATCAAAAAGACATGAGATGCGCACTTCTGCCCGGGCCCGAGTTGCACATAAAAAGCACGAAATCAAAACAAAAGAAAAAGCAAACTCGGGCACCGGACAGACGCGATTGTATCAATCAAATCACACAGATCATCAAGCACACGTTAACGTATAAGAGACAATGGGAGATAAAAAGGGGAGGGGGAAAGGCATAACAGCATGGGTTTCATAAATCCATGCGGGGACCACTAGCAAAGTGGAGTATTAGTCGTGGATGGATGGGATTAGAGAGGTGGTGGCAGTCCAGCCCCGTAGCACCGAAAGACATCGACAGAAAAGAAATGGAAGAATCACAAAGAGTCAAAAAGCAGGATTTTCCCAACGGTGAAAAAAAGCCGTTTACAGACTCATGGTCAACCATTCCCACTCTTGGCTTGCACCCTGGCCACCAGCAATACTGTGGTTGGCTGGGTTGGCGGCTGCAGGCAGCATGGCGGGTGCCAATGGTACCACCTTGGACCGACCAGCGGACGTGTTGGTCCGGGGGCTATCTTCGGGATCTGGATCAGACCCAGTCGGAGCCTTCTCCAGGCGACGCTGGCGTCGAGGAGCCACTTGCACTCCAGCACGAGCCGAAGCTACCCCAGCAACGGGACCAGCCTTGGGAGGAGCCGCGGCAATGGGGACCACGCCCGGTTTGCCCATCGTGCTAGATCCCACGATGGCGGGGGGTGACTCGGAAGAGTTGCCATTCGGAGTTCGAGAGGCAACTAGACTGGAAGGCACCTGCTGCATGGAGTTCTTCCGAGATGACTTTTTGGACGAGCGAGAAGTGCCGACAGCGAGACTGTTGGCGCTACTGCGGTTACGCTTCTTGATTACATCGGTCTTGAGCGACAGCGGGCGAACGACTCCGTGAAGCTTCAGGAAGAGGCCACAAGCATTGCATAGCGGCTGACCCTCGGGGTTACGGCGCCACAGGGGAGTGGTCTGGGTGAAGCAGTTGGTACAAGTGGTCGGACCGGCATTGGGGTCGCCGTTCTTGGATCCACCAGGGCTACCTGGACGCGATGGCACTGCACTGCTGAGACCAGACTCGGGAGGCGTGTTGGGGGACGGGTGGTTGGTCGATGGGCCACTGGTGATTCCGTTCATACTCTGTCGAAGCAGTGCGGGAGCGTTCGGGGTTGAGGCAGTGCGAGCAATCTTCTGACGGCGGGGATCCTGCTCTCGGTTACGAACATCGCTCACGGAGGCGGCCGAGCCGAGTCCACGACCCAAACTGCCCGCGTGCTGCCAGTCAGAAGGACCATCCATCATATCAATGGATCCGATGGTGACATGCTTTCGGTGTAGGCCATTGAAGCCTGGCAATGACTGGACCGACCCGGCGAACCCAGAATCCCAGGTCAGGCCAGAATTCATGTCACCGTCGTCCATGGAGGGGAAGTCGTTCGGCATCGTGATACCACCGCGTTCATACGTGGGACCATCGTCGTCTTCATTATCAGAGTCACCACCAAACGTGAACATGCTGTTGGTCGGGGCGGTCGAGGAAAACTCGCCGGAACCCAGGACTTGGGTGGGATCCACATGCTGGGGTGGTGGAACGGAGAAACCGGATTGGTGCATGTTCGCAGGCGGACCTGTGACAGCAGTTGGGGCCGAAAACTCGCCGTTGGTCGTGTTGAACATGTGGCGTGGCTGCAGCGATGCCGACAGGTTGGAAGTTCTTTGCTGAATGTAGTTCGGGATGCGGCGCTGGGCTTGGGAGTCTGTAGACGGCACATCGTTAAAGAACATGGACTGCTCTCCTTCGTAGATGGGCTGAGGAGTCGACACGGTTGACTGATAGCCCGAGGGTGGCGGAGAGAAGAACTCTGTCGAGTTGAGGGAGGACGCCAATGGCGTCTGCGCATATAGGTTGGAGAATGGATTGCCAGAAGTCATTGGGGACTCGGAGGGAGAAAAGGTAAAGTGCTGCTGATACGGCCCAGCCGAGTGAATGCCATGATCCTCGGCCACTCCGAAAGTGTCCAGACTGAAGGGAATGCTGGAGGTGTGGTGGTGCTGAGGACGACGCCCGCCGAGCGTGCCGTTTCCAGGCATGGCAAAGGCCGAGGGTGGATGGTCCAAGGAGTAGTCGGGAAGCGTGGAGGATAACTCGGAATGCTGTGCCAGCATCGTGTTCGACACGGGCGGGACCTGGGGCGACGAATCGGCCGGTCGCTTGCGAGTCGGCACGGCCAGACCGGCGAAGAACTGGCGCTCGTCGACACTGGTCTTGCGCACTCGACGGGTGACGTAGCCAAATTCGCTGTTCTTGCGCTGATCCGCCGGTGGGTGAGGGAACGATGCGGCGGCGGCCGAGTCATTCACGGGATGGTCCTTGCGCGCTTTAATGGGAATTGATGCAGTGGGAGTCGCATTAAAGTGTCGGTCGGCAGCGGGATGTGAGGCATAGTCAACGGGGGAATCAAAGGGCACGATAAAATCGTCAATGTTCATCGGGTCAGGCGTCGCATCCATGTGCATGTCAGCATGATGATCGGGCGAAACATTGGTCGTTTGCTCCGAGAGACGCAACTGGGCGATGCCGCTCGAGTTGGGACTGGTGGTATCATTTTGGGCTTGCGCTATCCTGCAGGGCCAAGAAAATGAGCTGGCTGGTCGAGACGGGGGAGGAAGGAGGATCGGATCGAATGTAGTCTATTGATCGGATGCATCTGATGGGGCAACTTACCGAGCTTGTTCTCGTTCCTTGCGTTTTAAACTCATGGCCATCATGCGCCATGTCAGATTCTCCATGCGCTCCTGGTTTGGTAGCTGAGATTTTGTTCGAGTGTAGAGTTTCCAGATCTGGGCAGCCAAAGGATCGCTCTTCTGTAACTCGTCGGGGTTGTCGCCACCCCGCGGGGCACCGGTCTTCCACTCCGGGAAGATGGCGTCCGAAAGCATACCGTCCTGAGCGTTGGAGTTGGAAGTGGAGTTGGCCGGACTGAAGGTGGAGCCGAAGGTGAAGTCGTCGGACATCATATGTGAGTCGATATCGATTCCCGGGAAGGGCAGCGCGGATGGCTGCGACGGTCGGGCTCCTCCATGCCCATGCCCGTAGCCGTGCCCGTGCCCGTGCCCTCCATGGTTCATTCCCTCCATGGTAACCAAAGGAGAGGGAGGGGGGAGGGGGGANGAGGGGGGAGGGGGGAGGGAAGACGAGGAGAGGAGAGGGGAGAAAAGGCAGATATAGACGAGGGAGAACGGTGGTGGGCTAAAAAGAGAGATGGTTTGAATTGAAATTCCCCCGTACCCGCCGTAAACGAGACCCTTGCCGGGGGGAAAGAAATTGAAGGCAACCGAGCGAGGCGATTGGTAGGATGGCGCAGCCAACGACCGGGGTCAGCATCGACGTCAGTACCATTTTTACATGCGAACAAGAGGGAGGGGGGGGTTGAGACCCCAGTAATACTCACGATGGGGGAACAAAAAAAAGTACCACCACCCAGCCAGATCTCCGGTAAGGTTCTGTTTTGTGTTTTTTGGTCTTTTACTTCCTTGTCGTGGAGGGGGGGCTAGACCCTCCAGACGCTCATGCCCCGATGTGAGATTGTGTAGGGAAAGACGGAGGATTCGCACGGAGGAATTGTGCGAACGGCGACGAGATAGATGTCGGTCTGGTAGGGGAGGATGGACCGCGCGAAAAAGATGCTCGAGTCGGGTGTGGGGGAGATTCGAATGGGAAGGAGAAAAAGAAGGAAGGCAAAGAGGAGGAGAGCAGAAGATGATATGGAAGGGACGACAGATTCTCGGGGAAATCGATGCGCGATGAAGTTGCGCAGACTTGGGAAACGGTAATGGTAATACCGAGTACCGTAATTTTACCGCCCTAGTTGGCCGGGCCCGATTTACGGCGCTTGCCTCGACTACGCCTGCGTCTGCAAGACACGATACTTCTATGCTCGGTACGGAGGACACTGACAGTCGGTACGAATGACACTTTATTAAGAGAAGGATAAAAAAAAGGGGTGACACTCATAGTAACACATGAGTCATGCGGAGACTATCGAACTAACTATCTTGACATAGACTGGCTACCGGACTCACAAGTAGGCGTACATGATCCGGCACTTGTCATGATCGAGTCCCGTCCGCACGTCGACCACTCGGTCATCATCCCAGCCTGGATTATGCTTGATGCTTGTAATGGGCGCCACTCCCGGTCTTTGTTCCAACACAAAAGTCCGGACTCGGCTTTGCTCACACTTGATCTTTGCGTTCATGGGCTATTTCCACGAATCGGTGCTCTCGGCGAGGAGAGTCCTCTCTATACTAGGGCCCTGGACTATCTCCCTTTCTCCATCGTTTTTTTTTTGCCTCCACCTCATCCCGAGTACGGCTACTAGCCAGTCTGGTCAAGTCCTAGACGCCTCCGAGCGGAGTCGATGCACTCGACCGAGTAGCTCATAGATACCGCACGAGCCATCCCAAGGGCTCACGGACTCGACAACCCACGATGGACGTTCCCCATCGGTCGTCCTCGAATGATAAGTCCGGGACCGAGAGCTTCGACCACCCGCCTCTCGGCCCGAGTCCGAATGGCAAAACACGGGTGCACGGGGAAAGGTCCCCAAAGAATAGAGTATCGACCTGGGATCGAGGCCCTACTAGATGCAAGTCCCTTTTTTTTAATTTTTTAAACCTGGCCCAAAGGCCGGAGGGCCCGAGGGATTGGGGCAAAGGGGACAATAAGACAGCTGCAGACCGGACGATGGGTCTCCCAAATGCATGGCATATCACCGAGGCACCGTCCGGATAGGTCCATGATCGAGTGGATCCGATTGCTGGCGGTGGAGTTCTCGTCCGAACCGGAGGAAGTTCAGCACGCGGGCCCGGACTCGCAGAAGAGGAGAAGGAGCACAGGAGCCTGGACAATTCGTACTTGGGTAGGGCATCGAAAAGAGAAGTTGGTAAATCAAGACGGACGATTCGTCGTATTGGAGAAGAATCCAATATGAAGACGAGTTAGCGGCTCCGCCATGATGCACGAGAGGACCCGTTGTCCTGTCCGTCTTGTCTGTCTGTGTTAGAGCATCCCAGATTTGACGGATCGATAGAACCATTCAAGGCACGGATCGATGACCCATTGGCAAATGGAAATTGTCAGATCCCCCAACGACAGTCGGAACGACCCAGTCACGGTCAGCGGGGCCGGAGATAGGATGGGCGCCCGAGAGATAAGAAAACCGTTCGATGGGGCCCTTTGGGTCGCGAGAATGACCGGGTGGTCAGGGACGGACTGTGTTTTCTAGAAAGAACAAAAAAAAGGTACCGTTACGAAAATGGGATATTGGGTACATAGCTTAGAGAAGTATTGCATATTGAAACATCCCGCAGACCTAAGAAGTAGTAGGACACAACGGGGATGTAATAACACTTCCATACGTCCTACCTAGCGTAGATGCCTCTACGAGACCTACCAGCAATCTTCCTTGCGGTCGCTCATCTATCGGATATTTGCGACAATAGGCTCTACGGGTAATATACTCGAGGATTGGAAAGAGTATATATCATACGCATCACACAACGGCCCAGCTAGTCGTCGGACAAACTCCATGTATGGCAGACGTGGGATGGAAGCGACTCACCGAGCGACAACGTTCCTACATTACCCGAGGTCGCGTATCGAATCGTATTGCATACCGAGTGGAACCGTCGCCGTATTCAGCTTTCCCGCCGTTTCTGGATCGAGGGCAAGTCGAGGCTTTGGGAGTCGAGTCGCGAGGGGGTTGAATCTTCCGGAGGTTCAGGTCCATTCAGCGTATCCCATTTAAAATGGAACCCCCGTTCTCCTCCTTCCCCTCCTCATTCAATCTGCGACTCCCGTCAGAACGGTTTTGGCGGGGAGGCGCAACCGGATGATTTCACATTCCACGGCTAAAACTGCAAGCCCCCTCCATCATCCACTTTTTTCTGTTCGTGGCTGGCAGGCACTCCTGCACCTTTTTGCCACTAAACGGGACGGTAACCTCACCCTCCGGCCCTCGCGCAGGATCATCGTCGAGGTCGATCTCGATCCCTTTTGTACCTTCATACTCCATTCGTGCGAGCTGGCTGGTGCCGGTATTATTGGATCGTCCCTGATGGCTTTTTTGATTGGTCGAATTGGAAATCACTCCCTCCCCCCATGGCTGCGGAGGTGAGGGGGAGGATGATGATGACCGGATCAGGTAATCACAGAATAAGACGACTGCGGGCGACGGCACGAGCAGCAGTAATCTGTAGATCAACAGTCCTAGAAATCTGCTGGAGAAAGGTGCTTGTCGGTTCGTCGTCGTGCATCGGTCCAAAGATACCCCGTTTGGAGGTTCCCCATTTAGGTCCGGACAAGGGCACGAGGCACGGAGGCATTCGATCATCGTTGTTCGACTGTTAGATTGTTAGACTGGTTAGACTGTTAGACTCAAGACCGTGTCTGAGACTCTAGGGGAGAGCCTAAAGCTCTTGGCCCCACGAGGCGAGCTCCACCACAAGGTCGGGGGAAATCCACGCCTCGTCCCGATAGGCCCAGCTGGGAGATGGCTGGAGATAACGACCAGATAAGCCATGCGTAGTAATTAGCCATGGTCAATGGGCTGATAGGCGCCGATGCCACTACGGGGATGGATCGCTTGGGGTTTCTGGTGGGTTTCGACACGACCGCAAACTCGCTTCGAAGACGGTCGGATGGATTGGCAGGAGTTAGCGGTATACTGGGATACTGGTATACTTGGTATCCATGCCCAGATGGTATCCCCGGACTTCCCGGACGACACTCGACCGGGGAGACACCAAGAGCGCATGTGGATCTCCAATGACGGCGTGGTGAGACGGGATCTTATCTCTCCTGGTCGCATGGTTTCTTGCTTTTTGGGGGAGATCATCCTGGGTTTCTTGCTCTGGATCGGATCCGATATTGGACTAATGTCTCTGGGGGAAAGAAGAGACGTCGTTGTTGCCTGGCCGGACGGATGTACGGTACGGAGCACACTGAATGGAGAACGGGGACGAGAAAGGGATCCGTACGTGGTGATGATGATCGGTCGGCCCTCATACTGCTGGATGGTAACCTGGTAAGCGGGAGACAGCTGAAGGACGAGTCGCCTCCTTGATGCATCTTGACCATTCACAAGACTCGAAATGTATCGGGACATGGTCAGCATCGCCTCACAAGAGCTCTCAAGTGGGTCGTGGCGCTCTGCAGTAAGCTCTTGGTTGACGCCAATCATACCCCAAAGAGTAGCAGGTACTTTTGGACCGGAACTTGGGGAGGAAAGGGGGAAGGGGATGCATCCAAGTCCTTTTTTTTTTTATCAGCGGCTTCAGCGGTTAAGAAGAAATGGCCACAGGGGCAGGGAGAATGGAACAAGATCGAAAGTGCATATGAGAGAAAGGAGAACCCTCGACGGGGAAAAGCTGCGGAGCGTGGAGGCAACGAAAACCGACGCTGCGCATATGTAACGTACGAGTTCCCATCTCCCCATCCGACGATGCACTGGTAAACCGAGGAAGGACTCCTTCCAGCAGTTGGAATAGATGATAAGAGGGCCTCAAAATGCAGGCCAGCCAGTCTTGAAGAGAGAAAGACTAGGAGAGGAAAGCAAAATGCCCTTCCCCGGACCAGATAGGACTAAGTAGCAGCGGTCATCCTACGGAGTATATATAATTTCCTCACAGTGCAGGACGTGCGGTTATCACCCAAATGGGTTTCGATAAGGCGTGACGCTACCCAAGCCTATCCCTGGCCGATACGACAATATCGTCGTGCAACGGCAGCCAAGAGCAGGGACCACCCACGACAGATAAGTCTGCATATCTCTTCCCCCCCCCAATCCTCAATTCTCCCTGGGCTCACTCTCAAGAGATAAGACCGCACCCGGGTGGTCGTTCCCATGCACCAAATCGGGGCCATCTATGAAACACAATATGGCTTTCCCCTTTGGTCTTCCTGAAGGCGCCCCCCTGGTTATCGTCCTATATCGGATCCTCGGTCAGTCTTAATGAGACCTATCATCGAACTTCTCCCGAAACTCTCGAGGGTTCCGATGCTCTCTGATTGCCCAATGATCGCCTGATAGAGAATCAGAGTTCACCGCCGGATCCTCAAACGGAGCCGTACAGATCCACCGTCCCGCTCCGGTGTCCACATCTCGCTATCTCAATCTCCAGACTTCCTGACCCCAGAGTCCTTTTGGTCCGACGGATCTTCCGGGGAAACTGGGACCTCAACGGAAGAAATGTTGACTACGAGTCAGCCACGGTCGATGCACGCCATTGGAGATCAACTCTTATCTTGTTCGTGGTGGTTCCTGCCCATCATCCCAAGATACGCGCTGATATCTCCGTTTCGATGTGTCGAACACTCCAGTAGATATGACATGTGTTGTAGGCATAAAACTGAACCCGTTTTTTTTCACAAAGATAGACTCAACATGCAAGGGCATGATTCGGTTTGTCATATCCCAGCAACCGAACTGACGCCATCAACAGGGCTCAGCCCGCGGCTAAGGAGGGGGGCCAGACGAAAACAGAGAAAACAAATGTGCTTCACCAGCTCCGAGGAGAAAGACACCTCAGACCGGTAGTCTGACTGTCAGGATCAGCCCCCCCCCCGCGCAGGCACCTATCAAAACGTCGCATTTCTCTGCAGCCCCTTGCGGGATAAGCATAGGCCGACCCGATCTATAAAATCTGTCTGTCTAATTTCGAGAGGACTCGGTCTGTGACGGGCCAGTGTGTTCGATAGCACACCTAGCCTTAGGAAGTCAGTTGCCTCGTCCAGGGTTGGGCCGTTATCGGAAATACAACTCAACCATTCATCCCAGAACGATGCCGAGGAAGACCCTTGCGGCCTATCAATTGGCCTACAATTCGTACCACCAGAGGCACGGGGCTCTTTTGGGAGTGTGTGGCTTTGTAGAATAGAGCAGTGGCTGCGAGATAGCGCGACAAAATGTATGATGCTTTTCTCGTGAGCAATTCAAGCTAAGGAAGCTAAGTAGTTCCCAGACAACTGGATGGAGGAATGAGGTGATGGCGACGATGACGGAGATCGTCATGGATATCGAAATGGTGAGATGATGATCTCCGAGTTCTTTATCACAATCGTCGGTCCGATTTCGGGACCCAGTTCCCAATAGCCCCGGAGGCTTCTACGTGGCTATCAGCTGCGTTCAAAATATACTTTGTATCCAATCAATATCGTGTGCGTAGCCATGGAGCGGGACGGAAGGGTATCTCCATCCCTGCCAACAGAAGTAACCATATTATCAAAGTAGTATCTTGGATCCAATTCCACATAGATTGTAATATGTACAGTACGTAATTCTTCAAAGGACCCAGGATATCTCCAATCGATGTCGTGACTTTGACTCGATATCTCGGTGCGTTGGTAAGAGCTTTGGCGGTTCGCCGTGTCGGCGTAACGTCAACCCAGCATCCACTCTTATCGCCAGAGAGTGCTTTGAGCGTCCGCCTGCCGAATTGGTCTTGCTGGCACGCGATCGTGCACCTCCATTTTATATGGTATGCCAATCCCTATCGATTCTTCAACCGAGACCCACCCCGCTTTGGCCACGAATTAAATGAAAGAGAAACTTGATGGGCAAACAACAGACCACGTATAAAAGGAGGACGAACAATGTGGGAATCTCGGCAGAAAAAAGATCAACAGAGGAGAGATATGAAAAAAGACGCATGAATACGGGGTAGTCCACAAGTAAGAGATGTGCTGAAAGAGGATGAAGAGAAGGAAAATAATATATAATGAGGGTGGAAATGAAAGTCTATATGATGCCAGAACAAAGTCTTCCGAGTGAAAGTTGGAGGAATCAAAGCTCCAAGTCAAGGAGAGCCAGCCAAGAGTAAAAGAACATGCATGATGAACCAAAAGGAATTGGAACCTAACCCGAATGACAAAAGGATAAGAGGAGAAAAGAAACAGGCAGATGGTCGTCCGTTGTGCATAAAATGCCTACAAGGACGACCTCGGGGAGGAACGATCAGGCGGAAAAAAAAAGGTTGGGCCATGCCATGAGAGAATCAAACGGAGAATGCCACCCAAAAACCCTTTGCGCCCGCTAATGACCATCTGCAAAGCAGACCCGCCACGGTGTATGGATATGGCAAAAGACAAAATGATAACGAAAGCCAACAAAAATGTGTATCCCACGGGGTATTGAAAATGAAGCAAGCCGTCTAGGAATGTGCGTGGTATAACGTGACGAACCCCCCGGGCCCCAATGGAAGTAGGTGTAAAGAGATAAACCAAGTCCCACAGTCGAGCCCGAAAGAGATGCGAGAAATGGAAAAAAAGAAAGGAAATATTAGAAATCAAGCACTGAAGAGGGTGCGGCGGAAAAGTGGTTGTCAAGGCCCTGATCTTCCTGGCTGTCCTGGGTGGCCCATTGGAGGGTGGGCATATTGTTGCTGTGAGACATCGCCAGTATACATTGGGTACGGTACCACGCCCATCCCACTTGGCATAGCATTCATCTGAGGCCATTGTGCGAAACCCATACCGGCCTGAGCCTGATAGGGAACCGCGCCTGGAGGCGCTTGCATGTCAGGACTAGGTCCGGAGGGAGCATGAGAAGCGCTTGGATGGGTAGGTGTAGTCATCCTGCGCTTGAGGTCCGGAGTCATTTGGGGTTGAAAGTGACCGGAATATGAATGACTCATGTCCTGTCCTGGGTAACTCATCGCCCTTGATGGCTGTGGCGGTACTGGCCAGACTGATCCGTCAGGTTGCATCGCATAGGCTGGTCCGGGGTTCATCGGCTGCGCATGACCAGCCATTGGCGATGCGCCGGACATGGGTGAATTCGGAGACATTGCCGCTGGTACTGCTGCAGAATTCCAGGCATTTGGCGTCAAGTTCATCATCTGGCCTTTGTTTGCGGCCATCGTGGCCAACATCTGTGGGTCTGATATCGTCGCGAACTCGTCCCATGCAACTCCACCTTCCATCGTAGACATTCCAGAAAATTCTCCCGGTGCCATAGGTCGGTCTAGTAGAATCACGTCGAGTCAGTCTGGCTGGTGAGTTGACTGGAGCAATTGCTGCCCTGTAATAATCCACTTATAGGGTACAAACATACCAGGTGTAAATCCGGGCATCTGAGTCGCCGCAAATGCGCCGGGGTTGAAAGCCGCCATATCCGCCGATGAAGCATTCATGGGCACTTGAGTATACGGATAGAATGCTTCTACCGAGTCAGGGTGCAAGCTCGTGGGCGATGATGACAAGGACATTGGTGTTGTCACCGAAGGGTCTGCGGAGCCGGCGTCTAGTCTCGAGCTGGGCCGCGACTTCTTCTCCACCGGAGGTTGTTGGTCGACTGGGAAAAATTGGCATTCTTTACGCAATCGAATACAGTTTTCGCATCGTCCTTGGGCATCATCTGCTGCCACTAAACAGCGGATCTTCCGGCGCCGGCAATGTACTGTGAGAATGTATGAGCTTGACTGGAACTATATCGTATGGGTAGCAGCATATTCAATACAGCTCTCTTGTTGTCCTCTATTTGTCTGCGCATTTGAGACACGCGACAATGCCTCGGGACATGTGAAGATGGCTCACAAGAGAGTACTATAAATGAATGCTGCCGGTGAGGGAATTGGCAACTCACCACAAGCGACAGATGTCCGGTGATAACCCAACTTGTTGCGCTTTTTATCAGCCGCGCTTGCATCCATCGCAGCTTGTAAATTCGGTGTTGTATCCATCTCCTCGACGACCGCAGGCATAGCTCCCTGGAGCGAGCTCTTATCACCGCACCGACTCGAAGCGCATGAATAGCGCTTCGCTTGCAAGAAAAGGGTACCCTCTTTTTTTTGGGATGGGGCGGGGTGTTAGGCAGTTAGGGTGAAACCGCCTCTAAGCGTGATCCGGGGCAGTTGCAGATTCAAGAGATGCCAGGCCATACAGGCACCCTGCGAGAGACCGAGAAAGGCTGCGTAGCCGAGGGTCGCAACTTTCGGGTGATGACGATGGTCCGACAGGGCTCTCTAATGGTGATTAAGCCCTTAGGTCCACCTTGCGCCACACTGGACCAGGAAGGATATTGCGCGCGTTTCAGAGCAACGTTGTCGTAAAGCGTCAAGAGGAGATGGAGGAGGGGGGAAGGAGGGGCCCGAGTCGTAATGTCGCAAGTCGCAAGTCGCACGTCACAAGTCACAAGTCGCTAGTCGCCGGTCCTCAGTCGCCGTGGTAGTGACGGTCGGAGTC